CCTATAGGAACAGGAACTCCCAGCTGACTCCTGTGTTTTGCCCTCTTCCTGCATGCTGAGCAAATTTATCTATTCTGGAAACTGAAGTGGGGTCAGAACTAAAGCCAGTACCGTATCATTCCGCTTAGTGCAACAAGGAGACAAAACATAATTTAAGTCCTTGACATTATGCATTTCAGTAGCATCATGGTCTTCTGCTTTCAAAATGCTGATTTACTAAGTTCTGGCAAGTTTGTATTTTTATATATTAAACTCATAAGCACACACTATAAACTGAGCATTTAATCATTTTAAAGGATTAACTAAGCATAGTATTTGTTGGAATACGCTGTCAATGGATACAACAAAGATTAATGCTTTGCTGACACTACAATGAAATCCTGATAAAAATTCTGTTCTGTGAGTAATTTTGTTTTAAAGCTATCTTCATTATTGTTTGTTATTGGCACTGTCAGTCAGATTGGCATACAGTTTTGAAATAATGAGAGATTTTCCTCTGGAGCCTTTTCAAAGGTACTTCTTGTTTCTTGATTAAAAAAGACTTTCTAGCAACGAGCCATCCCCTCCCTCCCTGCACTGTACCATGCTGCAAGCCCCAGGTAATAGCAGGTTAAAGAGGAAAGGCAGTGCTATACCAAACAGCCGACAGACAGCAGGGCGTGGAGCAGAATAATGGCCCCCACAGTCGCCAGCGCAATCCTCCGGTTGTCATCTCTGACAGCAGGCCAGAAGGTCATCACCAAAACAGACCCCGAAAGGCACAGGGAGAACATCACCAGGACCCAGCGCACCACTTTTTGTGGAATAATCCATAAAATCTGTAAGGGAGGAAAGCAACCGTCAAATAGACTGTGTGAAACAATGATTCATTTATTGAATGCATTGTTCTCTGACATTTCACCACGTCCAGACAATTTGTGCACAAATTAACTCAAGCTTTATTTGAAGAATGAACAATGCTAATAGCAGCCACAGGAGCAAGGAGCTTTACTGGCAGGCATGACAAGTTCATGTCCCCTGAGTTATCCCTTACTTGGATTTGCTGCCTCTGGGGAAATGACCTGCCCCACACTTTTCTGGGACCACTTGATGCTAGACAAACTTGAACAAAAGCTTTAGTTTAGCCAAGCTAAAAGATTTCTCCATTCCCCAAGACTTTGATCAATATGAACAATCTTGTAAGAAATAGCCCTGTTTTTAAACCAGGACCTTTTTTCAGGGTGAGTAATGTAGGGACATGCTCCTTAAGCCATACGTACCGCTGTGGGGATATAAACGAAGAGGGAGTAGCCATATACACACACTATCTCCAGGAATGAGTACGAGACGATATTCATAACTTTACTGTTCCTCCACATCAGAAATCCCCAGAGAGCAAGGGGAACAAGCCAAGCGTATGCAAAAATTGTTGTTGCTGCTATGGACACTGGAAACATGTCAAAAGATTTAACATTGTATTAGAATACAAGCCAGAATCAAATGTATGAAGCATTCAGCGTGAAAACTAGAAAGCTGCTTTTGAAATTACTTTCAAAAGGTAAAGCATAAATTTATTAATAAATTGAGAATTCTGACTGAATTGATAAATTCTGATTGAATTGATAAATTGAGAATAGCCACTTTACACCAACTACTTTGCCAGCATTTCGAATTATTTTAAAAGTAAAGAGTTCAGAAACTGTTCTATTGTAATTTTCAATTTATTTATTATACTTGGGTGTAAAATGCTATCAGTTTTCAGGTGTGAAAAGAACAGCCACATAGGAAAGAAAATCTTTCTTAAAAGTAGAAATTCAGCTACCGACAGATTCTGAAAAATGAGAACAGAATGCAGGCATGCTGTAGGTTCATGCCCTAAATGCTAAATTTTGCTTAAAAAATTGAGAGAACACAGGCACATGTTTCAAATCTACTCGAGTAGTTCCCCAGCAGACATCTACGTTCTGCAGGGACAGCAGTCTCCTTCAAACTATAAGAACAGGTAAATGTAATTGGCTTCTGACTTCACTGGAGCACGTATCAGTTGGGCTTAGTGCTCAGTCCTCCAGAAGGCAACCACTTCCAGCCCTCGGTAGGTGATATGAGTAAAAACCCAACTCAGTCATTTCCTTTCTGAGGCCTGCAGGCTCCCGGGTGTCCATGGGCCCACGAAGGCATCTACAAAAGCACCAGTGGCCACTGCTGGACACACGCACTAAAGCTAGAAAAATAACTATTCTAATTATTCCTGTCTGCTCTGCTAAAACTTTACTTTGCAGCTACTTTATGCTTCCCAGGAGCGGGGTTCTGCCAGTTAGAGCCCACTTTAAGGACTTCTTTTGCATGTCTAAAAATTTAAAGAAAGCAGTAAGTCAAGGCTATGGCCTGTTTTTCACATCACTGCACTAGCACATTAAAACAAGCAAGCAAACACACAAAAAACCCTCAGGACTGTACTTACAAACCTTTTCTGAACTCGGGCACATAGTGGTATGTTGGCTTGCCCAGATGGATGAAGAAGTTTGAGAGATTGCCACTAACAGCAATGGCAAAGACAAGTGTGGTGCATATCCAAAAGGGACCTTAACAGGAAACACAAGTTCAGTAAGAAAATAAGGCAGAAAAATTGTAAAACAATACAACTCCAAATGTTTAGTGCAGAAGAGAATGCCTCACACCCCATATCACACCCCATACCTACCATAGAGGTCGGGATTGCTGCGGATGTACAGCCTTACAAAGTTCCTCCCTGGTACTGGGAAAACAGAACCCTTGATTCGGTCCAGGACCTACGAAAACACACAGATTTGTCTGATTGGAAACATGGAAAAAGGAGAAAACCCTCAGTGCCTGGATAAGGCACGGCTCAGACAACAGCTCTCCGCCCCTGACGAGGAGCATTAACCTGGTAAGTGTCCACATCGAAGAACGTCTGGTAGTACTCAAACGTCCAGAACGGGGCACTTTTCTTCTGTCCCGCCAGCAGCTTCATGGTGCAAAAAGAAAGGTGGAAACGTTACAAGCACATTTATGCATTCGTGGTTTGTTTACCCAGCAGTTAAATGCCCACAAATGACATCATTTACAGCACAGGCTCCTTCCACGTCACACGCTCCCTGCCAGCTGCACAACCCCGCTGCCCCCTGGCCGCGCTCAGCCCTCACCTCCGTTTTATCCGAGTCATCGTTGCCCAGCAGCTCGTCGTCCTCCTCCCTGCCCGGCTCCTGCTGCCGGCCGCGCTGGCTCTTGGTGCCGTCGGGCTCCTCGATGCTGATGGTGGTGGCGTCGGGGTTGGCCGCCAGCAGGCTGGCCGCGTCGGCGAACTCTGCGAGCAAGCACGGCGCGGGGCGGGCGCTGAGAGGCTGCCCCCAACCGGCCCCGCTCCCCGGCCCCGCTCCCCAGGCCGCGGGTTCGGCCCCCGCCGCCCCTCACCTGGGAACTGGAGCCCGTCCGCCGCCGCCATGCAGCCCCCGCCGAGCCGCCTCCCGGCCCGCAGCCGCCGCTCCGAGCGCTTAAAGGGGCCGCGCACGCCGCGCCCCGCCGGCCAATGGGAGGCCGCGCTGCTCGCCTCTCCTCCCCCGCCCCTCGCGCTCCGGAGGAGGCTCGCGGCGCAGGGCGGCCAATCGGAGGCGCAGCGGCGCTTCCTCTTCCGGCTCCGCCCGCGCCGTTAAAGGGCCCGCGGCCCTGCCCCGAGGGGCGGGTGGGAGGCGGGGCTGGGGGCTGGAAACGTGGGGGGGGTACGGGGGGAGCGGCCCGGGTGGCTGTGTGGGGTGGGACATAAACACTGCCTGCTGGCGGGCGGTTTACAAACATATATCTATACACAACATAATGTGCTTGTGTAGGTATAATGGCCCGCTATGTGTGCAAACATACACAGTAATATGTGGGTATTTCAATGGATACAGTACCGATTTTTATATGCTTATATATAAAATGCAGTGAGCATTTTGCAAATACAAATGCTGTGTGTATTGTATATATAAATATATATGGTAATAGATATGTATTTTAAAGTATTATATGGGTAAAATGCATTATTACATATATCATATACAAAATACATGTGCATTTTGTGTCTCTATTTTAAATAAATATACACATACAAATAAATTTATATAAAATACACACATGTATATAAAATACACATAAATATCCATAAAATACTTTTCATATCCATACATATATGCATAGATAAATATATGGTAAAATATATGTTTATACATATATATGTATGTAAAATGTATATATACATATATGTGTCCATATATTTTATATATATACACATTTTATATGTATACATATTTTATATGGACACATATATGTATATATACATTTTTATACAATAAAAATATATTTTTTATAAAATATATGTATGCATATATGTATATATACATTTTTTATATTTATATATATATATAAATATATATATAAAAATATATATATATATAAATATATATATATATATATATAAATATATATAATATATAATATATATATATATATATATATATATATATAATATATATATATATATATATATATAAAGTACTTTTCTGGGCGTCCTCCCCGCCTGTGTGACGAGTCCCAGTGCATGGCAGCGCAGCACACACCACGCTACCCCAATGCCATCGGCCACATCACCCCCGAGGCCCCCACCATGGACACGGGTGGCTCCCGAGCCTGGAGGCGTAGGTTTAAGTGCCTCAGTGCTGACAGGCCCAGCCCTGGGGCATCATTCCCCTCATTTTTGGTTTTAATCTGTGAGAACATCCCAAAGCAGCCCAGCTCGTTACCAACACACACGATTTCCCTGAACAAGCCTTGCAGCTGTGCAGCCCACCTTAGAGCCCTGCCCTGGTGCAGGCAGAGGAGCACCCCGGGGAGGTGAAGGGGGGCCAGGCCAGGCAGAAATTGGGCCAAAATGCCTCGGGCCACGTGAACGCCTTTCCTCCCCACCTCGCTACCTTTGCCCCTGCTGCCTCGCTGCGTTCCCATCGGAAGCCCTCACCCGCAGCACGATGTGGAGCGTCAGGCTGCTGCTACAGAAAGCCCTCGTTCTTCTGCACGTCACTGCGAGCGTTGTCGTCGGCAAAACGCTGATGGTGCTGTTCCCCAACGCCATGAAAAGGCACATCCTAAAACAAGGCGAGAAGAGCAGAATGAACCAGAACCCCAAGTTCAGCTACGAGAACTGGGGCCCGACCTTCTTCAGCTTCCAGTATTTACTCTTCGTGCTGAAGGTGAAGTGGAAGAGGCTGGAGGACGAAGCCTACGAGGGACGGCCTGCTCCCAACACACCAGTGGTGACATCCCAGGGGGACGTCCGGCACCTCTTCGACTTCATGCGAGGTCAGTCATCATCCTTGCAATGCTTTGGGTGTGCTAAAATGGTAGGTGAGGACAAGAGGCTGCGAGGGGACAGGGACAATCAGGGAACGTGCTGCATCTTTCCCATCAGATGAACGCCGCCAGCCTGCTCTGCTGTGTTGTGTGCATCTCACGCCAGCTGCCTGCCTCTTGATTTTCTAAAATAACCTGCTTATTGTCCTGGATACAACATCCCTGCACGGCAGTACGCTTGTGAACCTCTTGCAAAAGCTGGCTCTGTCTGGAAATGGCTCCTTTTGACAGCAAAAGTGATAATTTGTTTTAGGGGGAGAAGATCCAGAGTCAGAACCGGGTGCAGTGAGTCACGACCATTGGCTGCCATTCCCTGTACATACACAAAGTCCCATGCCAGCTCCGAAAGCCAGAATAGATCCTAGAAACTAGAAAGCACACAGTGTTTTTGCAGATTTAAAGCAGCTAGAAATGAGGCAGAAGAAGTTGCTTTGTACTTTGTCCGCTGCCTCCCACCGAGATCTCTGCAGAACATGGAATTAATCATTAAGCAGCAGCGTCTGTCCCCATGGGAGGCATTAAATCCTTCTCTCTCTTTATTTATATATAAAATAGGGTTGCACAATTCGAGGTACACAATATCTACAGAAGGGTAACCCCGCTATTAGATTCTTTAAGATGCAAAATATGCTGGCAGCACTTTCTTGAAGGTAAGCCCAGCCAGAATGAAGATTTTGAACGTGCTTGAGATAATTTAGCATGGCCATGGACTAAAAATCCTGTAAATTCTCTTAAACTGAGGCCTTGCAATCGATTATGCAGATGCGAACACATGGGTACACGCTGTGTTAATCTGTAAGCAACTGCACAGATACTTTTGCCAGGGGCTTGTGTAACGTTAGTTTAATAAAGGCATAACCAAAGTTCTGTTTGGGCAGGAAATTGCAGAAATCCATTGAAAGCATGAACGCCTGTGGTGCATGACTGAGAAGTCTGCAGCTTCCACTCAGCTCAGCTAGAGCTGACACCTCTGAAAAAAGTCAAGACATCCAGCTGGGTCAACAGAATTAGGAATCTGTGCTTAGATGTCCATCTCTGAATCACTGTCTGTTGAGAAACCTTGCAAACGATCATGCTGAATAGTATTCAAAGTCCTTAGCATGAAAGCTCTTGGGGAGGCTGCCAGGCACTACATGCTGTATATCCATTTTAGAGCAGCTTGCTATCCCAAAATGCTGGTGACTTGAGAAATGGTTGTCATGGGGAAGGCACAAGATGTGTATCTGTCGGGTACCTTCTGTCTTCACTGGGCTTTGCACAGAAAGGTCCCTCCTTGGTTAAGCTCACTGTTGGATCCTGCTACTGGTCAGTGCCAGGCTAAGGGACAGAAAGCATCTTTGTGCTTGTTTTGCATAGAAACTTGGTGATACATTCGTTCTGCTGCCTCTCTCCCACCACCAACTTAACCAGAGTGTCCCCTGCTTTTCTTCTAGGTAACCGGCCTTTAATCCTGAATTTTGGAAGTTGCACCTGACCTTCATTTATGTTAAAATTTGATGAGTTCAACAAGCTCGTCAAAGATTTCAGCTCGATAGCAGATTTCCTTATCATCTACATCGAAGAAGCTCACGCAGCAGGTACAGTACAAACATATTAGTGCCCACCTGAACTTCAGATATGCATCATTCCTGTTAGAAAAACATTTTAGCAAAGGAGTTAACTACAAACAGCAAAGAAATCTTCCTAAAATCAAAAGTGGCCACACCAAACCTAGGCACCAGTTTGCATCCCTGATTCTCCAACTGATTTTACTCACACATCTGACTTCACACTGAAATACTCCTGCTGAAGACGCTTATCTCTGTGAAGGGAAGCACATAGTTAAATCTGTGCAAAACTTCCTCCCAGTTGTAGCAGAGCTCCTCTTGAAAAATATGAACAAAATGAAAAGAGCCTTTCATAGAACAAAGGTTAAGTGTGCAATGGCAGCATGTGTTAAGTGTTTTAAAAACAAAACAGTGTAGTTTTTGTAAATCATTTTTAATGTGTCAAGAACAGGATGCAGACTTTAATTAAAAAATAGCAAACAAACTGCACACACTCTTTTATCTACACTGGACTAAGTAACATGCTGGCAGAGATTTTTATCCCAGGGTTAAGGTGGTTTTCTAAAAGGCAACGTTTAGTTTTCAAGTTTTCTAACACTGCATCACTTACAGCTCCTGAGAAACAGACAGCCAAGCCACCAAAATCTTTTACTTGTTTCCTCTTTCCTAGGAAGTTATATGCAAATGTTTATTTGCATATTTCTAAAAAACAAGGAGGGGCCTTCTCTCTTGCATATTTCACTTATCAGATCTAAAAATAATTTTAAAGGCTTAATGAGTAGAATCAAGCTGAATGAACAACACTATTGCTGAGACTGCTAAATGAACAGGTAACAGCTAACAGCTGATAATCAGCTTATAATTTAAAAATCTCCTTCTCTGCACCAATAATTTTGTCAAACTTTATCTGGATGGGATGCATCTCCCACACCTGGTATCTTTCCAGGCTTGATTTACGTGGGAAACTTTCAGCTAAAATACATCAAGTATTTCTGAATCCAGGGCAAGGAAGAAATGCAGTTTGTTCAAATTAAAGTAGGGAAACAAACAAAGACACGTGATTACTTATCTGCAAAGCTGTAGTGTTCTCCTACTCTGAAGGGGACCTTAATTTCATGGCAAGTTTTGGTATTAGAAGTAAATTGCATTATTCTTTTAACACAGTTTTGGTATGTGACACACAGGACATCTCCATCCCAATGTCTATTCCAGATGTTCCTTGCTAAACACCTTTCTCATTTGTTCCAGATGGATGGGCTTTTAAAAACAATATCATTATTAACAATCACAGAAGCCTTGAAGATCGAAAAATTGCAGCACAACTTCTTCAGAAAAATAATCCTTTATGTCCAGTGGTTTTAGACACTATGGAAAACCTCAGCAGTTCAAAATATGCTGCGCTGCCAGAAAGACTGTATCTGCTTCAAGAGGGGAAGGTTATCTACAAGGTAAAACCCATCAACAATAACAGGCACAATACATTGAGATTCTCAACTTTTAAAATAAGAATGTTTTGTATTTTATGCAAGTATTTCATTCTATTTCATAGTTGCTAATTACACAATGCACTGTAACTGTGGAAAAAAAGAAAAGGACTTGCAGTAAAACCAGTCTGGGCCTTTGCAGTGTACATATTTGATGTACACCTCAGTCCTGCTCAAATATTTATCCCACGGCTCATTAGAAAACCTAGCTACGTCTACGCTGTGAGATCCAGGAACACTCCCCAGCTCCAGGATCCCAGCATTGGCCCTGCCCCAGCTACACAGCAGGGTGTGACCTGTGCGCATACCACCTCCTATGCGACAGCTGCCAAGCAAAAGAAACCCAAGTACACCTACCCACAGCTCTGATTTAACTGCTGTGCTCTAAAGGACTTCTGCTCTGTGTATTTGAGCATTACTGTATAATTTTATTGCCTTTGCAGGGAGGAGTGGGGCCTTGGAACTATCACCCCCAGGAAATACGCGCCATCCTGGAAAAACTGAAATAGAAAAAGAAAGAAGAGGACTTCAGAGTAAAGACTAGCTGGATAAAAAAAAGCTCAATGAATAAGTTTTCATGGACATAACTGTTAAAAAAAATACAAATAACAGAACACCTAGACAGGGAATAACACATGCATCTAAAGAGCATTTACAGTGTGGTTCATCATTTATTTGTCTGAAGGTTTTCAAGTTTCATCGGTACAACCTCATCTATCACATTGTAGTGTCTTACTGCACTTATACCAGAAGCAGTAACGAACAGTAGCTGAGCTATTAGGATTGGATATCAACATTTACATTCCTAGGGAATACCATGCAGGATAAACCTCAGGGGTGGTGACATTTGCAAAAGTCAACTGGCATGCAAAACAACCAATTTCACATTAATAAGTTTCTCTTTCTCTCGTACACATCCAATTTTCTTAAATGTTCACTTCCACAGACTTCAGAAGGCTTCTGAATAAGACAATCTCTATTAACATTTGTTTCTATTAATATTTGTTATGACAGTCATAGCTTAAAGCGCAGACAGCTGTGACCTGAATTTAGAAAATATTTATAGAAACAAAGGATTGATCTGCAATTATTAAAAAACTATCAAGAGCATCATACGGCTCCAGCTTGTTTTTCCCCTCCGGTTATTTATAAGCATTAGTAGACGTTTATGCACATCCTCTTATTCTTGCACAGTTTCTTTTGAGTTAATGAGGTTTCCAGTTTTAGAACTTTTGAATAACTTCTTTGAGAGTAAGAAGTAATGCCTCCCATTTAAGTATTTCATATTTTCTTCCATTCAATTCAGGGTGCAAGGGAAACATCTCACAGGAAACTGGGTTTTAATTCATAAATTAAGAAAGCCTGACCTAAACACAATGATTTAAATGGATTTAGCTATGTTTAAGTATTCTTGATAACACTCCAGATTATAGAGCTAGACAGCTGTTACTGTAATTAAGGACATCTAAGCACAGACTCTTAATTCTGTTCATGAACCAACTGGACATGTCTTGACTTTTTTCAGAGGTGTCCGCTATAGCTGTGCCAAGTGGAAGCTGCAGACTTCTCAGTCATGCACTACAGGCGTTCCTGCTTTCCATATATTTCTGCAGTTTCCTGTCCAAACAGAACTCTGGCTATGTATTTATAAAACTAATGTTACACAAGCCCCTGGCAAAAGTATCTGTGCAGTTGCTTACCAATTAACTGCATTACATACATTAAACTAGTGGTGAATACACACTGCATCTGTTATCTTTGAAAAACACTTTAATACAAAGTTTTAATAATAAATATTCCCTGCAATACAGATATCAAAATATAATACAAAAAGGAAAAAAAAGGTACAAATTTAAGCTGGACTTAAGTGTTTTCTGCTGTGCCCTCTGCCATCACCCTGTGTACTGATACAAAATGATCAAAGGCAGACTTGATGATGAATCGCAAGTAAGTGGCTGGGGAATCAGGAAGCTGTAGAAGACAAAAAAAAAAAAAAGTTAATTTTAGTCTCTGTAGTAACATAACTATCAAACTATTTGCAGAAGTTTGTTAGAAGAACCTGTGTTCCTATGTTTGTTTCCAAATTACACATAAATCATGGTGTTCTAAAAAAATTTAGCCAGCTTCAGAGATTCTTTAGGAGACCAATTAAAAACAGTTGTCCCTCCCCACCCCTGAATATAGATTGCAGCCTTCACCACAACAATTCAGGGAGGAAAGACCACCATTCTTCTGGAAGGAGCTCCTTCACACAGGAGCAATAGTTAGGTGCTACTTCATACCCCAATCTACAGAGGAGCAGCAGGAAAGTGGAGTCTTATGTCCTGATCTATGAATTCCCAAATCTACTGTCGAGTTAGCAATAATTATAAATAAACATGTTTTGATTTTTCATGGTTTCCACCCAGTTAGCCTAGACATAGTGTTCCATGAAGTACTGCTGGTGTATCCTGTAAATACTCACTGGAAATTCTTCCATCTGAAGCTGTCCTTCTGTGTGTTGCAAATCTAGAAAATACATATTTTCAGCAAATAATGAGTAACAGGGCACAATGCTGTGAAAAAAATTCACTGGATGTCAGAGTTCATGGGAGTTTAAGGAGCAGGAACTCGCACAACATACAGAAATTGTTCTTTACAAGGTTATTTAAGAGAACAAATACTCTTTGCAATATCCCAGTGTAAAAATATAATTCATTACACTGCTTTATAAAACATCACCCAAGGGGCATTAAAAACAACATAATAATGCAGGAAATGGCACTCTATTATACTATGCAAGTCTGATTTTAATTTTTGGAACAAAAAAGATTGTACAAGTAGGCTCCAGCCCTTCTACACCATTTTACATCTCCAAACAGCTAATCAGAACATCAGGTGTTCATAAACTTTTTTAAATGTGTCTATTAAACAGATGTCTAATAACATCATCATCAAGCCAGACCTGAATACTCAACAGACATGGAGTTAAAATGACTCACTGAAAAAATACAGAGTGCACCAATGATAAAAAGGATGGTTTTATCTGTACATCTCAGATCTAAGATCAATTTTATAAGCATAATTTTTACACACTATGCAAACTTACTGAAAGGCATAAAACTAAGATTTAACAATAGAAGAAAATGTATTGTTTCCTGGTGCATTTGAGTACCATTAGCCATCTGAAAATGCAGTTTTCAAGTTGAGAAAATGGCAATATATAGCACCAGGCTACATGACAGGAAACGTGATTTTCCAACATGTCCATATTCTCACTTGATGTCCAAATAAATCAATGTGGAACTCCAAAAATTTGGTATCATTTATGCAAGAAGTGATAGGTCCCCCCAGAAGATGCACCACTGGCATTTTTAAGGCAACTATGGTCAAAATGTAAATGCTTTACTGTGAAAGTTACTCTGTAGTATAATACTACAAGGAATTTTTGCAGGAAAACAGGGATTCCAGTGAAATTTTAAAAACCTAACCAATATTAACTGAAATTATCAGAAGAAATCTAGGTCACAAGGCTCTACCAAAGCCTGACAATGTGACTAGTCTTGTTCTCAGACACGTGCCAGGCATACAACATGCCAGGGTACACATCTTAGTGTTACTAAGTCAGTTTTTTAGGGGAGGAAAAAGAAAAAAATAAAACCTCCTAATCAAGTTTTTATTTTTGTTTACTTATCTCTATACATAGTAACAATAAAAGTCAATTGGAATCCTTCCTGGTTTGCCTACCAAAAGCTTTGTTATTCAAAAACTTTGAAATCAGTCAATCAGCAAATGCACAGATCGACATCACTCCCACAAAACCCCATCCACTTCAGATTCAGAATCTCACCTTTTTCAACGCACTGTTCGAAATCTACTGGGTCTTTAGATATGCTTCTTTCAATCCTCAAGGTCCGCACTAAAATACACAGCATTTAAAATATAAACATAAATTTTGCATTTTATTGAAAAAAATCTACAAAACACCTTATCAGTATTAACTAATTCACTGCTTCTGTAGTTTAGGGACTACGACTGCAATAAAACCACCACACTCCTGTTTCAGGTTGGACAAACAAGGACAAATTTTCATTTTGTGTTGTGCAGCTTCTGCTGACAATCAAGCTCCTGTGCCCATGCTCTCACCTCATAACAGTGCATTTGATCTTACAGCTCACATTTTCCCTCACCTTATTTTAGAAAATAAAATTCAGAGTTGTCATACACAATTATAAAAATCAGTATTAAAAATAAATCATTCAAATAGTTAAGTATTGCAGTTCTGTCCATAAAATTAGATGAGCCACCACTGTACTACAGAAGTTAACTAGAAGATCAATACAAGGTTGCTATGAGAACGAAATAACAACTGCAGCTGGGGCAGATTGGCCATCTTTTTCTGACACATTTATGAAAAACTTTGGACATGCAAGACAAGTGTTTTGCTAAGCTGTACCTTTATTAACGTGTTAAAAGCGACTACTTAAATATACGAGGCTACTGAGAGAACGTGCATGTAAGTGAGTACATTTTGAATAATCTGTACTGCATACTGCAACACACGAAGCCTTACCCAAGTAACACTGGATGGCGACTTTGCTGATTTTTACACATTTAGGAAAACCAATAATGAATTCCTGCGGGAACATTCCTGTCGTCGTCCAGAACGTTTCAGAACTTCTGTGGAGAAAAACAAAACCACACAGGGCGTATTTATAGCAGCCTTGAAAGAAATTTTTAAATAAATAAAGAATGAGAGGCCGTTATTACTGGGGGAGATTTTAGTTTGTGTTGGGGCAGAAAATATTCCAGCTTGGACAGGCACCGCGCTGCCATGGGACCCCCCCTCAGGGCCCCTCTCACCGCCCTCACCCGTCCGCCATGTTCTCGGCGGGGTGCTGCGGGTCGCTGGAGGTGGCCAGGACGAGGGCAGCGCCCGCCGAGCTCCGGCACCAGTCGGCGGCCCCCATCTGGAATCGGGAGCGGAGGGGATGGCCGAGCCCGGTGCTGCCGGTACCGGGCAGCAGGGGCCGCCCCGGAGCAGCGCGGTTGTGGCCGGGCGAGGCGGTGCCGCAGCGGGACCCTCACGGGGGGGGGGAGCGAGAAAATGGCGGCGGCGGCGGCGCCCCCCCCTCAGAGCCCACCCCGGGGCCGCGTCCCCTCAGCGTCCCCTCAGCGCCCCGCTCCCCTCCCGCTGCCCGCCCCCGGCGCGGCCCCGCCTGCTGCGGGATGGGAGCGGCGAGAGCGGCCCCGGCTGAGGGAGCGGCGGGGCGGCCCCGGCGGGGCAGGTAGGTGAGGGCAGCGCCCCCCCCCCGGACCCCTCAGCACCGCTCCTGCCTGCCCCTGCTCTGAGAGCCGGGAGGGGGCTCCTCGGTCAAGGCTCGGCTGCCCTGCTGCGGTCAGCCATTTACCCTCCTCCTCCTCTTTCTCTTCGTTCCCCTCTTCCTGCAGCACAGCTGTGCCCCCCCTCACACCCCAGCTCCTTTTCGCCATCCCAGTGTCTGTGGGTTGATGGCAGGCAGCACCCAGCCCGGCCCTCCTGGCGCTGCAGGGTTACGTGACAACCTGCACTCAGGGCACCCAGGATCGCTGACGGGGCTTGGGGGTCTTTTTCAAGGTGTGTTTTACCTGTCTGCGGTTTGTTTTTGCAGAACTGGACCAGGGGAATGTCGTGCTGGCTCCACTCGGAAAGCTGGCTGGACACCGGGCCGATATATGTGCGTGAAAATGGGAAGCTGCACGTGGTAAACCAGGGTGCGGGCGGCATACACAATGTCCCTCCCAAAGCAAGACCTTTCAGGCTGTTCTCCAGAGGATTTTCTGTGGAGCTCTGCATGAACAGGGAGGACGACAGGGCAAGGAGGCAGAGGACCGATCACTTCATCTTCACCGTACACCAAGGAGGGGAACCTCCGATACTCGGCCAAGTCCCTCTTCAGCCTGGTGCTGGGGTACATTTCTGACAACGTTGACCACATTGACTCGTTGATTGGTTTCCCAGAGCAGATTGCTGAAAAGCTCTTCTCAGCTGCCGAAGCAAGACAAAAGTTCACAGAACCAGTTACAGGACTGAGAGCTCTACAGAAGTTTACTGAAGCATATGGCAATTTGGTGCTATGTTCGTTATGTCTGCGGAATAGGTAAGTGCATTCAGTAACAAATACCTAGTGCTTTTTGCTAGCATGCTTAAATTTTCCCTTACTTTCTCTCAAAAGTAACTTTTCAAAAAATGTAGGCCTAATAGCACCACCTATTTTTAGTCAACTGACTTGAGCCTCATCTTACTCTGCTGCTTGTTTCCCTTCGTACCATTCCTTTCCTAACAAGTACAGCCCACAGCTGCTGGTTTCACACTGAGATACAAGGCAATATAGGTAATAGATTAAATCCATGTAAACTAAAGGGGGATTTTATTTGAAGGTTTAAACTTGCAACTATTTTTTAACAATGCTAATCAGTATTTGCATAACAGTCTGTATGTGTAATGCTACCTCAGGTATTTCTTGGGTCATTTTTCTAATTGTACTTAGAAGCATTTCAACATGCCTAGCTGACTGTTCAGATAAAATACACCCTTGCAGACCATCTCGGATTATTTACTATAAGTTTTTAACTCATTTCATTTTTTATCCCATTTCATTTTGGGTGCTGAGCAGAAGATACAGTCTTGTAGGTGAGAGTTAGAGCCTTTGAAGTCAGGCAGGTTTTACCTTAGTGGTAACTGTGGTTCCTAGCCCCATACTGAACATACCTTAATGAGGTTCTGATTAGAATACAGCTTTTTTTTTTTTCTACCTTCTCGGTGTTCACGTTTTCTTTCTCTACAAGAGAGTCACACCAAGCTTAAAACTGAATGTGCTTTTAAAGCTTTGCTCCTACTGAAGTCTTTCCAAGTACTGTAATGAGACTATTTTCCATCTATACATGTTAAAAGGGATGGTTTATCCAGTTTAGAATCAAAGTACGGGCATATTCATCTGAAGTGCCAAGGGTGTTTTGAGCACAGTAGGAATGTTTGATCAGAGGTCAATTATCTTTTGTTTTATCCCTTAAACCTACTCCCTCTTTATTTTTAGTACAGATACTTTTTATGAGCTTAATTCAGAAGTGGAGTTACCTCTGGCATAGTTTGCTATGACAGAAAGCTCAGTTAAGCATCAAGTCTTTGAAATCCAGGAAGTAAGATACTAAAGCACTTTCTGATTAATCATATTTGTGAAAGAGCCCACTCTTCACAAGCCCTCTGTGGTCTACTGAGAGTTGCTTTGCACTCTGACTGCACGTATTGCCTCCTAGAATTTGGTGGAGTAGTTTGGTAGGTATACTTGCACCAAGAAGGTGCTCTTACTTCCATGGGCAAAAAGGCATTCATTGAGGGATGCAATTAGTAAACACACCTAATTTCAGCACTGTAGGTGTTATCCTCAGAGAATGTCTTGCTGTGGGGACTGTGAGGTAAATTCAGAAGAGATTAGGTTGTATTGCTATGGAAATAAGAGGTAAAAGCAAAGGAGATGGGGATAAGGTAGTAACTGCTACGTGCAAGCAGGGTGTTACTGCATATTCATGCATGCCATTCTTCAGTGCATTCCTACCTCTAAACCTCCTACTAAATAGTTCCAGCACAGATGTTTGCATGGCTGCAGAGTGAATCGGATCCGGGAACCAACGCAGCTCAAAAAAAATAACCCACTGAGTAACCACTGCCTGGGGTGTAATCACCGCTCCAGTTGGAGTCCAGGGTCCTGCAGGCATCTTGTTGGACTTACTCTAGTGAGCTGGGCCACGTCTCTAGCGAAGTATTGTATTTTCACATGTGGAAAGTAAAATTTTACCATTTGGCAAGCTGTGCTGATGCATTCAGAATAGATTTGAAACCTGGGTGAATGCTGGTTTGTCTCCACGCCACCTAGATACTAAGGAAGAGCAATTTGTGAATCTGATTTAAAGTAATTTATTCTACATTATTCTGAAATAATACAGTAATAACCTGAAAACAGGCCCCTAACAGTGGTGTTTGCAAATTGAGGTTGTAATTGTTAGTCCATTATTCTGTGTCATAACAAAACAATATTTATTCAAGGAGAAGGCTGGGGATTCGGATGTGTTGTGTGCAGAATGCAGTTTAAAAAAGATAATTACAACAGCTGTCCAGTTTCTGTCAGTTTCTACACAGATTCATATGAGAAATAACTGCCTTATGCTTGTGACACTTGAGAATACTTGAAGATCCTTCTTATGTGCCCTGAACACTGATAGCTTTTTTGTTCTTTACAGATACCTGCTTATCTCTGAAAAACTAGAAGAAATTAAGTCTTTCCGGGATCTGACGTGTTTGGATCTTTCCTGTTGTAAACTCGGAGATGAACATGAACTTTTAGAACACCTCACTAAAGAGGCTCTGTCTAGGTACTAATTGCTTGATGTGTATCTAAAGACACTTTCTTTTCCTATCACTAAGCAGTTCAAAGAATCAAGGTGTGACTTTACAGAAAAATTTCACAGAAAGTAGTGTGTAAATTTGAAGATTTCAGTTGTTGATAAAACCTGTTCTTGAGGTAAACAAAATACAGAATTTATTGTACAAAAAGAACATGCTCTAAAGGACATACTAAATCTCAAAGGTGCTATAAATGTGCAAGATAATTCTTGTGTATTTTTATAATTTCCATTGGGCAGGAAAAAAAAATGCATCTTAAGCATTTGTTACAGCTTTACACTTTTATTTCCTTCTTTAATGGGTAACTTTTATAAGACAAATTTTTAACTAAACCAATAGGCCAGATGGAGATCTGTGTAAGCACTAGGTTGATGTTTAGTTAATTAATACTTTGGAAAATAAATTTTATTATGTTTGATACTGAAGATTGAAAAGTAAAAAAATTGGGAAAACAGTAGACAGAATAGCTACTAACTAGGGGATATTACATTAATATAAAACTTCGATACTTTGATGCATTTTGAGATGAAATTTTGTTTTCAAAGCACTTTGAAAAATGTTGTAATGTTATGTTTTCCCTGAGTTCATCTGTGTTAATAATACCTCATTGTTTACCTAAAAATTGTTGCTGCATCTCTTGCCAAATCTGTCCTCTCCCATTTTGCCAAGTGTTTTTCTCTTTTCAGTTTTGAGTGAAGTTGAGATTGGCAGTCCTGATTTAAATGACTTCAATTTATAAAGAACCTCCTTGTCTCTGTTAGCAAATGCTTGTGCTCTAGGATGAGTTTGTCACTGGAGTTCCATGAATAACTGCTCAAATAAGTGCTTCTGTTGAGCTAGCAGAAGGAATATAAAAACATTTGTCAGTCCTACTAACCCAGGCTTCTTTCTTGCTACTTTTATTAATGTTAATAAAAAGTTCTTATTAACCCTTCAGTAGACTGAGCGGTTGGCACAAGATGAGCCCAGACTTTTTGCATAGAGTTTTAAGATATTTTGCAAAGCTGTCTAAATAAAGTGACTGTAAACAATTGTTTTGTATTTCTCCTCCAGTGTAAAAAGGCTTCTCTTGAAAGACAACGCTTTATCAGATGCGGGCCTTCGCAGAATGACAGCACCAGTACGAGTATTGAAAAAGGGACTTGAGAATCTTTTGGTATTAGACTTGTCTTGTAAGTGCTTCATGGTATAATATTAGAAGCAAACTGTATCTTTTTTTGATAAAGATTTTTTTCCACTTAATATTGAAGGGATACAAATAATTTAACAATTCCTTTGAGCCTAGTACCCAGTCCCAGGTTTGACTGCCAGCTTCCCACAAGGCACAGGTCATACCTCTAAGTCTCAGCTACATGTTAATTACGTACATGTCTCTAAGAACGTGGGAAGTAATATTGTAAAACTTGTATTTTGATCATTAGAGGAAAAACACCACATTTGACTCAATTTCCAAACATGAATCATCCTACAAAGAAGAGGCCAAAAATCCCTTGTTCAAGTATTAGCTTTTGGAACAAATAGTTTCTTGGTATTCTATCTTCTTCCACATCTTGCAACTTAACTTTACCTGACATTACAGGTAACCCTAAAATCACAGATGTGGGAATTGGATACATTCTTTGTTTCAAGAAGTTGAACTGTTTGGACATTTCTGGGACAGGTCTCAAGGTAAAAGAGCTTCTAAGTTTAACAGACAAATATAACCAAATGGTCTTTCCTTCTGACCACTTCATTTCCCTTTTCACTAGGATGTTAATGCCGTCATTAAACGAATCCAAACGCAGATAGGCTTGGTTCACTCAGAAGTGCCTCTGAAAGAATTTGATCATAGTAACTGCAGAACAGAGGGATGGGCAGAGCAGGTATGGGTTTTTAAGTCTATTTTACTTTCTAGAAATGTTTCTTATGTAATACCTATGAGGTATTAAATCACTAAATAGGAAATAATAACGGATATGTTTCTGTTGACGTTTCTGTAAACTTTACAAGAAATATTAACTCCCTCATATTTTCTTTCAGACAGTTTTGCAGTGGGAGCAGGCAGTTATGGAGGCTGTCAAGCCACAAGAGGACTTGAGATCCAGAACAGCAGCTCAGCACTTCTGTACGTAGTTGAATAGAGACCACATTATTTAATCATTTTCTAGGAGGAATATTTTCATGCATTTTTGTAGTACAAATAGCATCTCAGATGTGCAATTTTAGCCATTTGTGCAACTGCTTTACAGTGTGGTGGGAGGTTTTTTGTATGTGTTTTTTTTATATATATATATTTGTTAGATTGCTGGATAACTTACTTAAAATTCAGTATGACAGCAGGCTCAGGGCAACATCTAATAACTGAGTTTTCTCCTTAAAATCTGGAGTCCAAAATAAAAATGTTCATTTCCCCTATGTATGCTTCAGTAAAACAAACAGTATTTCCAGGTTTGCTTGGCCAAAACAATTTGCAACACACGTGTACATTTTAAGGCATAATTCTGTTTTTCCCCCAACTCTGAACTTTTTGTTTTTCCCCCTGTAGATGGCAAGACACGCAGAACAGAGGAAGCAGTCAAATGCAAGTTGGAGGAGACAGAAACCAAAGCATCTGGAAACTTGCAGTTTTATAAGGAAAAAGTTCAAAATTGCCATTCACCTTTGAAAAAGGAGGTTGCAGGCAGCCATGAATCAAAGAACAATAAAAAAAGAGCTTTGGCTGAACAAGAGAGAGAAAGGACTTCCAAACAGAAGCATCTGTGCCTCACAGTGGAGGACTGGGATTTGTTAAATACCTACTGAGTCAGAAAGAAACGAGTCTTTTGTTTGTTGTTTTCTTGCTGACAACGGATTTTAGAGGCGTTCAGATGGAGTAACAAAGCAGACCAGTATTGTTAAAGCTGGTTGCTGTGATATGCTTGTGTTATCGTAGGCTTGGGGAGGGGAGGGCTAGAGTCCAGGAGAAGGGTGATGTTACTACTGTATATTTTCAATACATAATTTTTTTCAAATAAAGTTTTTGTTGTCATCCTTAACTAATTCTTCTGACATAGATACCGTTCACAAAAATACTGGTCTTGTCCCTTCTCATCTCTTGTCTCCTCAGGGGCCAAAGACTAATAATAATCACTGCAACTTTTTAGAAGTAAAGCTGCGCTGTGCTTGTCAAGTGCAGTGGGCCTTTAACAGTGCTGCTAGCACAGAAGGCTCAGCCTGTAAAAGCAGAGGCTGTGCTGATAGAGCTCTGACAAAGGGAGGAAGCAAACAGGATAAGGACGGGCCTGGGGGAGGGAGGGAAGCAGAGACAGAAACCCCTCGGTAACATTGCACAAAATCAAAGAACAGAAGTCCCCTATCGCCTTCCTTTTAACCCAGGAAATGAAAGCTGAAACTGGGTTACTGCAGAGATTAAACTCTACAGCTGTACTATGCCCTGCCTTACAAGCAAATCCTGCCTGCGCTTTGTGCTTTAAAGCCTCCTCTCAGTGTGTGTGCAGGCTTGCCATACGCTAACTGCATCTCATCTAAAACATAAAGGGAAGTGTTCACTGAACAGCACACGCTTGCTGCAAAAGGCAGAGATACTCAGAATCGTTCCGGTTTGGTCTTTCTGAAGCCAGGAGTACAGCTGTAACACTGCAGGTTTGTTTATCATCAAAACAGGACTGGAATTCAGTCAAAACTGAGGTGCTCAGTGAAGCCATCGTTGTGCCCTTTAAGGCCAAGGACAGGCTGCTTCTACTCGTGCCAATTTAGATATCTTCAGAGTTCAGTGTTTGTCACAATTCAGTAACAAGGAAAACAGCCCATCCTTGGCAGTCACAAACACAAAGATGCCAAGAAAGGGAACTTCACCTCAAAAATGCGTAGAGATGAGAGGGAAACCCCTGCCTCTTTGTTTCTGTATTGCTGAAGTTTCTCCAAAAAGGACTACAAACAAAGAATGCAACTATGCTTGTTTTGAAGCCCTACATTTTTTTTTCCCAGAAACTCTAGGCTATTTATAGAATCCACTGAAGACTACATCAGCCCTCTTCTGAGACAAATAATGGCACAAACAGTGACTTAGCAGAACCACTACCAGGGAGGAAGAAGGCTGTGACACACAAGCCTCCTCCTGCAGCTGGCTTTCGGTTCAGCAGCCAACGTGGATTTCTTTTGCTAGCTCTTCTGCGACTGTGAGATCTGCTCATCTGAGCATGCAGAGGCCAGCCTCGGAGCGTTGTGTTCTCCGTTTCACATCAGTAAAGCAGCTGGGAGCTGACACCTTGAGGCAGAAAAGAGGCACATTGTGATTTGGCATGAACGGCCTGCCCAGGTCAGGAGTGTCAGTAAAATAGCACGGTGTAGCTTCACTTCTCAGAAGAGGTATTTTAGAGCATTGTGCTTTTTATGTTCTCCACCCCTGGTAAAGTTAGTCCTCGTGCTGACCAGCAGACTTCCTCTTTTAAACACACCGTTGTGTAAATTTTATCCTGAGATGACTTAGGCACGTTACCACTCTGTACTCATCCCCCTCATCTCTCCTCAGAGCTCTGAGGCACAAATCCCCCACTGACAGGACTGACAAATACAGGACGGGGGGAATCCAGCAATTGCCACATGGCCCAGCCTAACCAGCGTCCTCTTCCCACCCACAGCAAAGGTGAGAGGCTCCACAAAGTCATGGTCACCCCAATATTTTTAAGGCAGAACAAGTTGCTTACTAACCATATTTGCTGGTCTCAGTGCTGAGCATGAAGGTTTCAAAGCCCATGAAGAAGGCAAACAGCTGGTGGTTGAACCCCATCTGAATCACAAAGCAGCTCTTCCCCCAAAAAAAGAGAGAGCTGCCCCTGAACTGACCCTCCTTGAGCTCCTCTGAAGAAGTGCTGCAGAACTTCCTTGTAGATTGCCCCTGGAAATGCTTTGGGGTAATAAGAGGAGCACAGCAACTACAACAAAACAGGATTTACCAACCCCTAATCAGCCTTGTTGAAATGTTAGATGCCTGTGATTTTCTGGTAGAAACGTGCATCTCTATTTCATGTTTTGACTGAGGCTGGAAGCTTGAAAGTGAGAAATGTTTACCTAAAAAACTCAGTCCCTCCTCTGAGCTGCAGCACTGAGGTGATGCTTTACAGACATAGCGAAAGCAAGCCATCCGTCCCGGCCTGGCATGGCAAAGGAGGGGTTATTAAACACAGCTCTAAAAATTTCCATGGTACCTGTTCCATTATGCAGAATTTTGCCGTCTCATTCTAGGTAAAGCGTGAGTCAGAACACAGCAAAGCTATTTTTAAAAGATCTGTCAGATCCATGGCTGTATCCCAGCTACAAATTAGAACAAACATCCACCATTTATACCAGCCATGGAGAGACGCCGAGTTACAGATCACAGGAGAGAGAGGAAATGAGTGGACTGGCTTTTATTTTTAAAGATATGTGACCTGGGATGGTGGTGGGGAGAACAGTGCCTGATGTTTATTTTGGGCCTAGAACAGTAGGAACACTCACTGAAAATCCGTGTTTTCCTCAGAATCAACATTTTAGACACAGATGAGTGTTTTGGTTTTCCTTTCTTCAAAGGAGCAGAGAAAGAACACAGCTTTCTTAAATTTCAATGGCACATCCACATCTCTATCCTGCGGACTGCTTTGAAGGCCTGGCTGGCAGAGGAGCAAACCGAGCGGATCCCGAGTCATCCCACAGCTGCCCAGCAGTGGCTGCAGCTCTTGGTTTTCTTCTGCTCACTGCTCCAAGGCTGCCGTGGAGCCCACCACACACCTTTTTTCCTTGCTAACTGAACGCAGTGCAATGCATCCCAACCCAGTGGCTGTTTGTGGAGCTGCCACTCCAAAACTGCTCAGCCCCAAGACAAACACACTTCAGATGTGCCCTGGTCCCCCCTGAGTGCCCAGGCTGGTTGGAAGGACAGCTACACCCCACATGAACACTGATTTTTCCTCACAAACCCCAGTACATCCGCCGCAGTTCCCTCACCATTACTCTCTCCACGCTGACCTTCATGGTTTGAGCTCTGTGCAGGAGGTGGCCCACATGGTGGCTCCCCAGACGTGTCACCCAACACCAGGCCCCACAGGAAGCCTCCCAGCTGCATCAGCGCAGAGCCTTCAAAGCAGCTGCCGAAACAACCCACAGACATGCTTTACACACTGAGTCCACCTTCTCCTGCCCACGGACATCAGGAGCATGGAGATGTGTCAGAGGGAAGTGCTCAGGAGGACCCATGAAGGTGTCCCACAAGCTAGTAGCATGGCGCTGCTGTCCCCACACCGTGCTGCTGATTGGGCCGGAGCTTCCAGAGCAGGACAGCAGCATGGGAGGTGACAGTGCAGGAAACACCTCCCCACGACCAGCATCTCCTGGTGCTGAGGCTTCACGGTGTGCAGAGGTACTCATCGGACCAGCTGGTGCAGTGCTGGACGCTGTCGCGGCACAGCGACCTGGGCACGCAGGCGCAGTACTCGTGGAACACGGGGCTGCAGCTCCACCACGCTGACCCGCACGGAGGGCAGGCGGACACTGCAGGGACGAGAAACCAGGAACAGAAATGCTGCTGCTGCACGCACCAGGAGCCTCCTTCCTAACACCGGCAGCTATTGAAAAGACAGCAGTGATGACCCTGAGTCTGCGAACCCACCAAAGAGACGTTTTTATGATCTTTGGGGCAGAGATGCCACCCTGGGAGGAATGGCCAGCTGTAATTCACTTGTTTAGCAGGCTACCCTAGACAAAGCTGCTGTTACAGACAGGTCTCACTGGAGGTTCAAAACCTCAGGGGGTGATTTAGGAAGAAAGCTGCTGCTCATTTTTGAGCAGAGGTGGATTTAAGTCACAGAGACACACTCAGTCCCCCCTTGATCTTCGGGACATACCTGTCTCCTGACCAAGGACCAGAGGCTTGTTTTGAATGATTGCTGCTGATACAGCTGTGCATCAAGATGGAAATACTCTGTCCTCAACAAATCACAGAGAAAGAACAACTTCTGGGGCTGGGAGCAAAGAATCATCAAGTCATTTAGGTTGGGAAAGACCTTCAAGACTGTTAACTCCAACCATCAACCTGACCTACCAAGTCCCACCACCACACCATGTCCTTCAGAGCCATGTCCATAGAGTCATAGAACCATTCAGGCTGGAAAAGACCTTCAAAGCATGGAGTCTCTCCCCTCCTGGCTGCCTCCAGTTTTTGGATGTTGAGGAGCCCACATGGTTCTCTCAAGACCTAGCCCAGCCATTTGTGTCTCAGAGGAGGGCACGAGCCTCCAGTTGTTCCCAGCAGAAGCACTGAGCACCACTCCTGTAAAACCTCTTCAGTCTCTCATGAGAGCAGGCCCTTTGCTTACTGTATCCAGAAGGCAGACTTACAGCTCCCTATCTCATCGGAGCAGTCCCCGCAGTCATTGATCCCGTTGCACCTCTTGTCGGCATAGACCCAGTGCGCAGGGTTACCACAGCGGAAAACCAGGTACGGTGGGCAGGCTGCGGGGCAGGTCGCCTGCAAGGGCAGAGACAGAGCCCATGCTGAGCTCTTGGGGCACGGCTGTGCCTGCTGAAACAGGGACAGGCAGCTAACGAAGTGGTTAAATTAAGGCCCAGTTGGTGAGACAGGTCTTCAGAGCACAGCAGGAAGACCCGGGTGGGAAGATCTCAATGAAAGTGCTCACCACAGAGTTCCTCCTGCTCATCCTCTCCGTCTCTGCAGTTGGAGGTTCTATCACAGACCTGGCTGGCCGGGATGCAGGTCACTCTGTCGTCACACAAGAAACCTGTCCGGTTATTGGAGGCTGCACAGAGGCGGTTTGCTGAAGGGAAAGCAAGAGACGCTGTTTTCTGACAGTCTCATGCTCACAGATGGTATGGGGAAGAGATGAAGATTTCAGAATCAAAAGAGGGGGGAATTCAGAAATTATGTCATCTGGAAATAACTAGGGGCCAGAACCCATCTCCAGTGTCCTCCTGGTGGGTGCCAGCAGCTTGAGTTGTGCCACCCGGAGTTTCCACAGTTGAGGATCAGTTCAGGGCCACCTCTCTCAGCCCCTTTCCTTCTCCCCACCACTGTTCCCCTCAGCACCGCTTTCTACCTCCCCCATGGGGCCAACGACGACCCTCACGGGACCGACCTGGTGAGCGTGGTGGGAGCCCCAGCGCCACCGCCAGGCCCACGATGGCCACCGTGGCAGCCAGGAGGAGCAGTGAGGTGACACAGACACATCTCGGTGGGCAGCACAGGTGGGCCCCACGCGGCCGGCAGCAGCCTGTCGGGAGGCAAAGGAGAAAGGTGAGGGGCTGGGGAGGGTCCAGGGGGGCTCTGGGCTGGTGTGGGGCTGCTGAGGTGTGGGTGAGACTCTCCTCTACCATGCCAGCAGTTTGAGTTTTAATAGTTCAGGCACTTCTGTCACCCAAAGGTGAATTAGCAGCTCGAAATGGTGACAACTGGACAGTGAGCAGCCCCTTTCCCTCCCCAGAGACATCGCAGGATACAACAGGCTGCAGCCTCCCAGGGAGCCCAGCCTGCAGAAGGTTACTGACATAAATCAAGCAAAATCAGGAAGTTAAAGGCCAAAACCACAGCCATTGCAACACAGAGCAGCACACGTACGAGCTGACCAGCTGCCTTGGCTCTTGGCAACGCCAGAACTGCGTGTCTAAACCCAGCGGTAACTTCTCTCAGATTCCTCTCTATTCCCAGACCGACAGGAAAAAATGAATGTGGTCATCTGAGAAACACACACACTTGCGTAACGGGTCACTAAAGACAACTCTGTGTGAATAACTGGATTTTGGTGCTTCTGAACATGAAGAGCCTTCATGAAAAAGTTAGGATTTCTTAGCTGTGCCTCACACTCGCTCAATTGCTGCGTGTTGTAGAAGGCAAAGACACACCCATGGCTCAGCCACAAAGGGATCCAGGCTGCAGTAACCAACCCCTCCGTCAGGCATGAACAGGAATCAAAGGCAGGACATCGCAGTTTAAAAGCTAAGCGGTGAATTACAGCGTGTCTGTGCCTACAGGACAATGCCTTTGACCAAACAGACACGAGTATAAAATAATAGCAGTGAGGAAACGCTGTTATGAGGCAATCTGCAGGTTTCCTGTTGATTGTATGTGATCTCACCTTTTCTTTCTTAATGTGGACAAAATTTGCTGAAGCTTAAAGCATATAGAAAGCCCACAGAAATAGTTATAAACCTCATCTGCAACAGAGGAATATCACATATCATGTTACTATACCATAAGACTGCCAACTCCAGGCCAACAAAAAGCAGCTGAAGTCTATTAATTTTATAGTCTGGATGTTTCACTACAGAGGGGGAAAACATCAGTCTCAACAGATCATAAATACTGCCTGTATTTTACATTGCCTAGACAGTTTCAGTTGGTTTACAGTTCAATAACAAAAACGTTAAGCTTGGCATTACATTCGTTACCTCTTTCTTCAGAGAAGGGCTTTGCTGGATGAAAAGGAGCTACATCACCGTTCCTCTAGAAGGAAAGGAAACACCGCTTACAGAAGTGACATGATAACCATGCAACGTATGCTTTTCTAGTTCTCGTACCATCTTATCCAGGAATTAATATGTAAATATGGATAGACATGGAGATAAATATTCTACAAACAAACAAAAATTACCTCAGTGGAAACCTGACCCAGATTTGGCTCACAAAGCGCTCAGATTACCTTCCAAATCTCCGTTTCCTATTTGTACAACATGCGCTAACTCGATACAGAAGCATTGATATCAAGTGCTGGATTTGATACCCTTTCATATCAAAGCAGATGAAGTAGATATGACTACAAAACTCAGAAGCCGCTGATAGAGAAGTTAAACAACATTATCAAGAACAAGTGTACTTTAGGAAACAGTCGCACATCAGATTTTTGCAGAGCAGGGCCATACCTGGGGGTGAGTTTTGTTCATTCCTCCTGCAGCCACAGTCTTCACAACAGCCCAGTGGACCACAGGGAGCTCTCAGCACCCCAAAATTCAACCATGGTGCCAGCATACACCGGCTGTAACGTGAGCGATGTTACCAGGATACAAAATGCAACAGAGGGAGGAAAGCAAGGAGCGTGGTGCTGCCCAGCACGTGTGCAGGAGAGGCCAGGGAGGCTGAGTGCTTGCTCTGGTCGGAAGCAGGGTTTACAGGGTTTGCAGCTTGCTTCTCACCCCTCCCAGCTGATAAAGGGCCCAGAGACTCCTGATACTGACAACCCCACTGCTGCTCCTGACACACATGGAAGACAAATGCTCACCCCCCAGCTGACACAGCTTGAATTTGCCTTGGTGCCAGCCAGGAACCAAAGGACAGGAATTGAAAAGGCCTGAGAAAAGGGAGTCAGGTCACATCCACCCAAAACTCATTTCCCCACCTCTTCCCCAAAACAAGGCTGACTCACTGACCTCTGCCATAAGCCCAGGCTCCTACAAGACAATCAGGTCTCAGCAGAGCTGTGCAGGATACAGCCACCTGGAACAGCTTCCTCGCTTGGGCCATGAGCACGGGCTGAGCAAATCCTCCTGGGTCCTCTTTTATTCATGTATGCAAATTTCCAGGCCTGCGGTAAATCTTCGCATGAAATGGATTGCAGCTTCTGAACTGGCCGCAGGCTTCAACACTGCATGCAGAGTGGACTTGCAATTTTAAAGACAAAATGCTGTGAGCCCACCTTCCTCATGCTTGCAGGAGGGGCCCCAGAACTCAAGCACCTCCAAATTGTTGCCACCCCACAGGATTCTCCCTCCTAAGAACCAGTTAACCAGGGCTCAGAGAAGTCAGCAGCTGTATTGCCTAAAAGCCGGCCCCAAGACAGTTTCACCAAGTGAATTGATGCAAAACAACAAATAATGCCTGATATGGAGTAACTACTTCCCTCTCCATGCCCAAGCACACAACTCACTCATGATTGCCGTGAGTTATTGGCTTCTTGGCAACAGCACGTGCCAGCCCTGCACTCACCTGCACCAGCCCGAGTTAAATACAGCCTTCCTCCTTCAGCAGGGCAACACCCATTTGTCCAAAGCAGAAGCTTCTCACTGAAATCTATCACAATTAAACTTTGTGCCAGAAAGCTCTCCTGGTTGGAGAGGAATTTGGGGTGAGAACGCTAAATGCCAGTTCACAGTCTGTGACTCTAGGCACTCACCACACCATGGAAGAATGAGACTAAGGGTTAAAACCTGTGTATCAAATTCCAGATCTTCTGCTTTTCAGAGGGGATGTTTAAGTTTCTAATCTGACTTGCTACAGAATGAGCATTTTGAACCTTCAAAAGGCTTTAGGTGATAGCAAGCTTGGTAACAGTGCCATGTACCAGGTCAAGCAGACTCCCTATGCACATCCCACAAACCAACCCTTAAAAAAAGCATTTAAGATGTGGAGTGAAACAATCCTTAGAGACAAATGTCCCTAAGAACTGTCATCTACCACTGTTTCCTACAGCAAGGTTATCAAGTTCAGCTGTAACCAAGGAGGCAGTTGGTTTCAGACCAGTTACACCACATCAGACCACCAGTCCAGAAAAAAAAAGACTTGAGAATGAGGTAACACATACAAGCAAGCCTTCTGAAGCGCAAAACACTTGCCCAAGATCAGAGTATTGAAAAGGAAATAAAGATGGATATATTGAGAATGATGTGAGACCTTCGCTAGTTCTATCACACAAAACAAAAACCCTAACACCCACACAGAAGTGCCATGGCTGCTTCTGCCAGTGGTGAATCACACACACTTGAGAGATGCCTTTCTGATGTCAGGATGACTCTATTTAAAATCTGGTGCAAGTTTAATGGAACACAAGCCTAAAGAGAATATAAAATGCTTTCCTTCTGTGATTTCAATAATTTAAGGCCCTTCACTTAAATAGTGGTCTTGGGCAGAGATCAAACCCAAATTGCAGCCTCTGAAAATGAAGATGTCAGGAAGTTAAACGTTTTTAAAAAAAATAAGTAGGAGAAGCCATTTTGCAAAGTCAAATGCCAAGATAGCTTAAATACTCCACTTAGACTAGAAATCTTGAGAAACAGTTCAATTATCGCAACCTAGGCAGTATCCAATTTTACTAAAGAAAGCTGCTTTGACATGAGCTTACAAGCACAGCACTTAACAAGTTCCTTAGGCTCTGGCTTACCTTGGGAACAGCAGTGCCAAGTGACAGATTGCTACAGGCATACAGTTTCCTGTGACCTAACTGAATCATTGGCTTCACTGCACACGTTACTTAGCTGAGGTGTCGTTATTAAACAGTGAACAAGAGACAAAACACGTAAAACTTTATTTGATCCATTTGTAGAGTTTTCTCCCTTTGTTGTAGATGCATAGGCAGATACAATGCCAAATAAAAGCAGAAGTTGTTTAACTCAAACCTAGGAATGTAAGCAATAAAGTCAGACATTTTGGAACAGAAAGGAGTTTCACATTCATGAAATCAAGTCAACATAACAGAGGCCGTACTGTACACATTTAAAACAGGCCAATAGCCGTGTTTTCCTGAAGCTGTAACACTCGCTCTGCAACTACAAGTAACAGGAAAGTAAAATACTGTAACAGACTCAACCATCTACATGTTACTTATTCAGTTACAAAAAAATGGGATTGCTAAAGTCTGTTCTGGAAAGGCGATCCAGAACAATGTAGTGCTAAGAACATGGGCAACCACTGAGCCCGTATTAACAGATTTCCAAACACCCGTTCACATACATCACATCTGATAACGCAGAACAATGCCATTCTGTGCTGGAGCAGGGCTGTGCACTGAGGTTTGCACTGCGCGAGCAGAAACGCACGGCTCAGCTGAAGTACTACAGCAGACAGGGATTTCCCATGGCTGTCACGCAGGTAACAGTGTTCTGAAAACATCACACAACTGATTTTCACGACAGTCAAGTCTAAGGCCTGTGCAGTAACGCCACCCACACACAGGTACACGCTGATGTCTGGTGACACCCAAATTTCTGGGCCACAACACTGCTCACTGACAAACTTAACATCAAGAGGTACCAGTAATTTAAGACTTCAACTTACAGTTTCTGTACATTGATACGAGCCTGCTTAAAACAAACCTCTCCGTGCTCTTAAGCCTCACTGAGAGAAAATCTGCTTGAATGCATCTAGGCTGTGGTTTCTAGCAGCACTGTGGAGGCAACAATGCACATTCCTGCTTAATGACCCCTGCAAGGCTGCATCATCTGCAGTTACACAACCACCAGTATCACAGCCAGATCAGGCACGGCTATTGAGCCATTTGTAACAGAAAGGGGACAATATATTGTATTCTCTAGAACATCAACCATTTCCACCAAATTCAGAACCTGGAGAAATTTTGTTTCTGCTTTTAAACCTGCACAGGATTTCTGCATAATCAACAAAATATGAGTTGGAGACCACGCGTTCTAGCCAGTTCCCAAATACTTAAAAACAGCCCTTTAAACAAATCATACGTCCACAAACTGTGAATACTAAGGGAGCTAGCGATAGCAATCTCAAAGAAAAGAACAGCAAAGATGTATTAGAAACGTGAGGGACACTGTTAGTTGTTGTGTTAGTGAATCACAGAGCAAAATCAGGTCACACTGCCCATGAGAGGAATGCTACAGACAGTGCTGAGCATACCATAGTCAATAATCAACCGTAGCAAAAAGCTATGTAGTCAACGTTTTCTATACAGTCATTTTTATTTGTCTGTTCTCATTTCTCAGGAATCAACTTGTTTCTGTAAATGAAGTTACAAGGCTAGAGTAGTTAATCAAGAGTGGAAAGCAGATTTTCTTCAGAAAACACAGGCTCTAACTTTACAAGCAATTTAAGACATAAAGGATAAAGTTTGACAAAATAATTGACCATGTGGTGTGTGTGTGGAAGGGTATGTCCACACGTTTTAGCAGTTTCCATCTTTCACAAACGGAGTTCTGGCCTACAGTACCTCACAAATGCTTTCCATCGTGGATATTGCCACACTGTAGAAAAAAAAAATATTTATTTTTGCAGAAAGGGTTGTTTGTGCATGGACATTAACAAGTACAAAAAAATCAGCAGATATTTTTATAATATTTTCTCTTAACTACAACAGAAAGTGCAACACTAAAAAGGCATCTCCTGCCCACTTAAAATTTCTTATACCTTTACAAAGCTAACTCGGAATGTACACATTACATCCTAGAACACACAAATAAGTTTGAAAGTGTCGTGGCAGAAGTATGGAAAGCATGCTTACAGCTTTGGTAAGCAAAAAGACACATAGCAAACACCAGTGGAACGTGATCATGTCTGGAAACAAAGTCAAGGTGTCTGAAATCTTCACTACTACCTGAAAACAAAATCCCATGACATTTGTTGATTCTGTAACTTTATTTGCATTTAAAGACTGGCTGCTAAGCTTCTTATCTGAAGAACCACCACAAACAATCAGGAGTTTCTAGCACTGTTAGAATTAGTCTGTTCATTCCAATGGAGGCTTATTTAAATTGCTGATTGAGCCAGATTAACTTTTGTAGGAAGAGGTCCTGCTTCTTCGTGTTCCTCGGTCTTGCATCTAACCACAACAAGTGCAGAGGATGGATATCTGCTCAGTTTTTGTTCATTCATGTATTCCAGATCTCCGTAGATGCTCAGCTTCTGAAATATTTAAACAGAATACTTTAAGACAAAGGCTCTTGATACTGAGAATAAAACACATTTTGTTACGCAACTACATTCTTGGTTTTGATGGCTGTAACCCTTCAACACAAGTTAGCCCAGGCTTTCTGCATCAGCTGAAATTCATGACAAACTATATTTGAGTGCAAATAAAAATATGAAGTCTGCCAGAACAATAGCAGATGTAGTGCTTGTGTACCAGACTCTTTAGCTTGCAAATACTGCGAGTCTTGCTTATTTCAGAAGCACAGTAATCTCTCTGGGCACTAGGCACACTAGCTCAGTTGGTTTCCCTCTGATCAGACTCTGCGTTGACTTTTGTTTTCATTGGTGATCCTCCTGAACGACAGCCATACTGGGTTCCACCCACACCATCCCACCCTCAGCAGAGAAACAGAGGCTGCTTTCCAGTGAAAAGCAACCTAAAAGTTCAGAGGGCAGGGCTACAAGCCAAAGACATAGCACCTGGTCCTCCTGATTAAGGCTCAGAGCACCTATCAGCCACAGGAGTGAGCAAGAATTGTTCAGATATAAAATCATCGTATAAACAACAAAATCTGTTTGCTAACCGCATCTGCAAAATGAACTTTCAAATTGTTGCCTCTCTCACAAACGTTTATTGGCCTGTAAAAAGCTGTAACATAAAAGCAATATCACAAATAAATTCAAAAGTATTTTAAATTATAAGGTAGGGTTACCTCAGACGGAACGTACTGCTCCACAGCTGTAGCTACTGTTGCACAACAAATCCAGAGCAGCACCAACACTGACAGGACAAGTGTAGTGGTTAAAATCCAACTGGAATTTCTGTAACAAAAAGAACATTACTAGACTTGATATATTGAATACAAAAGTATGGACCTAAAAAGTTCTGCTCAATTTTGACCATATGTCCTGTGGATTCACTACTTTCTAGTCTACTTCAGGCTTCTGAGTATACAATTTAGCCTCCAACACTTATTTAGTATCTGACTAGAAAGACACTAAGTCTTGCAGGATTCTGTTTATAGGGCCTTAAGCATCCTCCCACTCACAATTTCAAGAAAAGAGGCACAGTTCACTGATCCTTCATATCTAAACTTTAAAGGAAAAAGTCATCAGTAAGGGAAGAAAGAACCAACACACTGATCTTCAGCACAGCTTAAAGATACAGTGGGCATTTTCAGCCTAGACACGAGACACAACAGTGTCTTCCATATCAGAAAATCCCCAAACAAAATAAAAGTGCTTTGCCCTAAAACATAATCAGAAGTAAGAACAGGCAAAACACAGAATCGATTAAACAGTTTGCAGAAGAACTCATAAAAAATAAGTTTAGGAAACAGTCAGCATTATGTTCCACACTCAAAGCGTAGGAATTATCAACATTCTGGCCAACTGAAATACGAAAGAGGATCAAAGTTGGCAGACTAGCTCACAAATAACGTTGGGCTAGCACAGAAGGCAGCGATAACAGAAGGTCAGACACACAGATTTAACTGCTGTGCATCCTGAAGCTAAGACTTGCAGCACTGACACGCTGCAGCAGTGCCACCACGCACAGGTAGGAGCCACCGCTACGCTCCGTACGGGGTACAGTACATGACACACATACATGGAAAGACACTTGAAAAGGCTGTCGCTTCCGTGCTCTTCAAAAAGCCCTCGGTACATCTGCGAACTTCCTGGGCGTAGGTCTGCTGAAACAGATCAGCAGAAACAGCTGTCAGAAAAGCAACAGAAGTAGAAGCCCCAAACTTTATACAGTTTGTCGGTGCAGAGAACATAAAAGGAAGCTTTTAAAATGGCCCTGGCTTGCATGTTTCTATTTCCAGCAGAGGCTGGTTTCTACCACAGGCTTTGTTAAGCGTGCATAGAGAAGTATACGTCCCAATTATATTTTAGCTTTCTAAAAATTTGCTTTCATGTGCCACCTGCAATTTCTTCCTGTTTTTTTTCTCTCTCTCTCTCTCTCCCTTGCATGACACTGAACATTTGCATTTGCTCTTCCAAATCACAAAGAACAACTTACCGGCTGTTTTACTCAGTGATAAGGATCCTCTCGTGTCTCCAGTTTCCTGTTCGAGCTGTGGAACATACTGTACTTCTGGCTTTGACTAAAACAAAATAAGGGGTTAGGAGATCCTGCTAGCAAGCTCCCATTGATCTTGATCATACACATTTTCAAAATTATCAGGGAAGTTAACCTTAAGACATACACCATTCACAGATTTTTTTTCCCTTGTACCAGTGCTAAAGGCAGCAAAATACTATTGAAAACTAAACACTTCTGACAGTGCTCCATTTTTTTTTCCTGAGACTGGAAGGAGCAGAATTATATTTTTAGTAGCTAGGACACCTTAATCCTAATGAAAAAAAGACAAGCACCTGGAATATGACAATTTTGCCATCATCTGCTTGAAGGTAGAAAGTCCATGAGGATGTTATGAAGCTCTGAGCTGAATCCATCATGTCACTCCAGAACGATCTCACCAGTGTCAGAGGAAAGAGGAGATGAATTCTTGGCATCAGGGACATTAACTGCAAATATATTAGCCGGTTTTCCATTTGTTTTTATATGAAAAGGCCAGAAGTCATGTTCATGCTCACCCCGCACCCCTTGTCTTTATTTCAGTCCTTAGGAAGATTTGTCTTCCGTTTGAAGAAGTTTAAATCAGAGAAGACATGCTGAACAGAAAACAAGTAGGTGGTATTTGAAAAACATGTCATCTACTTACTTGCTCTTGCCTTAACTCAGCAAATGGCAATTGGTTCTGGCATCCAAGATGGCAAGCATATTGTTCATCAGATTGGGAGTATGCCTCAGTACAAGCTGCAAGGAAAAAGTTCCCCAAATGAGAAGATAAATTCTGCATTTTAGTTAAGAAAACATTTTCAGCATAAGTTGGATCAGAAACAAAGCAGCAGTTAAAAGACTGACAATCCTATCTGTAGGGAAAGATGTGGCAATCATTCCATGGTTAGCGTTTGCTGTGAGGTCTAACGAAGGTTGTGGAATCAGAGCTTACAGATCACGTTTTGGAAACTGAATGCAGTCAGAGCAACTGATCAGAAACGTTAAAGATAAACACAGGGTTGCAACTTGTCATTGATCCTCCTCCTGACACTGCATTTTTTCATGTACAGGTTATGTCAAATAAATATATGTATTTTAACCTCAGTGAACAGAGCTGGAATCCTAAAAGAATAGAGGAAGCTTAGGCTGACTAAATCCCTTAGAGGTAACAGAAGTCCAGGTATCACAAGAAAACTGAAGGAGCATTCTCCTTTGAAAACTGCATTGAAAATATTACTTTTTTTAAAAAAAAAAAAACATAAAATGAAGAACTGGCTTCATTTTTAGGTATCTTCTAGCAGTTGTTCACTAGAGATCATGAAGACCAAAAAAACTGAAATTATTCCCATTTACACACAGAGAAGCCAGTCAGACAACCTACGAGCTTAGCTCTTTCCCAGAACACTAGAGCTGAGATAGACAACACCGCAGCACTGCTTGAACTAAAGCCTCAAACACAACAGGGACAGTAGCTTTCCGAATTTCCCCACAGTGACAAACGCACCACCAAAGGCCAGAACGCCAGCAATAAGCACAGCCTCAGCAGTGAAACGTTGGAGCACAGCTCACAGCACCTGAACAGCAATTCCATGGCAAAAGTGCCACCAAACTAGTAGACGCAGAGACATCAGAAGACAGAATTGAGCAGCTCAGCCAAGATGCATCTTGCCAAGCACAGAATAATTAGTCAGGGTACCAACCAGAGTAACAGATTACAGAACATAAGCCAGCAAAAGACAACAGCCTCAGGAAGGAGAGTTAATTCAAAGTAAGCAACTGTTCAATTACCTCTACATGTGCTTTATTGCTACATCACCCTTTTTATGGCACTCTTTCTTGTATGGTTTGACAACTAGATTGACATGCTGTATCACAGCTATGCACAGTCTATGACAGACTCGAGCATTAGCCCATTTCTGGAGTATTTAATACAGTTTTGTGTCACATGAACATCTTAGCATGTCGGGCTTTCTACTTGCAGACCTTCTATCAGCTCCCTGAGACAGCCACTAGCCCTCTGATTTTTATGAGCTCCTGAGAAGACAAAAGCCTCCTTTGAGCACTGACTCGGTGCTTAATTATATTTGAAATATAAAGGAGACCTACTTACTAGCATTCCTGCTCTGGGTGGTTATGTCCCACCTAATCTCTGAGTAAAACTGTTCATCAGCTGCCTTACTGGATAAGTTCTACACAAAAATAATACTTTTTGGCCTGTAGAACACATATTTTATCTTCACTATGAGATTTTTGCTCTGACACAGTCAGAAGCATTTAATGGTCTACTTCAAACAAAACATACCTGTTCCTGAGGGGTTATCCGAGACCAACAGTTAAAAGGCAGACAGCACGTTACAATCTGTGTTCTCACCCCAGCTGAACAATTCACTTTCACAAACAAATTTGTTAGGAACTGTACATGGGCCTGATGTTGCACAGAATTAGAAAAGTATTGACTGGATTCTTTTTCCAGCCATTTTTTGCTTTCCATGACAAAATTTTTAAAGTGAATTTAAGTATTTGTAACTTATTTACAACTGATTACATTTAAGAAATTCAGGAAAACAGTAACACTATAGGTCATGGAAGAAGGAAAGTTGATGAGAACATACAACCCTCCAAGAAGATCTTCTCATTTCCTATATGTAACCTTCAACAAGTTGTTAAACAAAACAAGAAGCAACTGAAATAATCCCACCAATTTAATGCTGATTCTGCTCTTCCCTCCATGCACCTCCATGCTATGGTATGTTAAAGGAGCACCGAATTCCTACCTGAATCACATTCCAGTTTGGTTCGATTCAGATCGATGCCATCATCCACAAACTGGCAAATGGAGAACAGTCTGCAGCCTCGCTGGCATGCATACAGCTCCTCTTCCTGGGAAGGAAGGCACAAGAGAAGATTGCATGCCTCCATTCAAGTAAAAAACGTGAAAAAATTATGGTTTTTAGAGGTGCTATAAAAAGCCCCACACCAGAACACCATCCTTCCTCCCTTCACTGGACCTAGAAGTCAGCTAAGCTGGCAGTCTGGATGACCTGAAATAAAATCAAGCTACAACTCTTTAAGGCTGTTTGATAGCCCTTGATTTACTTCAGACAGGGCTCTCTGCTCTGTGGTAAGCCAGACCTGGAACAGCAAATCCTATTTTGCAATGCCAGTCCTACAGCTCACAGCAAAGTTACGCTGCATTTTCGAAAAAGTGTTGGCTTTAAAAATAAAGACAGTGCTGTAGAAGATTTACTGACATTCAACCATGGAACGAGCACAGTCCTCCATCGTGCAACTTCAGCACAGAACCCAACAGGTGAGGACAAAAAAAATGATTTTTTGTCAGCGTGTTACAATATATCCACCAGACTGGTTAGAAGTACAACAGGTTTGTTGAAATAAAACATGAACTTCTGGCTGCCTTCGGTAGCAATGCCATGGCTAGCTACCTATGTGCACTTCCCACAGACGATGCTCTCCCTGTTGCAGGGTCACAGCCAGCCTCCTCTGCCTGAGTGCTCCAACTTCTGATCAGGAATCGGACCCATCTCAACTCTTAACTACACAGCCACTCACATGATTGCTCCCAGCCGCTTTGCAGGTGGTGAACAGACTCTGAATTAACCTAACAAAAACAAACAGACCACACCTTGCTGCATAACCCACTGTAAACGAACTGGCCATTGTTTGAGAGCACAAGTTCAGGTGCTTTAGAGGCAGAAAAGTTGAAAACGGACCACAGAACAAAACTCAATTCTGACAGCACAGGCAGGGTGGCTCAAACAGTCACACTGGTGCCAAAACCACATTCTATAATTTGATACCCAACCAAAGTTAACTTTAAAAACACTTCTGTGGCAGTCTTCCACAAAAAGTCTTCATGAAAATTGACTATTATTCTCCAACATTGATGCAACCAATTTCCTTCTACTCTACTGATAGCTTTGTGACAAATAGAACAAAGACTAATTGGAAATATTTTAGGATAATGCTTAGGCCTAATTTCCCAGATTAGTTCCTTCTCCTCCCAATCACTGCATGGAGGCACCAAGGCATATGTCACGTACAGATCTAATGCTACCTGTACAGCACACAACGCCCTGCTACTTCCCTATGTGCAGATACCAGCACCAGCTGCTGTGTGAAAAAAGCTGATTTTAGTTTCATGTGAAAGTGAACAGAGCCCTGTTACCTAACATTGTCACTACTTTCGCTTGTCTGCTGCCCTCAAGTGAGATCTCAAAGCCAACGTAAGAATGCCCCTCATCCAGAGCTCAGACTGCTACAGAGCTGCAGCTGATAAAGCTATATATTGCCAGTGAAAAAAAACAAAACAAAACAGGGGAGATGAGGTCACGGTGACAGCTTTTCCGCGTTCACAGCAGCGGTTCTGAGCTGCACAAACCTTTGAACCAACAGTGAACTCTGCCGCAGGCACCTGTATTCTTTAAATATTGTTCCACTGTCTCATCATGAGGTGGGAGAAACCCTGTGCAAACGAATCACAACAGGATGGTCCTGCCAGGCTACTCCCTGGCCACCTTTTACACTTCATCCTTCAAAATGTGAGAGTCACCCTGGCATCCTGGTTGGGGTCCTGGGCACTGCTGTAGCCAAACGAAGCAGCACCCTATGCCAAATGACAGCTGCCTCTTTGGGAACAGGAGGGACCTCTCCCCACACCTATGGAATTCAGAGTCTGAAAGAAGCATTTTTTCGTGTTCTGGCTTGTAAGAAAAAAGTCACACTGCAGACATGTGCTGCCTGCATACAAATTCTGTTCGTGCTAGATGCAAAACAACCGAATATAATGATTTTCATCACCTCATTTGCTAATGCACTCGCTTTGCCACATACTTCTGATTTCACAAGGCCCTACCTGACGCACCTACAGCAGGAACACACCGCGACGAGGCCGAGCCCCCTGCCCGCCCCTACCCACCCCCTCCACCGCCACCACAGCCCCTCAGCCCCCTGAGGCGGCGCCCCGCGGCCTCCCCACCCCTCACAGCCACCGCACGGCGGGGCCCGCCCGTACCTTGGGGTAGGTGTGCAGGGAGTAGGTGAGCTGGCAGGCGCGGTGGCAGGACGCCGTGTTGCCCAGCACGGAGTCGAAAGCCTCGGAGGAGGCGGCGGGCACGGCCCGGGCCTGGCGGGCGGCGGCCAGCAGCAGCAGCAGCAGCAGCCCGAGGGGCAGCGCCGCCATCTTCCTCCTCCTCCTCCTCCCTCACCGCCCCGCTGACGGGACCGCCCCGCGGCCCTCTCGCGAGATCACCCCCTCTTCCCGCCTCCTCCTCCTCGCGCAGCCTGCTGGGAGATGTAGTCCTCTCCGCGGCTCGGCCCCATACGCCTGAAGGGGCTCGGCGCCCGGCGGAACTACACGGCCGCTTCCGGGAGGGGAGCGCGGCAACATGGAGCGCTTCGTGGTGCGGCGGGCCCGCTCCCCGCAGCGCCCCCGCAGCGCCCGGCCCCAGCCCCCGGCCCTGCGGCAGGCCCCGATCGAGGCCCTCAGGGCAGGTCCCGGCGGGGCGTGGCCCCTCAGGGGACTGGGGGGGTGGGGGGGTTCCTGCGGCCCCCACGGCGGCAAACACGCCTCCAAACCCTTGTGCTGTTGAGATACTCGTAGTGAAGTGTCCCTAAATGCCAAAATTTTCCTTTCTAGGGGCTGTTTTGCACCATTTTCCCTTAAATTTGACGTAACAAGATCAAATATCTTGTCCCTTCTGTCTGCCCTGAGCGGCTCTGTGCTGTGTTCCGTGCCCCGCTGCGTGCCCTAATCAATTCACATATTGCAACCCCATTAGTTGGGGTCCTTAATTACCACAAGACCATTCCGCCTTCCTAATTGCTTTTCTCTTTTGCAGAGAGTTGTGGTCGTGGAGGACATAAAGCGGTGGAAGTCTATGCTGGAGCTTCCTGGGCAGCCGAAAGAGAACCTGATCGAGGCTTTGGAGGAGCTGAAGAAGAAAATACCTTCCAAGGAAGTGTTGCTTTCAACAAAAATAGGTACAGCTCTGATCTCACCTGCGTGTTGTGTCTGCTTGGCTTGGCGGTACAAAAAAGACCGTTCCCCCAAGCTTTTTAAAGATAAGAGGATGCTTTACTGCATCCTTGCTCTGAGAAGTCCCCAGCAGAAGGGCAGCACCACAGAGATAGCACAGGCCTGTGCCTGGCTGCTTTCTGTGGGATTTGGGGGAGGGATGATGTGACACTGCATGGTCCCTGCCTTTCCTGCCCGTGCAGATCAGTACATGGCACAGAATATCCAGTTGTGACAGACTGTCATGCTGGCTTTCTTCTTTTTGCCAGTGAGAAGATGCCGCTGTTAGGCTTCTGTGTCTCTGGCAGCCCAGCCCGTTCAGGCAGGCACTGAAAAAGTCTCAGGAAAAGCCTGAATGAACCAAACGTGACAAATGACAACTCAGAAACAAGGGAAAGGCACAGATAGCATCTCCTTTTCTAAGGCAAGGGGGGCTTTCTGAATAGAGGAGCTGCTGCAAGATCCACGGAAGCCTAACAGTGACATCTTCTGGCCAACGGCGCTACTGGTCAGAGAGAAATACCACGCTGGAAAAAGATCCCTTTTGTCTCTCAAAGGAAAGTGTCTTTGCACTGCCAAGCCTGTGTCGATTGGAAAGACTCTGTTTGTATCACCGTGATGTTTGTGTGTTAAAACACTACAGCCATCACCAGCAACATCTTCCTTAAAGGCAATTTCAATTAAAAGAAAAAAAAGTACCCTTTGTTGGCCAATTTTAAACACTTTCACCAGATCCACTATCTGCGTAGAAAATTTCAGTAATATGTGTCTCTCCACACCTTGGTGATGTGAGAAAGTAATTTTCAGCTGTATAACTCAGTTCCTTGCTAATTGCTCAGGCAAAATCACTTGCAGGAGTCAATGAGTGAGAACTTCAGTCTTCATTCCTAGTAATTTTATATTTACCTTTGCGTCAATGCTTTGCTTGTTCCACTGACGCTGCCTGAATTAAAAATGTTTGGCTGTTTGAGCACCAGCTTGGCTGGTGTCTGGTGTATTTGGTCCCCCTACTGAAGCTGAAGGAGCTGCTGCTGTTTTCCAGGTCACACCGTGAATAAGATGCGCAAACATTCAGATCACGACGTGGCCAGCCTTGCCAAAGATGTTTACACGCAGTGGCGAACTTTCATCAAAAACCATTCAAACAGGCCCTCCATAGAAGTCAGGAGTGATCCCAAGACTGAGGCTTTCAGAAAGAATGCACGGAAGCTGCTTTGTGAAGCCCTGGATCTCAAGGTAGCGTTAACTTTGGCTCAGAGGGTAATTCCTTGTAGGAACAAGCTGGACAAGCCTTTTTCAGTCATAGTTTCTATAAAGCTGGTCCTGCTGGCAGAGTGGGGACAAGAGTTCCTGTATTCAGTGATTCTCCCCATGTCCCCATTTATCAGCATTTTTGTTTTAAAGGTAGATTTTTTAAATTATTATTATTAACCAAGTAAACGTGCTAATTGTAAGCGAGGTGTATATTGCACATTTACGTAACCAGCCAACAGAATAGCTGCGTATCTCCTGCAGCCAGGCTGTACAAGAAGTTAGCAGAACAAAGTTTTCACTGTTACTTATCAGCAGTTAAAACAACACTGGGACCTTCTGGGTGTTTCATATTTAAGTAATTAGACATTTGTAAATTGACATCTGTTACGAAAACACAGAGGCAAGGTTGACAATATATAAAGTGGCGATAAATACCAGATCCCTCTGGTATCTTTAAGTAAACGAACAGGATTTTACTGTAAGGCTTAATGACTAGTCTATGAAACTCTATAATAATTATCCTTTTAATTTATTCATTAGTTATCCTTTAGATGGCAAGAAAAGTGATAAGCACTCGAGTTTCAAAGCTGTGTGTTTGCTGTTTATGAGAACAACCTCTCCAACTTCCCATCCACCTGGACTGAGGCAGGACAAAAGAATGACTTTTTGTGGGAATGCCTCAGAATGATTTTATGAGGAAGTTAGTTCCCTTTTGCTAGGCTGATGGGTCAAGCTTAATTCGTGGAAGGCAGCTTTGTGCACAGCAATAAGGCTGCTGGTAAAGTTTGAGCCTGTGGGACGTGAAGGCTGTGATATCACCCTCAAACAAGTAGTGTTGTGTAAGGCAGGACAAGGCAGAATCACCTCAGAACAGGACTCACCTGAAATTATGATGAGGAAAGCTGCCCTTCTGGCTTGCAGCTACCACCGTGTCTGCAGAGGGAGCTTATATCAGCATGATGAACAGGACAGATAGGACAGGGAGCCACAGAGGTCCAGCAAATGGAAAGCAGGGACACCTGAGAGATTGATGAAGAGGGAGAATGGGGGCTGAATGGATTCAGTTGAACTTCTAGTGCAGACTGGCAGAGGGACGATTTAATGATGGGTAGCAAAAAAAGAGTAAAAGTGTTGGGAAAGGACTTGGAGGAATACTGGCTGGCATGCGGGAATCTCCTGTATGTGAAGCATGGGAGATTCCCTGTAACAAAAGGCAGAAGTGAAATTAAAACAATTTCTTGATGGGCAGGGGATTTTTTTCTAAGCTGTGCTAAATTACAGGTTTTGGCACATGTTGAAGCAATAACTACGTAATTAACATTTAGTAAATCCCTTTCTGCGTTCTTAATTATACCTCCTTCCACACACACAGAGCCCACATTTCCCTTTATAGCACCAGGCAGAGTTGCCAAGTGTTTGGCGTGTCTTAGAGTTGCTGTTGGAATCGAGTTTAAAATAGTATCCAAGGTGCCTTATATCAGCGAGATCAAAAAGTGATCGTAATGGAGACAGTACAGCGGAGCTTACAGCTGTAGTTCAACTGGATACCCAAAGCTAGCTGCAGATTAGTTTCCTGTCGTGATGGCAAAGCGCTGCCACCCAGCTGGAGATGTGAATATGTTCCCTGCTACTGACCGTGTTGCTGTGTTCCTTAATTGCTAGGGTGGAATTAAATTGTTCTTCCTGTTGCACTTGTGATGAGAAGTAGATTTCCTCGAATCTATGCTGATTAATGAAGAAGCGCTGAAAAACACCAAACTCCAATTTCAATCAGTCGGTCTCCTTATTAAATGGAGAGATCTAATTTTATACTTTGCTGTTTTCAGATTGATCACCCACTGGCTGAAAATATTGAGCGAGAAGCTTTTCATCTCTCTTCCCGTCTCATTAGCACGCCGTATCGCAGAACGGTGCGAGCTCTTGTCTTCTCATTAAAGCACAAACCTGAAATCCGAGCAGAAGTCAAGACTGGCACGCTCACTGTCCCCGCGTTTGTACAGAGCCATAAAAAGTGAGGTGTCGTGCTTGCTGCTGAACGAGAACTTCATGTGCCTGCATCTCCGTGGAACCAGGAACCCTTTCTGTCGTAAGGGGCGTGCAGAAGTGCTGATGGTGTGACTCACTTGGCACCGCTCTATTAGCACGGGCTGCTGAAGGCAAGAACTACTAATGATGAAAGTGGTGCTGTAAATCCGAGTTGGTGGAAGTCTGCGTAGGGTTGTTGCTCAAAGATTTTCTTCTACTCCGCTGTATATTTTCCTGCTAAAAAGCCATCCGTGCAGACTCACCTGTTTGTTATGTCTGTCGGTTTGTCATGCCTCAGTTTGGCTCCATCCCTGAGATGGGTCTTCAGGTGTAATTATTTGAATAACATTTAACAGCTTTGTGCTGGGCTGATAGGAAATAGTGGGAATTCAGGGCAATTGTTCCATGGGAGGGGATTCCTAGAGGATAACTGCAAATCCTGGTTAACCATAAATCAGCCAAGTCTGCTGTAGCTGGACCCTGAATGTGGCAAGAGCTACCTGTTTACCCAAGCCAAGTGACCTCCCCTGCATTCCACAGTGAGATACAAAATGGGTTTCAGTAGTTCTCTATCCATCCTTCCATAGGCTCAGTCAGCCTGCAATGGTGGGCATTTTCTGAAACCCCGGGGTGGAAACCAAAATGCCCTGGGGTATAGGTGCTATCTAATACCTCTGCCTAATGAGCAACTCACTCAGACTTCCATACTTCCCTCAGGATTAAAATCTGGTGCTTGTTTTAGTGTAACATAAAAAAAATAAGATGAAATGAATTTTCTAAATTGCAATTAGGTTGTAAGGAAAATATTCCATGTAAAGGCTTTTTTCCTCCAAAAAGAACGTGTTTCAGAATGATTGTGTAAACAAATTTAAGCAGCAAACTATTGTATGAATTTCTCCTGGTTATTAAAAACTGAAAATCTTGCCTTTCGTACTTACTCTGATTTCTTTAGTGCCACAAGTCATCTTGTTCTCTGTGTGCTATTATTAAGGCTGTGACAGGCACAGCCTTTCTCTGCTGGTAGGCAATAAAGCGCTCTCTGTTCTCTGTGCTGGTACAAGGGACTGGCCACAAACCATTTTCCGAGTTAACAGGGGCGAGAAGTCTAGTATAGCATAAGGGAGTGTGCTTTCATCTGTCATGGTCAGCACTCTGATCTCAAGAGAGTCGCTTAAGGACAGATAATGCAGTGGGAAAACTGCCCATCAGTCTGTGTTCACATCATCCTAAACAGGTCAGTAAGTGGATCCCTGAACACTAACAAAAGCTAACTTACCTTAAATGTTGAACTCTGTAAAATTTATTATGTAATTGCGGGTTCTCTTAAGAAGATCTAAACCCTGTTTTGTTTGCTTGGGCCAGTGCAAGACCATTTCTGTTGTGTGCCGCTAAGGTATCCTCATAGCTGGCTTTTCTCAAAACCAGTGCCCTGGCTGAGCCTTGGTTTGAAGACATTTCACTGGTAGAAAGTTAAGAATAGGTGTGTTGGAGAAAGTACACCACAAACTGGCAGCCTGAGCGGTGACTGTAGGGATACCGCGTCAGTGAAGACGTTGACACCTGATGACCAGTCTGTAGGAAGAGATATGAAACCCCTCAATTTCTTACAAGCGATCAGATCCATTTCCCACGTAAGTAACCTCAGACTGCACAGCTGTAAGTGAATTCAGGTGTCTTGGACTGTCGTGGAAGGGCTTCAGGATCAATGAGTGTCTTAGGTTTTGCTTCCAGAGCTGCAATGCCATGACCTGCAGTGTTTATTTTCAGCTTTCTGTTCCTGGTGCTGGGCTGTGCTGTCTATATTTAGGTAATATGTGAGAAGCACAAATGTGGGAAATGAGGAACTGCTGGTCCTTGTGAAAGCCAGAGCAGAGAAGTTTCCCACACAGCTCAGGTACACCAGCAGAACTTCAGCCTACCTATGTGGTGCTGTGCCTTGGATTGCAAAACACATCTTGTGGAGAGAGTAAGGAATCACCCAAATAGGTATGGCTCAACCTGTCTGCAGGTAGCAGCTGCCTGTCCCCACTTGGAGTTTGAAAGCAAACCGCTCTACAGCAGTTGCAGTTCTGAGAACAACTCAGCAAAATCCGCTTCTGTTTTTACAGGTTAGCTCCAGGAACCCACTGCAGTAGAGGGGAGGGATGGGGATGCTTTTCTCTCTTACTAGGAAACAGTCCTGGGGCAGGGATACCATTCACAACAGCACTGTAAAATCTAAAAACAAGGTCAATGTGGACATCAGCAAGAACCTACCATGGCCTAGAGTACTTTCTTTGCAAAGCCTGCTTGCATCTCAGCCTGTGCACGTTAGCTTTCGAAGTGGTGCCCTCAGAGATAGCAGCTGTCAGCTGCTATTAACTTAGGGATGCAGTCAGCTGCTAATTAACTGCAGGGATGCAGTTACTGCATACCAGAAAACTCATCTAAATTTCCTCAGTTTAAGGGCTAATACTTTCACTAACTTGTTTTCTAAGGGACCTAAGCATATAGCTCTGGGTCCAGCTCTTGCAACCTGATGTTGAAGCTAGCAGCACGTGTTGGGATGAAGATTTGCAGGCTGAGCATTGCACACGGCTGACTGAAGGGACTGGAAGAGATCTCCAAGGGCTGGGCTTGAGACGTGCAGCACAGGGGGAACCAGAGAACAAGGGAATGGTGTGAGGACAAAGCCAGGAAGGAAGGTGGGGGAAAAAAGAAGACAAAAACGGAGAAGAAAAAGCAATAGGCCAAAATAGAGCTTTATTTTCTCAAAGAGTGATGCTGAGTGTGATGAGGGGATGCTCAGCACCTCGGTACTCAGCAGCCAAGTTTTTAATTACTCTATAAAGACCAGATTTGCCCTCTTTGTTGGAAGTGAGCTGGTGGGTTTGAGTGCCCTGCGATGTCCCTGTGCCAGCAGCACTGACGAGCCATGGTTCAGGGACACGTGGGGCCTGCAGGACCATCCCCAGCTTGGTTTCTCCCACCACAAGGGTCACACACCCAGCTGGGGGGCAAAAAGGCCCCTCGTGCATCCTGGGGTTGGGTCTCACTGATCTGGGTGTGCACTTCTGCTTTCGCCTCTGGTTTTACCCTGGAGCTGCTGTGTGGTGGCAGCCGCAGGGTGCCAGGAAGACACTTGGCAGAGGCAGGGACTTCACAAGCTCCTGTCTTCATGCTGGGGAAACCCTTTCAGCTTAAAAGGAGGGATGGAAGAGCTGAGCTGTGGCTCCCTTGGGCTGTGTTTCCCCGGTGCGGTGCCTTTCAAGTAGCTGGTGCCCTGTTACAGGGGAGCATTAAACCAAGGAGGCACCCAAACTGCAGAAAAGGCGCTTCTTTTTTCCCCTTTTCCTGCCAGATTAAGCACAGCCCACACACTCCTTTCAGCTAAAGACTACACGAAGCTGAAGGATCTGTAGATCCGAGCAAAAAGAAGGGAAGCCCTTCCCGGAGGTGAGCAGCGATCCCCATCAGCAGGCAGGGGAAGGAGGGCTTCATCCCTGCCGCAAATTGCTTGGGCGAGAGGAGAAGGGAGTAGCTGAGACTTCCCCGTCCTTCCTGAAAGGCAGCACGCGGCGCCTCGGCGTTTTTCATCTTCCAAGAGGCTCTTCAAAGGTTTCTCCACAAAGAACCCAAACTTTCAGATCTCCTTCGCTGGCAGCCCTGGCAATGCGAAGGGTTTGCTCGGCTGGTGGCTGGCCCTGGGCTGGGAGGTGCTCAGACAAGGAGCAGCCCCAGATGTCCTCGCACATCCCCCCTGTGCCCCTTCCCCGATGAAGGGGAACCGCAGCCCCCCGCTGTCCCAACCTCCCCCTGCAGTATTGCAGCTCTCGTGGTGGGAGCAGACCCGATTTGGCTCATGGAGCTGACAAAAGAGCTGCAAGAGCCTGGCCAGGCAGCTCCTGAAACCCCAGTGCTGGGTTATGAGGGCAGCAGGGGAAACTGAGGCACGGAGGTGCTCCGGCAGGCTGGAGGATGCAAACAGGGGGAGCCCACGCCAGGGTTACGCTGCAATTAATGACGCGCTAATTCTGCTGGCAGTGCGCTGAGCAACATCTACGATCGCTGTCAATTAGACTAGATTACAGGATAATCCCTGCTAATTACATATTATTACATACCGAGCAGTTATCTCCCCATAAAGGGTGCCCCTCTGACGGACAAACCCTCTTCTTTGAACGCAGCCAGCCCAGATGGCAGAGCCCTTTTTTCCTGCAGCCAATATTTTCCTTCAGCCGAAACGCTCACGCTGCAAACACCGCGCTCTTGTCCCGGGTGGAAGGAGGAGGAGGAGGGTGGCTGTGAGGGGCAGGGCCAGCCCCAAAAGAAAGACAGGGGCAGCTTCAAAGCCAGACCCCATGGAGCTGCCATGCTGCCGGGGCTGGGAGCGAGCACCCCAAGGGCTGTGCTGCAGCGGGGAGCCCTGCCAGCACCCAGGGGTGCTCAGGCAAGGCTGTTGGCAGCTCAGGGTTTGGGGTGACTTGCAAGGCGATGCTTTCCTTCAGATAACTGCTCCCCACGTCCCCCAAACGCCCCCTGTTTCACCTCTACACACCAAAACCCCCAGGAAGCATGGGGGGGAGGATGACCTTGCTGTCCCCGTGGGGCAGGATGGCCGGGAAACGGGAGCGAGCGCTGCTGAAAATAACCTGGGAAACAACTCCTGGTAAACGCCGCCGTTGCATTTTCAATCGTCCATATGCTTGCTCCATTATGTCTCCCCAGCTGGCGGGGCTGACGGCGGCTGCCTCCTCATCTGTGCCGCCGAGGGTCTCCGGCAGGTACCTGAATCTGCAAGGTGACAAGGTGGCAGGGGGCTGGGGATGGCCGTGTCCCCACGCTGTGCCCACCTCTACCCCGGTGTGCTCGGGGAAGTTGGTATTAAACGACCCCAAAAACCAGCAAGCAAGGAGGTGAGAGCCTACCAGCTCCCCGTGCCGCCGCCCCGGGGCAGTCGCTATTAAATGAAATGCAGAGGCTTGCTCCAGGAGGGGATGCAGGTTTGGGCGGGGAGAGCGGATTAGAGGAGCAGAGCTGCCTCATTCCTGGCATTCCTGGAGAAGGGAAAAAATAAGATAAAGAGGGAAGCAGGTTCGGAGCCAGACTTCACAGCCCCTGCATGGGACATCAGCTCGCTGGGGCTGCCAGTGTTACAAACCCCGGTGTCCTGGATAACCCCAAATGTGTCCCACACAGGGAGCACCAGCATCTGCTCGGTATTTTGGAGCTGTTTCCTCTAAAAAGCGTCTTTTCCCCGAGGCAGACGGTGCTGCTGCATACCGCAGGCACACTCCCAGCCACAGGGTGTGCTTGGTGGGAAGGAGAAACAGCCCCACCGAGGGACCCACTGCAGCAGCGGGGTCTGTGCCCAGCACCAGCACCCTGGGCACTGCTGGGCTCACCAAGGAAAAAGCTCTCGCTGGGTATTTCACGGGGAAATCCACCACAGAGGGGTTGCCTGCTAAGGGGGGAGCACCCAGCCAGTGCTCAGAGGGTTTTCTTTCTTTCTGCAGCCACCAAACCCACAGCCGTTGTATTATTACCTTGAAAGAAAGGCAAGGATCAGCAGAATTGTGCCCCTCAGGCCACATAAATCCCCGGCAAGCAGAGTGTGCGACACATCTGCTTGGGAAAGCATCGGGACGGCGTTAGCTTTTATGGCTGGGTTAGCATGCAAACCTGGACCTTATAAACCACCCCTGGAAAGGAGACGGACAAGGCACCAGATCTAAACAGCACCCCAGCTGCTGACCATGCCCTTGGGAGTGTGCGGCATGCCCAGCACTGGGCAGCCACAATAAAAGGTGGAACAAATCCCCGTGATTACCCAGCACCTCGCATCCTGGGACTCGCCGTCCCCCGTCACGCTCGGCAGCTCGGCGAGCACCCTGTGCACAGAGCCCCATTGATGGCCAGAGGTTGTCCGAGGCCAGGAGGGTGGCAGGGAGCCCAGCCTGTGCTCCGGCCCCATGCCCCGGCCGGCTACAAGGGGCTTTTGTCCAGCCTGGGAAGTGCCAGTGCGGTGACCTGCCCGTCCTGGGGACAGGGAGGGGACGTGCCGTCGGCCAGCTCCTGTGTGCAGGGGCAGGGGACACTGGGGCCGGTCCTGCACCATGCCCCTGGGATGGTGCCCCTGGGTGGTCTCCAGCCCGTCCCTGTTTTGCATCGGGGCAGGACAGGACATTTCCCAGCCTTCCTTACACCAAAATCCCAAGGAGAGAGCGATGCTGAGCTGGAGCTGGCAGCATCCAGCCCCCAGCGAGGGGTCGGTGTAAATCAGAAGGAGCTGACCCATCGCCCTGCTTTATGTAAGAGCCACTTCCCCGGGTGCTCAGCGATATCTGCCCCCAGGTTTAGGATTGAGGGGCACAGTGCTCTCGTGGGAACACTGGGAAGGAGGAAAGCACAGGGGAAAGGACAAATTGCTCTCATTTTCTCCAGCCTTTGGGTGGCTGAAGCGCTCAGGTAAGCCCTGTGAGAAGACGACACGTGGAGAAGCAGTGGGGAGCTCGAGGATGAACACGTCTCGTCACATCCCCACCGCTCAGACACCGCATATGGGCACCGGAGACACCTCCCCGAAGCACCTACATGCGCTGCGCCCATCTCTGCGTGCCAAGGGGAGACGTCGGCGTCTGCAGCCGCCTCCAGCAGGGATCCATGGCACCCACACAGGCACGGATGGGAGCACGGAAAATATTTGTTGGAAATATTGCTATATTTGGGGGGTAGTCTGTGCGCTCAAGAATTCAGCGAGAAATAATTGACAGGATTATTTGCAGCCATCGGCAAACAACGTTACTTTCCCGAAAGTAGCGGCACCAGAGGGAAAATAAATGGAAGCAGGTGCGGGAAGAGTTACGGAGCACGAGAAGTGCGTTCCCGAGCCAAATGGACAGATTGAGAGACAGAGGAAAACCGATGGGGAAGGGAAGCGGCTGCCTATTGCCCAGATCCCTCAGGCGCGGGGAGGAGGTGGAGGCTGGGCTCGGGCTCCGTTTCGGGGCCTCTGTCTCAGCAGCTGCGTTAGTGCTAAGCCTGGGCCGAGGGAAAATTTTGGGGGGCATTTCCGAGCTGAGCAGGGATGAGTTCGCTACAGCAGCACGAGCCCGACCACGGCGATGACCATGAGGAGCCCGGCCAGGATGCAGATGCTGATGAAGACGATGTCGCTGGTGTCCTGGCTCCTGGCCTCACGGGTGTCCGCCCCTCCTGCCTCCCTCTGCTGGGCCTCCACCAGGCTCTCGGCCTGGCTCAGCCGGTGTGGGCCAGGGCCGGCGATGAGGGTGACCGCGGCCTCCTTCTTCTTCGGCTCGCACTGCACCTCGTACCGGTGGACGTCCTCCTGGTCGCCCTGCCGAGAAGTCGATGTAGAGCGTGCTGACGATGATGTTGGTGTTGTTCCGTCTCTGTAAGACAAGGGTTGAGGCTCCTCAGGGCTCAGCTCCATGGGGCAGCTCTGAGCAGTCTCTGAGAGGGACCAGGGCTAACCCCTGCCCGGCTGGCTCTAAGGGAAGGTCTGCCAAGCCTTTACCTGGGACTCGGTGCCGCAGGTGTCGAAGCGGGTGTGTATCTTGAAGTTGGAGCCGACCACGTGGGCCGCACAGGAGGGCATCCCCAAATAAATCTTGTTCCTCTCCAGCTGGGCCAGGGCCCGCACGGGGATCTGGATGTGGAAGTCTGTCCGCGTGCAGCTGACGTTCATGGGCACGACTATTGGGGCAGAAAACAAGACATGGGTGAGGCATTGCTGGCATTTCCCCAGCTGTGCCACCTACAGAGACCACTGCAACTTGGCCCAGAGCCACCACCGCTGTCCCTGTGACACACGGAGCTGGTGGTGGCACTGGGGCCGGTGGGGATGCCAGCCTCACGCCTTTGCTGTGCCTCGTGTGGTATCCGCCACCACTGCCACAGCTCTGGGTTGTGGATCAAGGCAAATAAATGATTTTTCAGGGGAAAAAAAGAGCTACACCTGTAATGTAGAAAGGGTTATTTGATACAAAACACAGTCCCTCTCCATCGTTCTCCCCCTGGCACCCTGTGTGGCTCCTCAGGGTGCAGAAAGCAGCGGTGCAGGGAGGGCAGTAGGGAGGAGAATGCCCCACTCCTCTAATGTTAATCCTCGCTGAGCTCGAACCAAGCACTTGGGCAGTATGAATTATTGAATTATTCCAGCTCCCTCTGAATCCTGGCCTTACGAAACTGGTAAGATGCAATAAAATCAATATGAAAAAACAGTGTCACTTTGCTACACTTAGTGCATTATAAAACCATTAGAAGATTTACCAAATAACTAAAGTGCATTAGATCAAGAGGAGGAGGAGGAGAAAATGGATCCTCTCTCCCGGCGTGAAGGCTTTCATGCAAACGGCCGTAAATCACACACGCCCTGCCCAACTCACTTCATGGGCCCAGACAAAAGGGAAATATTTGCATGGACTAAGAGCTGTGGAAGCGGAGATGCCCCGTTTTTATATCTCCATGGTCCTGGGGATGATATGTAGCCCTGCTGGGTGCCTGGTACGAGCTCTCTCCCTCTCAGGTTGTAGAGGCCTAGGGGAAAACTCCATCCCCTCTCCGACTCCCACAGCCGTGTGCTCCAAAATCCCTCCTGCTACACTCTAGATGATGTACAGTTCTGCTGCTGCTTGAGCACCTGGCTCAGCAGCCACGGCTCCTGTGCCGCCCTGCGAGCAGTTCTGCAGGATGCTGCACCCGGGTCCACCCGTGGATGCCGAGGCTGCTCCTCCGCTCCGTGGACCCGAGGCTCATCCTGCGCCGAGCACAGGCATGAATCATCCCTGACACACGGGTCAGCTCAGATGTAATTATCTTGAAATACAGCGAACGTCATAAATTCGCTGGCTTTTGCGGAAGCTGACAAATCTCTGCACGTCGTTACTCTTGCTTTGGGTGCGCCGGCTGGGAGATGGGGCTCAAATGTAGTGGGGATGAGCCCGTGGGGCTAGTGGGGTCCTGATCCTCCTGTGCCGCTCACAGTGGAGGAGAAAACATTTCCACCCATGGCTGTGCCATGCAGGGCACTTGGTGGCCTTCAGGCAATCCGTGATGTGATGGCACAGCCACAACGTGACTGGTGTTAATGCATGAGCTGGCACCTGAGTTCTTGGCCACCTCCCCTGGCTCCTCCATCCCCTAAAAGCCCCCTGGTTCCTGCACCCCACCAGGAGGAGCAGACACCTTACCTCCAACATAGGCGAGGGAGAAGCCCCTCTTGGCCGTGCTGCGGTCCGTGCGGAGCACCAGCAGCAGCCGGTGGCCGCGGGAGGTGACAGGCACCGGGCTGTCGTGCCCGCACCACGTCCCCAGCAGCGAGGCGTTCTCGGCCCCACCGTCGAAGGCAGACAGGCGGTCGTAGTCACAGCCTCCGGTCAGGCTGCTCCGGGCCTCCAGCTCCAGGTCCAAGAAGAAGATTTTGATCCGGTAGCCTGGGGGCAGCTGGATGCTCCACTGGCACTGGAGGTTGTTGGGGTAGAAGTTGGGGTACTGAGGGCTGGAGAAGTTCCCCTTGATGGCGGTGTAGACTTCCTGGCACTCTCCTGCTTGGGGGAAAAGAAAGGAAAGCTGAAGCCTCCTGGCTGCTGAGCACTTGTTTTATTGCTGAAGCCTGTTCTACCCTCCACATTACTGCTCCTCGGCCTTGTGTTTGGCCAATGTCCACCCATGAGTTTTGGGGGATGGCAGCAACCCAGGTAGTTAAGACCATGGGCAGTGTCCTACAGGGGAAGACAGGGGGGACACTTAACTCATGGCACATCACGAGCAATAAGAAGGGCATCTCTTGATTGAGAGGAAGTCAAGCTAAGGCCTGGAAGAGCCATAATGAAGCTATTTGCTTTGCATGGTGCTCTATAACTCCCACCATCACCTCATGGAGTCCCCCCAAAGATCTCCCCTTCAGTATCATCTCCTTGAGCTGCCACAGGAGGGAAGGCACCACAAACCACCACCCCTACCCACAACCCAACCACCCCCTCCCCACAACCTTCTACCCATCCCCTCCAAACCCCACACCTGAGTAGAAATGAGCCTTGAAGCCCCTTCCCACGATGTTGAAGTCCGACTTGAAGAGGACGAGGAGGTGCTGGGTGGAGGAGACGGTGCGGGGCGGCCGGGCACTGCCGCAGTAGCGACCCAGGCGGGGGGCAGAGGCAGTGGGGCCATCGAAGAGGGCCACGTAGTCGAAACCACAGCCCTGGCCGCCCTCCATCTGGAAGTCGGCAAAGACCAAGGTGACAGGGCCACCAGCTGCCCCGATGCTCCAGCGGCACTCGGCATCATTGGGATAGCTCTCGGGGTACCGCGGGCTGGTGATCTCCCCGGACAGCCCCTGTCAGCTGCCCGCCGCAGGCATCTGAGACACAGAAACTGAGGTCAGAGGGAGGACGGATGGACAGACGGACGGACACATCCGCCATCCCCTGCTACCTTTGCGGTAGGCGGCGGCGAAGCCGCGCTTGGCCACGTGGCGGTCGGAGCGGAAGACGACGGCCATGACGTGCCAGGCGGAGGCGAAGGGCGGCGGGGTGCTGTGGCCACAGAAGGTGCCCAGGAGGTTGCCCCGGTCGCGGGCGGCCCCGTTGTAGACCTGGAGGTAGTCGTAGGCGCAGGCGGCGTGGTACTCCAGCTCAAAGTGGCTGAAGGAGAGCAGGACGGAGGAGCCCTCGGCCACCACGATCAGCCACGTGCACTCTGTCTCGTAGGGGTACGGCCCCGGGAAGTTGGGGCTGGAGAAGTTGCCGGAGGGTGCCGAGAGCACCCCGCCGCATTTGATGCCTGGGTGGCAGGAGAGAGGGGTGGGAGGTAGATGTGACACCCCATTTTGAGGGAAACCCTAAAAGGATGGTGGCTGGGCAGTGGGACAGGGTGCACAACACCAGCTCCATCCCACCACCGGAGCATCCACAACTGCTTTGCTAATTACCGGGGAGAGGTGACTGAGCGATGCGGGGCTGTGCTAAAGGACTGATGTTATGGAACTAAACTTCCAGGAGGGAAGCCTGCAGGAAGGGGGAGCAGCCGTGGTGCAGGCAGCTGGGTAATTAGGGACTTGGTGCCTTTTTTTGGGGGGGAGGGATGCTGCCAGTTAGTGAGTTGCTGGGCTGAGCTGCCCCCCTGGTCCCCCAGGTACTGTGCTGTGTGCTGAACCCACCCTACATCCGAGGGGCACCTTGTACAGATAAAATGTGGGTTTACCACATATACTGCAACTTTTATGTGTATATATACACATCTATTTTTGTGTGTAGGTATACATACACAAATGTGCAACTCCACGAGCTAATAACCCCTTCAGCAACGTGCCTGTAACCGCAGCCGGACAATCCCTAACTTCAATCTTCAATAAAACCAACGTGATGCAGCAAGCCAAGTGCACTCCCGTCTCACACACTTGCACACACCTGGATGGCTCCCGGGCTGGATCCTTCCCCCGGCCACCCCGGTGTCCCTGTGGTGTTCAGGCTCTTACCTGTGCTGGGGACCACCCCGAGCGCCCCGCAGAGCAGGGCCAGCGCCGCCAGGCAGCCCGTGCCCCCGCGCCACATCCTCCCTGCGCGGGCAGCGCTCCCGTCACCGGTGCCCGAGCATCCCTCCAGAGCTGTCTGTCCAGGAGGGAAAAAAAAAATAAATACGGGGAGAAATAAATAAAAAGCAGGAGGACTGCAGAATTAATAGCGGAATGAATAATTCATCGCTTGTTTGAATTAAGAGCGGCAAGGTAACTTGATCTATTCCTCCCTTCCTTCACTCAGTTTTAATGATCTGGATCAAATGTCCCAAGGATTTACACTATACCAGATACCTTGTCAATACACTATATTTAGAAGAGATATTAATGTTTCAGATATGGTGTATAACGGCAGTAAGTCTGGGCTGACAATATGCCCTTAAGGGGCCATGAAAATAATTTAGTTCGCCAGGCAAGACAGCGAACCAAAATGGGAATTTCAGACTCACCACGGAAAAGTACCTCAGGAATTAACGTGATTTATACTGCGGCACTCGCTGCACAAAGCCAACTGTTGATAAAAGCTGGAGAAACACCACGAGTGCTCTGGCCCTGCTTTGGATGCCCGGCTGTGGCTTGGAGGCGCGATGCTGCAGCGCCAGGACCTCACCGTCCTGCAGTGGATGGAGGGCAGAAGATGCAAACCTCCCAGCATCAAGCTTTTCATAGCCTGCCCAGGAGCAAAAAGACGTCTCAGCCCACTCTTGAATGAATGCTAGGAGATAAAAAGCCACAAAGGCCTCAAAAATTCAAGCAAGGTGCGGGAGAGACCCGTGCTTCTAGAAGTCACCTTCAGAGCAGTGGGGAAAGAAGCAGCAAGTAGCTCTAAATCTCAGCCGGGGAGGCAAGTTGTGTTTATTAATTAAGCAATGAGGATCGATGCCTGAGACATTTCCTGTGGATTAATGATGGGCTGGGAGGAGCCGATAGGCCCGAGGTGCCGCTGAGGACCATTAACACCAACTGGCCATTAATCGCCAGGAAGTGCTCTGTGCCAGGGTCATTAAGTGCCTGCATATATTTATGGGTAATAACAACAACAATAACATTCGTCCGGGCTCTCTGCCCCATGCCCGGCCTGGCTGGAGCCGTGCTGGTGAGCACTGGGAGCACATCCCAGGGGCTGCACGTGGATGGAGATGCCCGGTGGTGCCCGCTGATTGCACTCCAGCTGCCCGGTGTGCCCGGTGTGCTGCCCTAGCCATGGCCATGAGGGGCTGAGAGTAGCCCTGCAAGCCTTGGGCCTCTGGGTGTAGGGACAGGCTGCTCCTGGCTTCCCCATCGCTGTGACATGGCTGTCCTCGCCATCAGCCCATTGCCAACATCACCCACCTCCCTCCAGCTCATCTACGGCTGGCCTGGGCACCGCATCCATCAGGCCCACCCCTACACGGCCGCTCTCAGCCTGCTCCATGCCCCGGTACCCCCCAGGAAACAGGAGGCTGAGGCTGTGCAGCACAGCAGCTGTGACCCCATCCCGGGGGACGGCATCCATCAGCCTCAGGCACGTTCACCCTCTCCTGACCTGGGGATGGCAATTCCCAGGCTGGGCCCGAGCCCAGGCAGCGCCATCCGTCAGCCGGCAGAGCGGGCTGCAGGGCAGAAGGGCTGAAGGGAGGCCGAGGAGCAGCAATAACCCTGACTGAGGAGCCAGGCAGGGCCTGCAGCACGCAGCTCTTGCCAGAGGTGCTCTGGCTCAGCCCAGGGTGCCTTGGCTCGGGCCGGAGACACTGCAGGGTTTTTTTTTTGAGGTGTGCTGTACTGGGGCTCCTCGAATTCCTTGGCAGGCAAATCTATAAATCATGAGTCAAAAAGGCGTTTGATTCATTTAAATAGAAAGGATGTGATCAGGGCTGCGAGACTTCAGAGAAGATCAAAGGTTTAAACACGGTCCCCAGGAGGAACGGGAATTATTTAGGCAGGAAATAATGAGATGAAATTAAGAAGGTATTTAGGCTGCCCACGAGGAAGAAGAAAGGAAAGCGAAGTGAGGCCGCTCTCCCCAGCGGAGCTGTGGGGGCCTCCTGGGGGTGGCCGGTCCCCGTGCCCCTTGCTGGGGTGGCCGGGGCACCCGAGCCTCCTGCCAGCACCCGGCAGGGCCTGCAATGACCACCCTGACCTCGGAAGAGAAGGAAACCTCTCCTCCTCCTGCCATGGGGCAGAGCCTTTCCATCCCGCGTGCCTTGTGGCGGCAGAGGGGACCCGCGGCACGCTGACATCCAGCCTGAAAAATGACAAAAGGAGAGAGGGGGAAGGGAGAGAGAAGGGCAGAAAACGCAGAACAAAGTGCCGGGGGCTGTTCAAAGGCCCCTTCGAGTTCACCCTGCCAAGGACATCGCCTCCCCTACAGAGAATATCTCGCAGGGACCCCTGTCCCCTCCGGCACGGCGGCTCAGTGCAGTCGCCTCCTCCCGCTCCCCTGCAGGCTGCCTTTGCAGGATTGCAACCCGCAGCATTCACAGCTTGCTCCGTCTCTCACCACCCTCCCTTTTAGCCACGAACAAAGACAGGAGGCTTCGCGGCAGAATGGCCAGACCAGCTGGGTAGGGTTTAACCATCGTGGCCCATATGTGCTGAAATACCCAGACATATTGGGGTTGCGCTTAAAGGAACAGTCCCAGCTTTCGCTCGGAAATTCGTCGCTTTCCCAAAGCAGGCACCAAGTTTTACCTCGGGCCTTTTGCAAAAAGGCTTTGTGGATGTGTAGCAAAATCTCAGAAAGGCAGAATGCTTAAAGCAAGAGCGAGGTTTTCAGAGCGTGTGATATCTGAGGAAAATACTTTGTGCTGCTAGCTAGGGACAAAGCAGGGAGAGCAACTCCTTATTTTCTCAGCCTGCTGCTGCACAGAAACACCTCCACTACAGAGTGGTTTATGGTGGCTGAAACGTGGTCTGGAGGGGAGCTGAGAGTTTGTCTTGGACAAAGTATTAACACAGCATCTAAAAGTATTAACTTTTAACACAGCATCTGCTTGTGTTAAAAACCAAAGCCCGTTCTGGGTTAAGGGAACAGCTTTCCTTGCTCTGATGAAGTCGGCGTAAAAGCTGCATCCATACTGGACTCAGTCCTGGCATTTGGTAACTGAGACAAATCCCACTGATGTGAGGGGAACCCACACCATTTAAGACCAAATCATGCCTTGTAAATGCTCACACTTGTGCAAGTGCACAGGACTCCTTGTGGTTTAATGGCAAGCACTGCAGACTGCGTCCTCAGGGCCAAAACTGCTCTCAGCTCCGACCCTGCTCAGCATGGGAAGGCAGACCCAGCCGTCACTTCAGTGTGCTCTGCTTCTTGTGAGTAACTCTCACAGTGCATCTTCTTTGTGCGAGGTGTATTGTTTGAGATGGGTAAAAATGGGCCAGGAATGACGATGCATCATCATCTGTCACCCTGGGAAATCCCAACACGGGATGAACGAGGAATGGAGGGAAAAACACAAAGGTGTGCAGAAAGGCTGTATTTGCAGGTGAAGTTAGTGAACATGGTGATCTAAAAAGGTGAAGGAGTAGAGAGAGGATATCTCAAAGCAAGGGCAACAGCATCTTGGACAGAAAAGGAAGGGGCTGGAGCGCACGGACTGCAATTCCATGGCAGCCCCAGGGCTGCACAGAGCATGGCTCTGCCGTGCCCCACGGGGGAGCATCCCAGCAAAGCTGGGTTCCTGTGAAGCTTTTGTTCCTTGGGTGTTGCTCTCATACGCTTAGAGCACTTCCACTCTGCTAAAGTCCTGTGACAAAAAGAAACAGCTATTTACTTGGAAAAAAACTTTGATTTAATGAACCAGGGCTGTTACACAACAATTAGGGGTCATGAAAAGCAGAGAGCCATCTTCCCTGACAGACAGCAGCTACAGCCCCGATGGTTTCTCACAATGACATTTAGGACACCCCTTTCTCCCCCCAGGTAGCACTGCAAGGGTTGAGGTTCAGAGCAGGCAGTGCAAGTCCTCACTGGGCAGCACATGTAATTCCATCCTCATATATAGATTTTTCTTTAAAAAAAAGTCTCTTTACAGAAAGCAGCATCTTCATCCCATATTAGTGTACTACAAGGCAACTGAGGCACACAGAGGCTGAAGTGGCTTGCCTGGTATCACCCAGCAAGATAACAACACAACTGTGTGAACCCCACAGACTGCAGAGTGCTGTGCCAGTGCTCTGCTGTTCCTTTGGCCACGCAATCTTCTCCCCGAGGATTAAATCTCCCCAGGGTACATTTAACAGGGCACAATGCCACTGCAGACTAACATGGATTTCAAAGCACATCATTAGTCTTCATATTACAGCAGAGCTCTATACTTGGATGTTTCTTAGTACCCTTAAGAGATCTCTCTCAGAATTGCATGTGAAGACTTCTATTGAAATTAGTATGCTGTTCCCTGACATCTGGGTGGTTGCAGCAGTCATTCTGGAAGGCCACCCAATCCTTAAAACACTCTCAAGATTGAGAATCATAATGGAGGCAAATATTTGAGCCAAAGGCCTATGAATGTATATGCACAAGGATCTCTGCTCAAAATCAGTCATCTCGATAAACTACGTCTTGAAACAAGGATGTCCAAGGCTTTGCCTGAGGTTTCTTAAGTCAGGAATATCCTGTTAAAAGACAAAACAGGAATTTTCTTCGATCCCTGCAGCTTTCAGATATCTCTTCATATCCTCACTGAATGCAGGAGAGCCACAAACTAATACGAATGGCTTTCTTCGACAGGAATTTATTATTGTCTTCATCAAATCTTCATTTAGGCGACCAGTGTACGTGTTTTCCTGATAACTCCAAGGAAGTTTTTCCAGTGATGTTTCCTGAAAAGGCAAAAAGCTTTGCAGTGTGCCACAGGGAAAAGGACAGTCAATTGCTTACAGACAAGTCTCCCTCCTCCCCACAGGACATTTTTCACCCTCGTGACTCCATTTGGGTAGAAATGACCCATTCCAAGAGCTGTTTTACTCTTGCAAAGCCCAGATTAAATCCTTCCCTGCCACTGGATCTGGCCACCAATTCAGAGGGGACTGAACAAAACCAGAGTGTAACTACTGCCAAGAAGCACTGCGGAACCTTCTCCTTTGGGAACCACTTCCCACCATGCCTTCTCTATTCCCCAGTCCTAAGTCCCAAGACTGCTCCTCCCCATTGCCTCTTCCATTCCCAAGCCTCTTTCAGTCCCATCTCCCTTGACCAAAGCAACTGAAAGGAAGCCAGCCCTGCTGCAGACACGGCGCTGATCCCGTGAGAAATGTCAGATCCAGCAGGACCCCCCCTACTATTAATTAGGTATGGAAGTGGTGAGATGTGATGGGAGCAGTATTCACTCTGGCAGCAGAGTGAAACACTGGGACAGGCACATATAATCCTAAAAAGGAAGATGCACCACTCAGAGCTTTCTCTTAACAAACCCGTTAAGAGAAGAGACAAAAGGGAGAGATGTACGTGTGCAGGCTGTGTTGACAGGGGTCAGAAGGGTTTCTTGCCCTTCCCTGGGTTGAATTTCAAGACCTCCTCAGGCTCTTGAGAAAGCACCGTCCTGAAAAGGGTACCTAACCTGTGTCACCAGAGACAATTGCTGATTACACTCCTACAGAACGGCTGAGGGGATGCCTAAGTCACAAGTACTTTTCTCTATACCTAATTTCAACTTGCCAAGGCCATATGTGGAACATAATGTATGAGGCAGATCCACCATGAGATACAAAAAATGATTCATCTGAGGAGCTAAAAATGCAATGGGATTCATTCCCTTAGCATAAATAATTCTTTCTATATCCTCCCTGCAATGAATCCTCATTTCTGAGGGAAATAATTTTCAACTACCAAATCTGTGCAGAACACAGGCAACTTTGGGACCAAATGAAAATGAAAACGACTGCTCAAATCATAAGACCACTGAGAGAGGTATGCCCTCATCCCATGGATTTGGCATAGAAAATAATTTTAGAGAGTGGGACGTAACTTTAAAAAGTTTGAAAATGGGTCAGCTGGGAAAAATAATTGCTGGGAAATTGGTGCTAACATCCTAGAAGAAGAGAGATGTAGCCATGAGCAATGAATGGAAGATAAGGACAGACTAAGGCACTGGTATTAGGAAAAAAGAAATAGTTTATTTGCTGCGAGCCTCCCAGAGTCAAGTTTTCTTTGCATAAATGCTTAGGTGCAGCAACAACTGTCTGAAGTGGGGGGAAATGGTCAATGGTGAATATGAATCAGGGGCTCCTTGCCAACAGAAGGGCTACTGAGGGGGTCAAAGGGCCAAGCAGCAACGGTCGCTTCCCTGAAAGTCTTCAGACTGCTAGCTGCATGAGAATATTTAGTAGATTTAAGAACAGCAGCTGCTAGATCACAAAGTAGCCTTGATGACTGGGAAAGAATTAAGATCACTGACAGAAAAGGTTCGTCCAGCTGACAGAACCCTCACATAAATCCACTTCATATCCATTTACTTACCTGGCTTAGGACATAAAATATTCTGATGTTCCAGTATCGAGCCAGATCCCGGAGAAGAGGTTTCAAATAAATTGTTTCAAATGTACGGAAGCAGCCAACAAGAGTCACAAAAGTTTCATCCTCTTCATCATCTGTTATGGACTGGAGAATGGGAAGCATTGGTGCGAGGCCAGTGCCAGAAGCCAGCATGAGGAGTTCTCCGTGCTAACAACAAAACAGAATTTTGAGTTAACCATTGTGGCTGGAAACGAACGTGCTCATTGTCAGTTCCTCCTTCTGCCACACTGGTAAAGGGTCCCAACAGAGAGACCACATCAGGTACCAGGGCATGAACTGGTAAATGCAAATCTCAGAATGCATTTTTCTACAAAATCCATCGAGTATTACAGACAGCATTTGCATGATTTTTATATACCAAACTTAATGAAACTGGATTATATCCAAATATAAACATTTATAACTTTAGTCTTCATTACAGGTCATTTATATTCTCTATAGTTTCAGTTCAGCTGTACGCTGTTTTGGGGTCCTCCCTCCTAAACCATCTTATGCCTGCCCTGTTCATCACAGCCAGGGATTTGGTAACCCCAACCCTCTACAGCCAAAGTCTGACGGGGTGCTGGAAGCCAGAGGGCTTCAAGATGTGGAGTGTGACTACATATAGCAGAGAAGCTATCAGCACGAACAGCGTCCAGATGGATTTGCTACAGACAGGAACTGGTCCAACTCCTACCAACTTCACTGAGAGCTTGAACACATCTCTCATGCACACATCCATCTGAATGTGAAATGATTTCCTTTGTGCTATACAAACCATTAATTAGTCAGAGCCAGTGGGAACACATGGTCTGTAAGATCTCGGAAGGTCAGGCCTGAAGTTTGACCACCTTGCCATGAAACAGGCTCTGCAGTTTGGACGCTCACCTATCCTGACAGTCAGCAGCCTCTTGGAGACTGGTGGTGGGAAGGGGCTGCTGCTCAGGGGCTGCTTTGGGGGCAGTTTATTTCAAATGGCTTTGATCTGCCTGAATCTAAATCCTGTGCTAAGGGCAGCAAATAGAGGGGGAAAAAAAATATGGAATTTTACTCAGAAATTTATATTCAGGACCTTTGTTATAATTCATAAATATTAACAGTTCTTCCACAGCAAGCTGTTTCAAGGATTGCTCAGGTGCTTTGTACACTGCACATACAAGGATCACCCAGCCAGCCCCTGAATGCACCCACTTCTAGGCATGGCCGCTGTGCTCTGTCCCAAATGATCTGGAAGCTTTTAGGAACAGAAGTGAACAGTAGCCTAACACAGCAGGGACACTATTTCAGGAAGCAGAACACAATTGCTCTGCATGGAGCTTGGCCACTGGGATTTTACAGCCCTATTTCTGCTGGTTAAAAAAAAAAAAAAAATAGAAGAAGAAAAGAAAGAACAAGAAGAAATGGGGCTTTGGGATCCTAATGACCAATGTTTCGATTCTGCTTCTCATTTGAAAGGTCAGAATTTAGTAACGAAATTAGGCTGTGTGAGAAGCCTTCCCCTGAAACTGGATCTGCCCTTCTTTGCAGAGAGCCTGGTATCAGTAGATAGGATCAGCATTTGCAGAGTGGTTGGGTGACGTGACACCTCACTGGAGCTGCTGTAGTTCAGGGAACACCCAGGAGAGAAGAAGATCAACATCTCTTCTTCACTCGTGCTCAGTCACAAAACAGCAACGTGGTTCAAACACGGCAAAACCAATCTGCACTCATCGCTGGTACAGAATAAGTTCCCTTTCTTAAACAAATCCAGAACGTTTAATGCAAGTGATGAACAGACAGCCTTGCTAATTTTCCAGTCTCCCACCCACCTCCCTCTCCTCTTCCTCCTTAAATATGCTGCAGTTCAATAAGGTCTGCTTTCTCCAGCTGACTGCTAATGCTGTAGCACTGTACAATAACCCAGGAAGTCCCTAAAATAATCATGAAAACAGTAATCAAATTGATGTCTTCCCTTTGGAGTATTAAACAAAGCGAGCTGCCACAAGCTGAAACATCCAATGCCTCTTAGGAAACTAACCTTATTAGGTCGATATGGGAACCCTCCGAACGGCCCACGCCAAAAGACCGTGTCTCCTTTTTTCCAAGTTTTTATGTATTGTGACATTAGCCCAGCTTCATAGCACTAATAAAAAACATTGCACAAAAGAAAAGAATAATTATACTCTGCTGGAAAGTTTCCCAGCTTAAAGTCAATTATAAAGTTATCTACATTTAAACGAGAAGGGGGCAAAAAACATTTCATGCATTTAAAAAGAAAGAAAGATCATTCTATTTGAAAAAATAATTCAAAGTTATACCCAAAACAAAGACATTTAAATTAAATCATATTGGATCCATTCCAGCTTGACTATAATGTAAACACAACCCACTCTCATGCAGTCTGAATTTCCAAAACTGGAAAAAGCTTATCAGAGTTCTTGCTTACAAAGCACACAGAGAAGAGTGTCTTGAATGCAAAGCACAGTCCAAGTCTTCAAGTGTTCTCCAGATCTCAGGGTATGGGATCTGGAAATGCCCTCTGGGTACTGATAGTTATATAAACACTGCATAGCTCTTCCTTTATTTCGGTCTCCCAAACGCTGTGTTGATACAATTAGTGACCCAAAGTCAGGTTTCTCATTTATAAAACTCTGTTTTCAGAACAGATCATCTGGATGCTAAGGGATGCCTCCACATTTCAAAAAAAATGTATGTTAATGTGGGCCTTGCAGAAGAAAAACATTGGTGAAAAAATGCTTCACTTTCTACCAGGCACAAAAAAAAAACATTATCGAGGCTTTTTCCCCACAGGAATGCAAGCTTCACTTGTGACTGATGAGAAAGGGTCAGTGCCTGCAAGAAAAAGAGAAGCAAGGAGCTGCTGAAAAATGAAGGGTTTATCCAAGCAGCCTTGCTGCTGGTGTAATGTGCTCTCTTGCTCGCTCTCTGTGTGTGTCCTATTTGTACAATGACTTTATGGTTGATGAGAATGAATATGCACAAAAGAATGGCCACACTTTATGTGGTCTGGCCGGAGAACGACGTCTGGCCCACCCCACAAGAGCAGATAAGGCTAACAGTGGTGGCAGACAACTGGCCGCACACAGAGGTGATGCCACTGATAAGCCTGAGGAAGAGCCACACAACCGGGGGGCAGAAGATGGGATGCGATACAAGCCTTCGAAGTCTCCAGCCCACATCACCTGAGAGAAAGGTACTTTGGGGTGTTTTCTGCACGCACACTGGACAGAAGCCCAGCTCCACACCCCAGTGCCTTGGCTGGCCACCAAGCAGCACTGCAGGCAAACAAAACGGGTGAACCACAAAGCAGCTAAGAAAAAGTGAGAGAGCAAGCGTGTGTCTGTGCTTGCAAGCAATGCTGGCTAATAAAGAGCACGGATACTCTTCCCCTTGTAACAACCTCAGATAAGATATCTTTATCATTAAGATCTATTTGCACTGGTTGTTAGATTCAAAATGTAAATGCATCATATACATACATCCAGGCTCTGCGTTACTGTCAGAAACGTTTTACATTCAGAGGGCCCTGGGCTGGCACTTAGTCTCGTGCAAAGAGTGCGCAGTGGCATCAAAGGAATGGTGTTTGATGCTCACCTTCTTCAACCATACACCCAAGGCAAGTGGAGAAAAGTCAGCCCCACCTTATGGCCCGTTCCCAATGGACCATGGCAATGGTAACTAAAACAACCCTTCTTTCACCAAAATTATTTCCAAAAATTGAAGTGAGAAGTGATTGAGTGGGTATAAAACGAATTTTTCTAAACAAAAAGAAAAAAAAATAATTATCTCCTGGGGGAAAACTTCGACACCCAGTTTTACATGGAGAGAAACCCTAGCATTATAAAATCACTCAAAAAGAGGGTTATGCTCTGTAAATGGCAACTCCCTCACACTTAACTGTAGTATCACAAATGCAATGCTATAATAACAGGAGACAGAGGGTTTGAACAGTGCTTGGATTGCATAGTAATAATAATAATATAGTACTTTCCAAAATTGCCTGAATAGTGTGAAATACACCACAACCTACAGAGAGAGTTATAAAAATGGCTGCTTTACATTGGGTGTTACCAACCTCTTTTGTCACTGCCAGAGAGTAACTATAGCTCCCTTTGGGATGAAAGGTTCTATATAAAGGAAAGGTATCATTACAATCATTACTATTATTATTGAAATGCAAAACCTGTGAGTAATAAGCAAGTATACATGAAATTTCACAGTCATCTTGTGAATGTATCCTATTAATACAACTCAAATGCAACGTTTCTCTCCCCTACCACACACCAATTGCCACAAGAATGGTGAAAGGACCCTCCCACAGGTGTCTTATACAAGCTGTACACATTTCTAAAGAACAGGGCTTTCGCTTGAACATACAATGCATAATAGACCTCCAAAACGTGAAATCCTGGAGGACAGGCAGAGGACAAATGGTCATTTTGTGCAAGCCACCCGGGACGCTCAGCTCTCAGACTTTCACACCTATACCAAAGTCTGTGTCTGCCCTGAGGAATCAGTAGTGACATACAAATACAACATCAGAAAAAAATCCTCTTCAATTCGATATTCGCCACACAAAATGATTATTTATAAGGGCCCTGCAGACTTTATTCAGACAATTTTCCAACCAAGTTCTCCTATAAAATCCTTTCAAACTCAAGGGGACACTTCTCAGACTGCAGGCAGCTCCAGAGCCTGCACACCAGGCACACCTGTCCGTTTTCTTCCCATATTTTTCACCAAAATGAAAGCTTTTTATGAGGAGTGTCCTTAATGCAAAATAAAGGAGGGAGAGACAGGGCTGGGCAAAGACTCTCCAAAATCAGTGGCTCAACTGGGCGGGCTACTGGGTGTGATTTCAAAGACAGATTGAAAAGGCAGAATGAAGTCATGGAGGTGGAATGGGCACCTCTTTCCTCTTTCCACACTGGCAACCGCAAGGCTCCCGAGAGGCTCTCTCAAATGCTTTGCAGGGCTTCTGCTGCAAAGCAGTTGTTTGTGTGTCACCTTCTGCTTTCAGTTTTGTGGGAGAAAAAAAAAAAAAAAAGAAAGAAAAAGCAATTTTTATCAGCAAAGCACAACTGCTTCAAAACAACACAGAAGCAGCCCATGAGGGATTTGACAGGCTCACTTGAAGTACTGACAGTGTGCTTGGTTCCTAGAAGAAAACACCGTCCCCGGCACCTTCCACTCTAATCTATATTGTATAGACTTACTTACTTTCACTAAAACTTCAAAGTAACCTTCTGCATTCCTTGGGCTAATCGGGGTGTAGGCTCGCTGGACCTCCAAACCGTTCACCTCTCCTCTGAGAAGAGAAATATAGGAAGCCACTGTAACTCGTGTCATTGACAGGTATTACCAACACTTGTGCTTTCCCCTGGGGAGATGAGGCAAGGCTTGAGGGAGGCAGCAGATCCTCTTCCCAATGGCCCAGCCTGTGCACAGATGCAAAACATTTCCCTGTGAGAGGTACAAATCGATGGGGGACATAACTTCTAAATGCATCTATTGTTTTCCTGGTGCTGGCCCCATCTGTACCCCACACTCAGCTCTCGGACACATCCGTGGAAGGAGGCTTGAGATGTTTTATGAGAAACAGTTCAGTGAGCAAGAGCGGGAAAGGGAAGAGAAAATGCTTTCTTGGTAAGTGTGCTATCCCTTTTGGGCTGGGGCGTACCTTTCTTTCTGTGTTTGGACAGCATCTGGCAATTAACTAATGAAATTTAGGGCACAGCCTTAAATTGAGCTCCTGTCAATATAGACTGTATTACCATGTAAGTCTTCCCTTTCCATAGAATGTATCCACAGTGCTCTTCACTGCCGACTGTGTTAATTGACTGACGTGAGCAAGCCCTTTCCTCGGCTGCATTAGGAGAGAGGGCGGAATGGGAAGCATGTACTTTCAGCAGCCAGCCAGCTGTATACATCAGCTGTTAACGTACAAATAACGTCAACAGATACAGATCAATGGCATCATAACACGACTTTTTCTAACCGGCAATGATCACCACAGATGGCTGAGAGAGACATAAACTTTTCCCAAGTGACCCCTTTCTGGCAAGCAATAAACCACACAGGAGGGTTGTTTTTCTAGAAATCGGGAGATGCCTGGACATCAGAAATAACACCGTGGGTGCTGAGTTACCCCAAGACACAGACCCTAAAATACTGAGCCCTGGGGTTAGAGCAGCTCATTGTCTGCTTTCCAACACGCTGGAGTAAATCATCTGTTGTAACATCTATTCTTTGACTCTTTCTTTCTGCAAATGGATTTTCTTAATCACACCTAGTTCTTTCTGACCCACCGATGCAAGGATAATGCTGAAGAAAAATACAGCTTTGGAATGGCTTTTACCATAAAATTAGTAGAACTAATGAGCTCACAAGGCCTTTCATCTGTATCATCATGGAGCTATAGAAATTATGATTTGCCTGGTATGCAGGCTTTGTCTATTGACAAAACCCTATATATTAGGTTACATAATGCAGACTGTTTAACTAGCACAGAGAACAATACCTTAACACGATATGTTGTCCTAAACTCAATCGCAGACTGCTATTTCCCGGTAATTCAAATTTGTACTGGTAGGTGTCCTCTGTTAGCTGCTCCACTGAGCTTATGTTGAATGCAGTAAATGTATCTGGATTTAGTTCTGAATTATTGCTCTGCAAGAACAACAATAAATAATTACTTGGTTAGACGGTGTCTTTTATTATTTCATTTTTCTTTGGAAGCAAACGTGTATGCTAATTTAGTGCCTGAGATACTCAGGACTCCAGAAGAGCTCATATTAAATGCTAGGGCCCGGTGCAAATTTCAGCTCTCTGCTGATTCATTACGGTGTTCTGCAGTATGCACTTTGGGATCTTGGATCCCCCCCCTTTAAAATTACATTTTTACACCTTACAGCAAGGTCATCTTATTATGACTCACTGCACTCATTTTCTCCTGTCTGGAAACAAACAGAAATAATACTGCTAAAAGAGCTGAGCACTGCTTTGGGGGCAACTTTGAAACCTACTGATGACCATTCGGAATAGGAAATACCGTTAGATGTTTCAACACTGAACATTTTTGCTTGACCCAGCACAGTAAATCTTACGTAACAGGGCGCTGACAAGCTTGAAATTACACTCTGAAGACAACTATTTGAATACCAGGCCACGCACAATGCAAGCTTTTTCATTCTCAAATAAGGGATAATAACAGGGAAAGACAAAAAAGGTCAGGAAAGTGGAACTTCTGCGAGGAAACCATCGGCAGTGAAAATGGTGATTCTTTGCATCTTCCCCCCGTTTCCCACTTTTCACAGAGGTTTGCTCCGGCTGCCTGGGGGCAGCACATGGCCTGGCAGAAGCTGCAGACCCAGGGCTGTAACGAGACACCAGGGCGAACCCGACACTGGGAAAATCACATTACAGGAGGGAGAGCAGGCAGGGGGAGCGGGGTCTGGAAAGGCTGATTTGGGGAATTGCATTTTCAGTCTTAAGACACCGCTTTAATCTGTAGCTGCGTCCCTCACCCACCACCACAGCCTCACTCGCTAGCAAGTGTATGATCAAAGCGCTGGCCCCAGGACACGAGGAAGACAAATTGACCTGCTCCTTCTCTTCCGTGAGGAGGCTTTTGTCTTGCTTTGCTTTGGCCCTTTCCCATCGTGCAAGCTCCTTCTCATATACATCGTAAATGCAGGGTTTGCAGCCGCTGCCACAGCACTGGGATGGAGAAGGTTCTTGGGGCTTGAGAGCCAGCCACTCATCCTCATTTCCACTCATTGTCTGCAAAACACAAGCCTTGCATCACAAACAGCGGGATCGAGAGAAGCACGTGCCCATCAGCTGAGTGTTACTTGGAGAAGGACAGCGAAATCTCTCTCGAGCATCTTGCGTGTGTGTCTCAGGGGAAGCAGAAAACTGAAAACCCGTGAGCTGAACTGCTGCCTGCAATGCTCCGTTTCTGCTCACGCACCCGCTGCCTCTGCTGTCCTGCCACCGAGGTGGTGATTTCTAGAAAAAAAGTGGCCCAAAAATCTGCAGCTCAGTCCACCACAAGGGCTGGCCAACCCCAAGCACTGCCAGAGCACGGCTTTAAAATGGAGCAGGGGGGGGCATGGAGCTGAAGGTGGGTCGTAGAGCTAAGAAGCTACAAGAAAACAGTAAATTCACAGGCAAATGAACAAACAATTTGGTTATAAGCAGATTTGGCTTTAAATGTAGACACGTAGGAAAAGGCAAGGAGCACGCACAGCGTGATTTTCATCTCCTGCCCTTGGCCCACACAGAGCTACACCCGGCGAGCGCTCCTCCAACACCAATCGGGATGCCGACCTCTCAGGGACTCGGTTATTTTTATACAACGGCTTCACAGCATCCCCAGCACGTTTACACCGGCACCATTTAAACAAAAGGTCTGGAGGAAATTATAAAGCCGCGGGTGACGGGGCTGGAGAAAAGCGCGCTTAGCGCTCAGCAGCTTCATTTGCAAGCTCCCGTGCAAGCATCAATTAATCCTCGGACTAAAAAAGGACGATAATTTGGATTTTTTGGGGGGGAGAAGAGGAAGGCAGGGGATCGCCGGCCGTGCTCCCAGCCCTGTGCGCCCGGGCTTGGTGCGAGCGGCCATTGCTCAGGCTGGGGACGCAGCGGGGGCGTTTTGCTCAGACAAACTGCCCGAGGGGCCTTATTGAGGGGAAATTCGGGCAGAAACAAAGATGGAAGGCGCTGTTAGTCAGGGGCTCGGTTTGTTTGTTGTGCTTTGTGCGTTCTCTGGGGCTTTACAGGCGCCAAGGGGCCGGGGTTGCCCTGAGGGGCCCCAACTCCCCCCCCGCCCCGGACCCCTCTCCCCCCTCCCTGCCCCTCCCCTCACTTACCCCCGCACCTGCCCTTCCTCCCGCCCCCTCCGCCGCGCCATTGGCTGACCTCCCTCAGGGCTGGCCTCCCATTGGCTCCCTCCCCCGTCACTCACCACGGGCAGCAGGCGCCGCCCCGCCTCCCTCCCGCCCTCCTGAGGGCGACAAGATGGCGGCGGCGGCGGCCCTTGAGGCGATGGCGGCGGCGGCGGCGCTGAGGCGGGCGGCGGGGGCCGGGCCGCGGCCCCGCGGCATCGTCACCCACACGGGGCCGCCCCGACCCCGCGGGCCGCTGCCCCGCACGCCCTGGACCACCCGCGGGCCGCCCCCGGAGGTGCTGTCCCGCAGGGCGGAGCGGCGGCCGGTCCGCGAGCAGGTGGAGCTGGACACGGTCACCTACGAGGCCCGGCAGCACCGGGTGCCCGGCCTGGCCCGGCCCCGCTTCCCGGCCTGGCAGCGGGGCTGGCACGACCCCTGGCACTCGCCCGGGCCGCGCTATGAGGACATGGCGCTGCGCAAGGAGCGCGGCTGCTTCGTGTGCCACCAGCGGGTCCGCATGCTGGAAGGTACCCGCAGCGCCTGGCCTGCCCCCCTCGGTGCCAAAATCAAAGAAATGTGTTGGGTTTATCGCTTAAAGATCCATGCTGAGAACCCCTGCCAAGCCATCGAGTGGTCTCGGTGACAGGCCCGTGTTTCTGATGGGGATGCATCAAGTTGCACCAGGGGACGCTCAGGGTGGGAATTCGGAGATGTTTCTCCTCACAAAATGCAGCCAGGCACTGGGACGGGTTGCCCAGGGAGGTGGTGGTGCCACCGTCCCTGGGGGTGCTCAAGGAGAGTTGGATGTGGTGCTTGGGGACAGGGTTTGGTGGTGACATTGGTGGCAGGGGGTGGTTGGCCCAGCTGCTCTTGGAGGTCCCTTCCTACCTTAACAGTTCTCTGATTCCAGGGGTTCGGCAAGCGCAGTGGCTCACCAAGACGAAGCTGGTGCAAGGTTTGCCACCGTCGGTGCTCAGCATCGTCAATGACCCCGCTCACCAGCTCCAGGACCAGGACGAGGCGGTGCATCGAGCGATCGCGCACGCGCGGCTCTGGGAGACGACAGAAGTTGCTCCCAGGAGAGAAAAGTATTGGTAAGTTCTCAGTCCTGCGCATGGCTTTAGTGTAAACCAGTGTAAACCACCAAGAAGATGGTTTAAGAACCAGAGTTTTGAACACTGCAAAGAAAGCTTATGCATGGATCTACTGCTGAGAGATTCACTTACCGTGCAAAACTGTCAGAGCCTTTGTATAAGGCTGTCACCGTATAAAAAAACAAAACGACACAGTTTTGAATGTCAACAGTAGTACCAATGTAAACACATACAGTCTATTAAAGCTCCTTTTAGGCCAAGGTCTCTGTTTCTGCTTGAGATACAGTTCTAGCTGATTCAGAATGTCATTTTTAAAAATAACTAATGGTAAGCATTACCTCTGCCAACTTGGAACCAGGCTGGTTTGTTGGGTATTAGTCTGAAATCTGTGTTAACTATTTGGAAATGTTATGCTATTATATATTTTACAGACAGTAATGTTCTATAGCATTCAGGTCCCAACAGCATCTGCCTACCATGATAATATTTTTACTTTATGTAACCTTTTTTTTTTTTTTCCTCTCTTTATTCTAAAGCCCTGTGCTGTTTGAAGACTTGATACATTTGTGCCGGTTAATGACAATGAAGTATCCTTCCCTGGCTAAAAGAATGTTGGCTAGAAACTACAGGATTGCAGCTGTGTGGGAAAGAGGTTGGTTGCTGCTGGGGTGGAAGCCTTTGGCTCTTTTGGTTAATGTGAGAGGGGTAACAAAGTCACTAGCTTGAAAGCTAGAGACCTGGAAAAAATGAAGCAAGTTCTGGAACTGAGCAATTCTTCCAGGTTTAAATAGTGCTGTAAGGATAGGCATGGTGACAGGATACATGCCCCAAGGAGGTTATTAAGGTGTTAGACAACATCAGCATGACAGTGGGAGAAGAGAACCAGTGTCTTAGAACTGGTTATTTATTTTTGGCATCCGAATCTGTTCTGTTGTCTTTGTAAATATGCTTAGTTAAGAAACTAACGCTAGTAATTAACGCTGCTATTTTGGAAAAAGAGCCTACAGCAGAGCTACTATGTAAGATTAGTCTGGAGGTGATGGGGAGAGAGTGGGCCTTGCAGAACAAAGACTTACTGGGATGCTGTTACCAAAAGGAAACGTACGCCTTGCCCTGATGTTGTTTTAGTGACGTTTGAATGCAGCCTAATTTCCCTCCCCAGAATCCTTTCTCCTTCAGGTCCGTGGCCTGAATGGAATACTCATGAACTCCGTGGCCCCGATACCACCGGTAGCCTCCAAGGAGGAGATACTGGCCACCGAAGAGCATGTGCTGGAGACCTTCTATCCCATCTCGCCTACAATTGATCTTCAGGAAGTGAACGTGTACAGAGAGCTCAACGACACAGGTACGTCTGGCAGTTGAAAACAATTTTCTGTCTGTCCTTGCCTTTGTGCCAGACGTCTGTGGGAGTGGATGGGAAAGGGAGCAGTGGAGCTGGGTGCAGGGTGTGCAAGTTTACCCTAGCCTAGGCAGTTCTGTGGAGAAAAACCCGGGCAAATTACTCAAACAGTTCTTGAAGATATGGGAGAAAACGTTGGCCGTGCTGTCTCGTACCGAGGGATTTCTGACGTGCTTATCTGCCGTTCAGGTTTCAAAGATGGTTATCCGTACCCTCATCCTCACACTCTGTATTTCCTGGAATCGGCCAACGTTCGCCCTGACAGGTTCAGACCAGAACAGCTCCGTGCTAAAATGCTGATGTTTGCTTTCGGCAACGCGCTGGCGAAGGCAAGGGTGCTGTACGGGGTACGTACCGGAGACGGCTGCTCTCCTGCTTTCTTCTTTCTCTAGCGCTGCAGCCAGGGGAAGGAGCTGTGAAATTCCCTTGATGTGATGCATACAGGAGTTTTCAAATCTGCTCTGATGACACTGTAGCAGAGCTTCCCACGCCGGGGGTCTAACCAACCTTCAGGTATGGTTACTGCTGATCCAAAAATCCACCTCGGCAGCGAGCGTGTTCATGATGTAACATGCACCGGAGCGGTAATGGGTAGGCAGCAGGGTGTAGGTTTAACTGTAGAACTCGAACCCACCCCACAGCTCGGTATGCAAATTGATACTTCATTGCTGGCTGAAGGAAGAATTTTAATTAAAATCCAAAATCTACATTCAAAACTTGTTTGACTAGAGTAATTTTCTGGGCAAGGTAACAATACATTTATTAAAAACTTGGCTTTAAACCAAGCAGAAGATGCAGAATCAGCAACTAGTCATACAGTTTTTGTGACAACTGGCTTTTTAAATGTTCTCCTTCTTTCCTAGAATGATCCCAAGGTTTTGGAGCAGCCGATAGTGGTGCAGAGCGTTGGCACGGATGGCCAGCTCTTCCAGTTCATGGTGTTCCAGTTAAATACAACAGACCTCGTGTCTAGTGATGGCGTAAAGAACCTCGTCTGGATTGACTCTGATCAGAACCTGTATGAGAAAGCCCAGTGTGTTCCAGAAGTCAAGAAGAGAGTTGTTACGGTAAGCAGACAGGGGCGAAACAGCCCTGAGGTGGGAAGTGGCCCTGGAATTACAGCCCTCTCACCTCTGCCAGAGGTTTGGGAGCTGGCAGGAGGCTGTGGCCCAGGTTTTAAACCAGCTGAAGAGAGCTGACACAGGCACTGGGCTCTGACTGGAGAGCCTTACGCAGGTGTTACGCCAGTGGAAGTACCCACACACAAACCGTTTGGGGAGGGAGAGCACGATTCGGAAGCTACCCCCTTTGAAGTCTTACTCGAGCGTGTTTAAAGCCATTGTTTGTCTACATTAATTACTTTGCTGCAAACTGAGCATCCGTGTCTTCCCTCTGCAGAAGCCCGCTGGAATCTATGGCGTTCAGCCAGAAACATTCAAGAAGTTTCTGGCGCTGTATCTGCACGGAGCTGTGTGAAATTCAGCTCAAAAGAAGACTCTTCACCAACTGTACCTGCTGCTTCTCTTTGCCAGAGCCATCACTTATTTAAGGAAAGGTGGACTGGTTTACGTTCAAAAATAAATTATATTGCTACTGAAATAAATTTTTTTTAAACAAAGTTGTGCCTGAAGAAGTTTTCATTTGAGGGGCTTACCTCTGGCGTCTGGTTAGAGTCACCCAGTGCGTCCTCCTGCTGCCTAGAACCTGTCTGCTTCCTTTCCTTTCTGCTTCCGTGTGCTTGCATGGACTGCCCAATGCTTAGTTCCCAAATTATTTAATCATCAGACTTGTTTTGTCAAATTTAGAACCACAATTCTTTTACCTCTTCCCGATACTGATGAAGAAACATCCATTTTGGGAAAGCGATGTAGAACGTAGCATGAAACTTTGGTGCCTGGTAACGGGGATTTGCTGCTAAAAACAGGAATTTCTCCCTGCCACCCAGAGTGAAGTGAGCAGGAAGCACGTTCTTTTTAAGATGGGAGGATTAAGTGTGTTTTTTCTTTTTTTTTTTTTTGTAAAATGAAGGCTAAATTAGCTCCAACCAAATGTAAAATGTTTTGCAGCTCTGCACCTTCAGCACATGGGAAGGCACAGGACAGCCTGCGCTATTTTAAGGCGGGGAAGAGCACATTTCCAAGAAATTCATAATCGCTGCAGAATCCTGTGTCAGAGACTGGTCTGTGCTTTGTGATCCTGCCTGCCCATCTGGATCAACATCTCAGTTGTGGGTTCCCGTCTCAGGCTATCAAACAGCCCCACGCTGCAGGTTTCAGAAAACAGATTTTCACTAGTCACACTCGAGATCAACAGTTGCACGCAATGACTTGGGATACATCCCTTAAGTTAAATTAAAAAAATCCCTCAGTCGTTGGGGGCAAAATGCTTCAAAGAGAAACAATTCTGCCTGTGCGAGGGCTGCCCGTTTCAGCTCATCTGCCTAAATCTGTAATTTAGACCCGGTTATTTAGGAGCGCATTTTAATAGTTGTGCTGTGTGGGGATGGTTGTTCCTGAAGGCGTTTCCTTTCAGTTTCACGTAGGTTGGCTCTGCTGTGTGGCAGGGACCCTGCTGCACAGTCCCAGGGAGCAGCCCGTGGGCTGGAGCCCTCCCCTCACCTTCCTGCCTTGGGTCAGGGCCCGTCTGAGGGCGGTGACCCCGCTGCCCCCTGTCACCGATGAAACACGCTAAGAGACTGGAGATGTTAGAGGGGCTGAAGGAACCGAGCACCTTGCGTGCCTGTAGATGTGGGAGTCTGAAGGAGGTCTTCATGGGACAGAGCCAAAGTCCCACTCCACAAAGCAAGGGCTGTTAGGGGAGCTGAAGCTGGAATCCTGCCCTCTCCAGGACGCCACAGAGGCAAAACCAGAGCACAGCGAGGGATAGACGAGGGCAGAGTGCGGCCGGTTTGAAAAATGGCAGAGGCCATGAGACATCGGGCAGTCAGAAGGGGAATGAGCTCACTTCAGGTGCTGGCTTTGGTCACGAGAGGCCTCAGCAATCCACCTGGGATGACTTGAGGTGAACTCAAGGTGGGCAGCGCAGGGCTCCCGGCACGGGTGCGAGGGAGGTGGGAGCAGGAGGAAGACGACGGGTCAGGGAGGCACATCTGGGTGGGCATCAATAAGTTATAAGGCTCGTCAGCAGCTGAGCGGCATCACCTCAGCGAGAACCCGCCATTAACCTTTAATGAGCGGCAGGCGGGGAGCAGAGCGTGCGAGGAGGGGGCGGCTCGTGCAGGCCGGGGGGACCCGGAGGTGCCCCGAGTGTGCACAACCACACGGCCGTTCCCCACCACAGCCCCTGGGAGCCACGTTTGTGGCGTGTGCCACCTCCGTGAGTGCCTTCGGACACGCTGACGGGGCCAGCCAAGGGATAAAGTGGTGACAGCACCGGTGGCCGAGCGGCTGATGGCACAGCCCTCCTGAAACCCAGCAGGAGGGGCCCTGCCGCTGGCACCACGGTCCCCGGTGACAGTCCCTGGTCCCTGCGTGCACCAGCTCTAAACACCCCCGGGGCCACGTTGCCAAACTTTGCTTCCTCCAAGAGGGATGGGAACGCACGGCCCCAGCCCTGACACCGCCAGGTATGAACCCAACACGGGCGGCTGAGCTTCTCCGGGCTGTCTCCAGTCTAAATCCAGGCGCTGTGCTGCCAGCGCAGCACCTACACAGCACGATCCTGCCCCAAAATCTCGCCCTGGATCGCCCCCAACCCAAAACGTGCCCCCAGCACCCCGCTGGGCTCCGAGCCTCGAGGAGCCGCCAGCACCAGGAACAAACTGCAGCGCACCGGGGTCAAATGTTTATGTCGATATTTATTACAGCATGGGGGGGGGAAGGGGGGAGAACCGTTTCATTCAAAAAAAAAAAACAAAAACCATCCCATACCAATGAAGACAATAATTTAGCTATTCATTTTAAAATACATTAAAACCGGTCCTTTCATTTCCTCACGTCAGAACAAAAAAAAAAAAGGAAAAACAAAACAACAACAAAAAAACAAAACCTGAACAAGATGGAAAGCAGAAAAAGAAAAAATTTTGACCCCTTCTGGAGCCCACGGGCGCATTTTGCGATGCAACAAATCTTCATTCGGTCATTTCTCAGCATTACTTTTAAAATATTAACCTGACTGTAACTATGAGACTGACACCCTCAGCCCCCCCGTCCCACCCGCCCTCCCTACCCAGCGACTTTCTACAGGTAAAGCACAATTAAAATGCCTAGGAAAAAGAAGGCAAACATTTAAAAAAATTCGTATTACACACTAAAAAAAGTTTTGTCATCTCATGTCTTGCAGTCAGAATAATAAAAACAAGCCAAATGTTCCCAAAAACATTTCAATGAAGGGGTGCGGAAAAAAGACATCCCTTTAATAAAACATTATCAACAAATATCGTACACAAACTACAATGTATAATAATTACTTTTTTTTTTTGTTTTTTTTTCCCCTCTCGGTATTTCAGAACCAGACTACAAGGTAAGAAAAAACACTGAAACAAGATACAATGCTTTCAATAATCCGCACAAGGGTCAATCCAGGGAGATAATATTTTACATAATATGATATACATGGAGCAGAAATGGAGCTTGAGAAAAAACAAAGAGCAACTACAGGGGTAGTGTAATGTACAGAGAGCCCAGACCTCCGCCAGCCTCCCTCCACACGGCTCGGCAGCCCCTCGGCTGCAGCCGCCTCCCCCGGAGCAGGGAGGGCTTTTCTGAGCTTCCCGTTAAGTTTTTTTTTTTATTTTCTTATGACAGAGCGAGCCTACAGAATAGCAAGGATACATTTTTTTTTTCTTTTTTTTTAACAACAATAATTCCTTAAAAAATATCTCCATCCAGTTCCAAATCATAAGAGAAGTGAAACCCTGACAAAAGCACGTCTTCAAGAGGAAAGAAACCGAAACGGAACAAAAAGACGAAAGCAAACAAAGCCCCCAAAAGAACCAAAGTTAGCTGGAGATCACAGTTTCAAAGTCCCAGGTCAGATTAACCCTTTCTTTCTCCTTTCTTTCGGTGGATTCAAAAAAAAAAAAAAAAAAGTCGAATTCGATTTTGCAGTGAACCAGCTCAAGGACTCTCGGGAAGGGAGGGGCAGAGATTTCTTCTTGTACTCTGAGAGGGGGGGAAAGACTAACACAGTGCATGCCACAGTCACAGAGAGTAAGATCACAATTAATTCGAGGATGTGATCCTATAAGGGGTCACCTGCATTAACAAGTTTATAATGAGGTGGTGGAGTCTCTTCCACAAGCAGATCTTGTTACTGGAGGAGGAAGCGTTGTGCTGCAAACGAACAACCAAAAAAAAAACCAAAAAATAAAAAAAAAAGGAAAAAACCAAAAACCAAAAAAACAGGCCTTCTGAACGAAAACCACCATTGTAAACTGTCCAGTTTATTTAAAAAATGACTACAACAGAGACAACATGAGATTTCATATCTAGACTAGCTTCCTGGTGTCGCACGGCACAAACATACAACAGGGTTCTGTTTCTGTCTTTATTTAAAAGAACAAAGCAAAGAGATCGGAGTTGGGTGCTAGAGGCTTCCATTTGTTTCCAAAAAGAAGTGTCATGTACATATATAAACCCTTCTGCACAAAGAAGGATCTTGTCATGTCTTGAAATATTTTAAGTTTTGTCCTTCATGTTTTATGGAATAAAAAGTTCAGCCTTTTTATTGCATGAAACTAAACCTGGGGTTCTGGCCCCCGCCACGCGTCTCCCTGCCAATACACCTAGCTTCTTCTTGCATAATTCTTTGAGATCCTCCGAACGGCAGCTGACTCTCTTTATCCTGGAGAGGAGGAGGGGGAGGGAAATCACACACTCATCGTCATGCTGGGGGAATACTGCAAGAGAGACAAAGCCAGGGTGAGACGCCAGGCGGGCCGGACCCGAGCACCGCGCTGCTCCGGCTGGGGACGGGGACGCGGCAGCGACTCGGGCTTGTGAGAACTACAAAGCCAGGTAATTGGAGCTAATAAATCACACGGAGAGTGTGCTCCAGACTCTCATTTTTCAGGACGTAATGTGCTCTGTAACTTGCCTTTCCAGGGAGAAAATAACCAAAGCAGTATGGGGTAAGAAGCAATTAAAAAAAATAATTAAAATGCACGCATGTACGCGATGCTAATACAGTGGGAGCAGGAGAGAGGCCCGGGCACAGCGCCTGAGCCAGCGCCACGACCGGGCTGCCTGCCACAAGACGCTCAGGGTGAGCCCGGTGCCCTCACCTGCGCTGGTAAAGAGGGAAGGGGCGGCCACCCCGTGGCATTAAATTGGTTTGGAGGAACCCGAGCAACTCCAGGGAGGAGGCAGGGAGCTGAGCTGCTTGTCCCAGCTGGCCTCCGTCCACAGGGAGCCTCTTGGTGTCCTCCTCACCTCCGTTCCCCTGTCTCTCACCACCCTGGGAGTGCCCAAGCCTGCACCCACCCACACCCACCCAATGTCTCCCTTCCTCCCCTGCCTTTCGTCCCGGAGCAGCTTGCAAAGAGCAAAGCCTGGGTGAGAAAGGAGGAGGGAGGGATTCGGCCTCCCCGGCGCACAGCCTGCGGCCGGGCACCCAGCGGCAGTCGCGCCCATCCCCAGGGGACTCACATTGTCGTTTTGGAAGGAATGGAGAAAGTTGCCTCCCAGCTCCCCGTCGTCTCTTGGAGTGCCCGGGGGATTGCTAATGCCACTTATGTTGTTTGGAGAATTCTGCAGAAGACGAAGCGGGGAGGCGGTGAGCAGGTCCCTGCATCCCCAGAGCACCACGGGGCAGGGACGTGGCCCCGCCGGCCCCGCTCCCGTCCCCACCCAAGGCCCGGTGAGAGAAGAGGGCTGACGCAGCCGCCCAGCAGCTCACTTACTTTTGGAAGTCCATCTATGTCTCCTGACCCTGTGGCGTGGGGACAAAAGGAGAAAAGCCTTGTTGAAGGCGCACCCGCAGCCCCGGCTCCCTCCTGCCCCGCTCCTCCCTTCCACTTTTCCCCCGGGGTCTGGAAGCCGCGGGGGCTCGCGGGGCGCTCACCTAAGGATCCGTTCATGTGATGGGGCTCCATGCCGCCCATGCCGCCCATGGGGCCGTCAGAGCCGGGGCCCATCGGGAACTGCGGATGAGAAAAAAACACCCACATCAACCCAAAAGCAACATCGGGGCGGCCACGGTGGCTCCGGGTGACCCGTCCCCACAGCACAGTCCAATTTGGGCTTGGAGGAGGGACGTGGCCACCTCTCAGAGCTGTGGGACACCCCTCGGGGCTTGTGACCGTAATATTTGGCCAAACCACGGTGTGCAAACCCAAACACCGTGCCAGCAGCGAGGGCTGTCTCCAAATGCCCAAAGAACAAGGCCTGCAGTCACCCACATGCCCTAAAACCCGCAGGCTCGTGGGGTGTGCAGCTGCCATGGCTGCCCTTTTGGTAAGCACAAAAACCGAACAAAGTCGCCAAAGAGTTAATCGCTTTTTGATGGTTTGTTTTATTTCTGTTTTGTAACAAATGGCTGAAATCAATTAAACTGCTTTGCTCTCAACTGATGAAGTTAATTATGATTTGTTATGGTATCTGATATGTAAATTATTAGAAAGCAGACTTACATTCGATCGGCTGCCTGCGGGCGGTACTGGATTAATCATTGTGTAGATGTTGTCACTTGAATTTGTTGAATCTGTGGAACAGTGAAGCCCAGTAAGTCGGGTGATTAATTCATTTCTTAATTAAAACAAACTCATGCCACTTGAACTCATTCTTTTGTATTTTATCACCTAAAATTCCCTCTAAGTACCACCATTTTCTGGCTAATTTGTATTTAATGAAGATCCACAAAGTTTTTAATCACGGAAATTCAACTGTGAAAAATAATTCAACTTCTAACCGGGAACCGTGGGGTTGGCTTATCAGGGGGTGCGCGGGGCAGAAATTCGTGGCCGTGTGTCGCTCCACACCCCGAAACCTCCCCGAGCCCCAATCCCACTGAACCTGTGTAAACAGAGAGGAATATCCCAAAATATCGGGCGGGTGGGGTGGGAGGGAGCCTGGTGGCAGTGAGGTGCCCCGGCTGCGAGGGGACAGGGCACAGCGGGGCAGGGAAGCGCCGGGGGTGTTTTGTTAGGACCCAGCCTGAAATGTAGGTCAGGGCTTCTCATCAAAATGCAGAAGGAGAAGGAGCAGCCGCAGCCTGCGCCGCAGCTCCTCCCCTGCAGCTGTGGCACCGAGCCCCCCCAAAAACCCGGCCGGGGGAGGCAGGGCTGGCTTTGGGGACGGGGTTTGGGCTCCTACCTGCGGGGCTGGGCATGATGGGTGTCCCCGGAGGACCGCCACCGCCGGGAGGACCCTGAGGAGAGATGGAGCTGGGGTGAGCTGTGCCGGCACCGCTCCGCAGCCCTGTCCCACCCGCACCCCCAACACGGCACCCCCAGAGCCTGAGCACAGGCTCTGAAGCCTTCTGGATTCCCCCCAGCACCGACAACGGGGGGATCTGAGCAAGCAGAGGGAATATCCCCCTGCTTCCTAAAGCCCTCCCGGCCCCAAATCCGCCCGCTGCCCCACGTGCACCACTTCCACCCAGCGGCGGCGGACTCACCACGTATGTACCAGGCGATGAAGAAGAGTATGGGATCTACACGGAGAGAAGAGCGGGGTTTAGGCACCGGGAAACCAGCCGTGGAGCAACACAGCTGCAGGCTCCGGGGCATCCGAGCCCCGCCAGGGCCAGGAGGAGGCTCCTCCAAGCACCCAGCGAGCCCCAGGCTGGACGCCCCGTATTTTTTGGGGTGCTTCCCAAGCAGCCCCGCTGTTGTTTAGGTAGGAGGACGGGGCATACTCACTGAGTTAGCACTGCTGGGGTTGGGCCATGGTCTGCCAGCTCCCGGCCCCCTGCAGACAAAAGGAAACAGAAAAACAAAAGTTCTGCTTTCATCCATCGCCCTGCGTGCCACGGGGGCGGCCGGGTAGAGTCCCGGGTACCAAAAGGGCACGGCCACGTGTGCCCAGCGTGGGGCCGGGGGCTTACATGTTAATTCCGGGCATGCCAGGGCCTAACGAGTTGGGCGGAGGTCTCATGCCGCTGCCATAGTTCTGCAACGATAACCAAGGATCAGTCTACCATAACGAGAAGGGAAAGCGGAGAGGAAAAGAGAAGGGAAAAAAAAAAAAAAAGACACAAACAAACAACAGAACGAGAGGGTTAGTTCGCGGAAACGAACACCGAAGAAAATTACGGGCTGAGAAATGTGGACGCAGGGGCGACGAGCCAAAACGTGAAAATAAAAGAATTTTAAAAATAAACCCAAAGTAAGGCAAGGCTCCTCTGCTCCCAGGCAGTGCACGCAGCAGGGTTTGTTTTCCCCCGGTTGCATGGCTCTGCTGAACCCCCCCGCAGCCAGTCTGCAGCCACGGGGAGCCCCCCGAGCCCCCAGCCCCTCGGGGCTCCCCTCCCGGCTTATCTCGCCCCGCTCGGCCTCCAGCGGGGCCGGGGAGCCTCAGATCAGCGCCCTTAATCTGGTAAGAACAGATCCAGCACAAAGCCCAGCCCAAGGCACCGGAGGAATAGGAATCCCCCAATGCCGCGCTCCATTTGGTTCGCGCTCTGCTCCCTGCCCTCTGGGCGCCGCGCTGCTGCCTGATTTAGGTCGTGCTGCTGCTGGGAGAGCTGCGCCGCCGCCTTCCCCCACTAAGCAAGCCTGTTCCCAAACGTAGTTTTTCATTTTCTGTAATTTTTTTTTTTTTTTTAAGCAGGATCAGCCTGGACACGGGCTGGGGAGAAAGCTGAGTGCTGCGGTCCCCAGTGCCCTGCAGTGCCGAGAGGCTGCAGGAGGAGGAGGAAGGAGGAGGAGGAGGAGGAGGAAGATGAGGAAGGTGTCAGGATGGGAAGAAGCTGTGGTGCTCGCTGGCTGCCTGTGCTAACGTTTCCCCCAGGAGCAGGGTGCCCCCAACACCCCAAAGCTCCGCTCACATCCATCGACCTCAACGCACCTCTGTCGGGGTCAATCACCCCGCGACGCATCGTTTTTGGCAGCATTTCTGCCCTTCAGAGAACAAAAACACCCAGGTAGCAGAGGGGGACTGCTGGATGCTCCCTAGTCCGCAGCCCCCAAGCCCTCCAAGCCAAATTTCAAGCTCCTGCTTCAGCACTGTTGACTTTTCCCCGGATTTACGCGCTGCTCTGCTGCGGGCATCTACAAAGTTTGTTTTGAGGAGGCAGGCAAGGGTTTCCCCAAACAAATTACCAGCAAGGCCTTAATTGATCAAAATTCCAGCCATTTACGCTGAATAGCGGCATCAAACCCCTTGTTAAAAAAAAAAAGCTCAGCATGTTTAATTGGAGCTGAAAGGGAGGCAAACGAAGCCATCTGAAAGATGCTCAAGGAGGGTGGGGAGGGAGCGCAGCTGCGCCGAGCGACCTGGATGCCGGGCCAGCCAGCGAGCTACAAAACCTTTTAATAGAGGCGCTGGCAAATCTGATCCTGGCACCAACGAGCGGGGCCTCGCAGAGCTCAAAGTGTGAGTGTTAAAGGGGAAAAGCAGCGGAGCCGGGTTGCAAGAGGCGATTCACGGATGGTTCCTAAGTTGGCAGGACCCCGGCACGTCCTGGCTGGGTGCTGGATGCGGAGTAACTTGTAGCTGAGGCTGGGGAAGGTCCCGATGCAACACTTCACAAAAATCAAAAGGGCACGGAGCTGCGGGCTGCTGGTTTGGGTTCAATGTTTTCCAGCAGCCCTCGCACGAGCGCGCCGTTTCGGGAAGGCAGCGCCAGATTGGGGAGGCAGGCAGCCGGCGCCGCAGTCGCGCTTCTCGGAGGGGAAGGGCACGCTTCTAAAAAGCTCTCTGCAATGTACGTACACAGGGAGCGGCGGAGTCAAAAATAAAGCTCCGAGGATTTCACAGCTCCTCCCGGCTCCCAGCCCTGCCGCCATCCCACGCAGCGCTCAGCCGCGGCTTCCAAGCTTCGCGGCAAGCTCTGCGAGTGGGAAGCCAGCAGCCTCCCGGCCGCACGCTGCCAGCGCCTGCAGCTCTCCCGGCACGCTCCCCTTGGCGCCGGCCGCGCTACCAAATGCCATTTTTTTGTGTGTTTTTTTTTTTCTTTTTGCCATCCTTCACACAGGGAGCGTTGCGAGGGAGCGGCAGGTCCCGCATGGCTGGCACTGCGGTGCTGTCAGGGCACGGGCTTGTCCGGGAGGTGATGTGTGAGGGGTTTTGTCCCTGCCCTAGGCTGGGTGGACGTGAAGCTGGGCTCTCCTCCCTTCCCGGGCTCGTGTTAGGGAACACCACGACTCTCTTTACGACTCTCTTTACGCTACGCTCGCTTTCTCTCAACAGTCTCGAGGGGAAAAACAAAACAAAACCCGAGCACACGCGCCCGTCTCCTGACAGACTCTGATCCTCGCGCTAAAAACTCGACGTAGGCGACAATGCAGAGAGGATAAACCTACAACCGAAATGTGGTAATCTGTTTTTGAAGGCTCTCCGAAGGAACAAACAGAAGTGAGTCAACAGAGCAGCATGCAAATCCACTTCGGAAAATGAATCAACAGAAAGGCAGAATATATTAACCCAGATCTGCTTAATTTGAGAGTTCGCTCCTCCTTGGGCTGGTTCTCCCCACCCTGCCTCCCCTTCCTCGAGCGGCTGAGCAGGATTTGGGATTACTGCAGTGTAAGAGGAAACTTTGCTTCAGTCTGAGCAGCTCTTTGAGCCGGGGCTGGGTGCAGTGAGAGCGCAGGGAGCTGTAAGATTTGTGGAATAGACGGAAAACCACCCGGACAGCTACCACCAGTGCAGGCACCCTGACCCCCACGGCACACGAGTGTTAGAGTTTGAGTGAGCTTAAGTGCCTGGGACAGGAGCAGAGCTTCTGAAACATCTCTGGAAAAGCCAGAAGGTGACCCAACTTCTCTGAAGTGCAGGGAAAGAGAGGAGGCACTGCTGGGGTGCGAGTGCCGAGGGGCTGCCCAAGTCGCAGGTGAAATCTGCCCCCCTTAACCCACCGTTCCTCCTAGGCGGAGGAGTTCCTCTGCACCAACCTCTCCCCCCTTTTGCCCCTCCAAAAAAACTTCTGAATAAGAAATGACTGGAAAAGAGGAGAGCTCAAGCAGTCTGCAGATCAGGGCAGGAGGAGGAGAAGCCAGCAAAGGGCAGGGCTATTCCCTTGCTGAAGGTACCTTTCCATTTGTGTTTATTTATTTATTTTTAATGTAAGCATCCTTCCCCTTTCCTGCTGTTAGGGTCAGAACTATTTCCCAGGCACGCTGCATAATGCACTCAGAGGCTGCTGGGGCTCGGTGCTAAGTGGCATCCCCTTCGGCTGAAGGGCAAGAGGGGGGCTGCAATCCCCTTAATGAGGACGTGCAGCCCTGAAGACCTCGCTAACGTTAAAAGGAGGGATTTCCAGCGGCAGGACTAATGTAAAATGCATTAACACTAATGGGGGGATGGAGGGGGGAAATCTCCCAGCCCTCCCAGCCCCCGGGGGCCGTGGAGATGGTGGTTGGTGTTGGCAGAGCTGCGCGAGGCTCTTTGGTGCTGCCGAGGTTACCTGCGGACCGGGACCCATGGGGCCCATCCCTCGCGGAGGATTCATCCTTTGCATGGGGCCGCCCATGTTCGGGTGCCCTGAGGGAGGAAAGAAAACAAGTTAGGGGGGAGAAGGGCGACTCCGGGCCCCGAATGAGCAGGTAACAAAACGGGGGAGACGCTCAAACCCCCCTCTGAGGGCTTACCTTGCTGTCGCGTGGGATCCATTGAATTGGGCAGCAACGGCTGTGTACCAGGAACGGCCCCCGGAGGCTGGGAAAACAAGGTGGGGACGAATGAAACAACAAATAAACTGCCAAAACGCTGCCCAGGCAGAGATTTGGGTCAAGGCTCTCCAATTCCCGAGGCGACAGGGGTTATTTGGGGCCCATCACCCCTCCCGTCCCAAAGAGCCGCAACCCGCTGCATCCCCCCAGCTCCTGGCACCGCTCCCGGTTCCCTTTGCAAACACCTCCTAAAAACCTGAACCAGATGCCAGAATTTCCTCCTCTCCCCTCCCTGCCTGCCCGCAGCCCCCTCTGTGATTTAGGAGGGGGCTGTGCAGGGCAGGGGCTGGCCCCACGGCCAAATCCCACCAGGAGCAGGGATGGATTTGCCAGCGATGTGCCAGTGCCGCATCTGCAAGAGGGTGATGGGTCAGGTTTGTCCCCAAACGCTGAGGGGACGTCTGCTCCTGTGTTTTTGGCCCTGGCTGTCCCCCCTCCCCAAAGCCACACACTTTTTAAAGTCCAAAGGCTGCCTTCCACGTGCTGCTCCGAGCAGATAAAGGGGAGAAAGATAACCCAGGGCTGCTGCAGTGGTGGGTATTGAGACGTCTGCTCCCTGACTTTTCTGCCTTCCTCTTTATTCCCGTTTATTTATTGCCCCTCTGGCTGTGACCGTAACCTCACCAAGCTCTGGCTATGCAAAAAACTGGGTTTTATACGTGGTGTTTGGGGAAAAAACGGGATCTTTGTAATTTCACCGTAATGGCAAGTGCCCCGTGGTTGGGTTACAGCCGCCTCGATGGGATAAGAGGATAAACCCAGCCCCAAAATCCAGGAGCGACCTGCCCCGCTTGACCCCGCAGCCGAGGCGGTGAGCCCGGCGGCAGGATTATCTCCACGGCTTCGATTTGCTGGGACGGCAGGGAAAATCCAGCCGGGGAGCGGGGTCGGGAGCACAGTACCTGGTTTCCCATCCTGATGGGGGGCCGGGGACCTCCTGCGTAGCGCGGTGACATGAAAGGCTGCAATGACACAAAACCCAGGTCAGCGACACACCGCCGGGGGACAGCACGTGCCCCACACACGCCGGTTAGACTTTACACGCTTTATTTTTTTTTTTTATTATTATTATTATTATTCTGGAGAAATCCTTCTTTAAAAAAGTTGAGTTGAAAAAGGAAAAAAAAAAAAAAAAGTGTTCGGAGTCCGTTTATTTAAGGTTTTCTGTCGGTTTATTGTTCGAGAGCATTTGACATAACTTCGGCAATACTCTGTGAGGCTGTTATAATTAGTGCACGGGAAACCCTGAGTGTTAGATACCGTGTTTAAATACATATATAAAAATATAAAAAAAAAAAAAAGGTGGGAAATAAGCACATACAGACACGCACACACACACAAAAAAAAAATCCCCAATGCTACGCATCGAAAAAAAGAAGACTTAAGCTACTGTTTTACAACTGCTGCTACCAACAGAAGCTTAAAATCCCACATCCAGCTACATTTCTCAGGCTACCTGGGGAAGGCAAAACAGTCTGATACCCACGAGTGACTTCTCAGTCCACTGTCACCTGCACACCCAGCAAAAACAATCAGAAACTGGGAGGAAAGCAACATCCCACGGCGGAGCTGGGGGCAGCGGGTGCCCGCTCCCAGCGCCCTTGCAGAGCGCGTCCCGATTCACAGCCCTACCCATCGCTAGTGTCGTTACCTGACTGTGGGGTCCCATCATGCTGTTAGGGTTGTGGGGTGGAGGCTGTGCGTGTGGCGAGGGCTGTGAACCAGGCGGTCCCTGTGAGGTCAGACAGTAGAAGGAGGTTATAGATTAGCACATGAAAGCGCAGAAAGAGCTAAAAAGGATTCACGGGTGGAGCTGTTTTGTCGGGAAGGCAGTTCGCCGATTTTTTTAATGTTTTTTTTTTTTTTTTCTCTCCTTTTAGTTGAGTTTCTACTCATTTGTAACTGAACAATGAATAATGATATATGCAAAAAAAAAAAAATTCAGAACATCTGTCAAAGCACAGCAGCCACGTTACAGTCAACGGTCCAGTAGTTCAACCAGGTCTGCAATGATAAACACACAGGGAAACACTTCGCAAGGGCGTGCAACGAGCAAGAAAAATACGCAGGAGAGGGTCAGAGAGGCTGGGGGGAAATCCAAAAACAAAAACCAAAACCAAAAAAACACCCCCAAACCAAAAAAAAAAAAACAAAAACGTTTTCTCCTCTCTCCTCCCACATCCTGACGGCTGGAAGCACCTCCCAGGGTTTGCCACCCGAGGGTCCGCGGCGTGCTGGAGGGCCCTTTACGTTCCCCTTTGCGGCTGCACCATCCCTCCTCGAGGTGGGTTGCCTAATGGTGCAAGGAAAATGTCTTTCGGGTAAAACGCTACTAAGGCCGTCTAGGGGAAAAAAAGGAAAGATTAGTTGGTGTAGGTTTCGAGCACTGCAATGCAGCAGTTGCTGACATTTTGGGGTTGAACGCCCACTTTTTTTTTTTTTTACTTTTTTTTTAATTTCTCTTGAAAGCACAAAATGAAAAGTTTGCTCGGAGGAACTGCGAGCTCGGTGCGAGGACATACCGGTGCATGTTAACGTAAGGAAAAAAAAAATAATTAAAAAAAAAAGTATTTTTGAGTCAAAGAACGTGTAATTGGTACAGAAAGCAAATAAGCTCGGTAAGTACGTTATGCGAAGCGACTACACACTCCAGGAAAGGCGCAGGAGCAGATGTTCTCTACCTGCCTCGTTACTAATTTCAACAAGTGTTCGCCTTCTAGCTGCTGCCAGCAATGGCATGGTTTGTTACCATGAGCAATTTTCTTAATTAACAGACATTAATTAGCCATTTAGCAATTTTGCAAGCATTTGTTTAGCAGCTTTCCTAAACATGAATACCACTGTGATAATGGTACTGATTAGAGGGTCCCCTAATTAACAGTACAGGGAAGGAAAATTGAAATCACATAAATTAAAAAGGGAGGGGAAGTTAATGAAGGCAGGACATATTTGCACCTGCAAATCTTTTGTACCGCGGAAACTTGAGTGCAATGTAAATAAAGTAAGAGGGTTGTGTGTGTGTGTGTGTGTGTGTGTGGTGGGTTTTCCTTTTTTTTTTGCAAACTGTGAACGCGGGGAGATGGAGCCAAACAGACTCCAACCAGCCACCCGGCTCTGGCGGCCGTGGAAATGGAGCCGTGCTGCTCACAAGACTTTCTCTGCCGCTTGCTTTCCCTGCTCCCAGCCCCGGCATTTGGAGCTGGAGAGGGTCTGATGTTGTTGGGGCTGCTGTGAGGCGATGTTGGGGCTGCTGTGAGGCGTTACACCCGGGGCACCATCCTGCCTCTGGCCCAGTGCATGGGGCCTGTGCCCTGAGGCAGGAGGCCTGCGGCCATTTTGGGCCTACCAGGCTGGGCCTGGGGCTGCCCCGCTTTCAGAAATTTAGGGCAATTTGGAAGGAATTCCTCCAAGGCAATGAGGAGGAGGAGGTGTGCTTTCATCCTCCCAGGGCCAAGGGGCAGCACATCCAAAATGCCGCCTCCTTCCTGTCGCGGGGCCGGGCCCCCTGCTCATGGCAGGGCTGCCCAGCGCCGTGTGCTCCTGGTGAGGAAGGCCGAGCCTCTGGAGGCGGCCATCGGCGGTTCTCTATCGCCGAAACCATGTGCAGATGGCGTTTCGGCCGGGAACGCCTGCTTGCTTTTCCTCCAGCGGGCTCCCCTCATTACAAGCAGGAGACGATCTTGATGGACCGCAGCGCTGGAGACAAATGTTTTGCAGAGACGACATGTGGGCTCCAACCAACGGGACGACTCTTTTTTTTTTTTTTTTGGTTAAAAACGTGTGTTTAGCAGTCATTAAGCAGCGCTGCCGCAGGAGGAGGCCGGGCCCACGCACCCTCCTCCTCCTCCACGCCTCTCCCAGGCCCCAAGGAGGAGGCCCTGGACGTGGCTCCTCACCTCCAAAAATCCCCACAACCAGCCGACCACTTAAACCAGCATTAGAAGAACCTCAGCCTTCCTGTCTACCTCCTCTCTGCTTCATTTTTTTTTTTCTTGCCCTCTTTACTACAGAGGCTTTAAAAGACAAATCTGGCCGCCCGGCTGGCAGAGGTTTGCTGCCGCCGCTGCCTTGCAGCAGGAGTTTCCATGCGATCACGTTATTTCCACTCCGTCTTTCATGAGCTCAACTCCTCAAACTTCTTGTAAAATATTAAACATGGAAAATTGCACCAGCGATCGGAGTTCTGTATGTGTCAATTTATGTTCCGAGAGTAATTCACCACAAATGGATCATGTTTTACGGGCTACATACTTTCAGCTAATGGGGGAGTTTTTATATTTAAAAACATTCTCAAGTACCTCTGGGGGTGGCAGAACAATGAAGAATGGTAGAAGAAGGCAAAGCAGCAACGCAACGAGATGCCAACAGTTTAGAGGCAGCAACAGGAAGGCGTCTTGCATTTTAACATACCTGCCTCTGCCCTACCGGTTTCACCATTAGAAACTACCAAACTAACCGAAACGGGCGTTAATTAGAGAAGTGCCTGAGTTTACAGGGGAAGGAGCTGGAGCTTTGTTCTTGTGAAGGGAGAGGGAGGTGTTGTGACATGTAAACAAGCCAATCTCCCTAAGCAGTGGTGCAGGGGAGATGCTCTGGGCTCCCTGTGAGCAGGAGCTGCAGCCCTTGGAGGACCACGGCCACCGTGCAGTGCCCTGGGGCTCCTGCTGGCTCCTCCAGCTCCACAGGCTCCTCCGGTGCTTTCAGCCACGCCAGCCCAGCCTTCGGGGAAGGTTTCAGAGCCCTAGCGTGCACCTCCAGGAGCCTGAAGAGAAATAACCAGCTAGCCAGCGTCCTCCTGCCCTGCCAGCCCCGTAACACCTCCTCACGCCGCAGCCCCCCGCAGCCCGAGGGTGCAGAAGGAGCTCGCCAACCCTCTGACAACGGGCCAAACCCAGGCAGCTGCGAGCTCGCAGGAGGACACAGCTCACAGGCGAATAAGTTTCCCGTTCCTGGAAGTTCTGTGCCCCACAGAGCTCTCCTCCCCGTCTTTCCTGACATCTGAATTTCAGAGCCTCTCTGAGCCTGCTGCAACACCCCCGAGCCCAGCACAAAGCCAAAACCCTCCGCCACGCCAGATGTCTCTTACTGTGCGGCAAGGCAGTGCCTGGAGCCCACCAGGACGGGGCTGGACAACACCAGGTCACCTCCAGGTTGTAAAGGAGAGGGCAGCAACTGCCAGGGAGGCAGGAGGTGCTGCCTAAAGACCCAATTGCACCTTCCTGTGAGCACTGAGACCGCGGCACGGCCAAGCTCGCCAGCAGCCGGGAAGGGAGCCGTGGGCAGGAGATCTGCCTCGCCTGCAGCTGGGGCTCCCGAGTGCAGAGCTCTGGTTTGAAGGAATATGTTAAACACAAGCTCTTCAGGAAACAAACCCGTGTCAGCCGAAGCCAAGAACAGTCACCTCCATCTGGATGGAGCACCCGAGAGAAAGTTGACTGCAAATCCCACCATATGCTCCAGACATTCGGTACAAAAGCCTCGGGCATCCTGCTAAACTTCCAGAAAAAAAGGAAAAAAAAAACTTTCTCCGACACTTGCTTTTTCTTCCCTCCAGCCCTGCTCTCTCTCGTAAGCCATGTTCCTTCCAATCTTGCCTAGGAGAAACCTTCCCCTACAAAAGAAGCCCTGGTGGGACCGGGAAAGCCGACGGCGTGGGGTTCCTGGCTGCTTGTGGGGTTGGGCAGCACGGGCAGTGGGGTGCTCAGAGGCTGGTCCCATCCTGTGGGGAGCTCATGAAGCCAGCCGAAGGAAGGGGTTGTGGAGAGGGCTGCAAATTGAGGCATGCCCGGGAGGAGCCACTTGAGCCGCACACCCCACTCCTGCGGCCATGCAGGTCCCTGCTCCGGGCTGTGATTGTGAGCGGGGTGCCCTTGGTGCTGCTCCTTGCCTCCCGTCTCCCAAAATCAGGCAGGGGCAGGGCTCTCAGGAGGCTCGACCCCCCCAGCAATGCCCCCCTGGCTGGGAGAGGGGCTGCCCCCCGGCTGGAAGCCCCCGTCCTCCCCGGCTCCGGAGGCTTTCTCTGCATTAGGGGGCAGTGTAGGAACAGCGAGCGGCCGGCGCTTTGTTTTGGTGCATCTCGCAGGCTGGCTGCTGATGCATAGCTAACGCGGCCACAGACATTGATTTATGTGCAACTTTCCATTTCATCAGAGCCAGCGGTACAGAGCCAGGCGGGGAGCGTGCGTTTGGGAGAGGAGGCGCAGCAGCCACGGGGGGGGGGCTGGGACAAGCAGCCCCCAACCTCCTACACCCCCGTTATTTACTACGGAGGGAGGTTTTGTACCACCAGGCTGTAATTTTTAATTTTCCCTTCCGCCTCTCCCTGGCACTCCCCTTCCCCAGCGCTGGAGCAGAGGAGGCAAACACGAGGGCTCTGCGAGCGGGCATCAATTCAGCTTTCAAAACAAAAGCAGAAATGACTTCGATGACCTTTAGGAGGATGAGAGAAGGGTTTGTTTGCTCGTCTTAAAGGGACAAAGAGACGGATTTAACTACAAGCACCTACCCACGCTAGCCGTGAACCCGGCCACCGCTTGTGGGGAGCGCAGCCCGACGCCAGGCGCTGCAGCCTGCTGGCACCACGCAGAGCCCAGGCAGCCAAAAGGTGCCCAGGGCCTCTCCTTTCCTGTTGGGCACGGGGTTTGGGGAGACGCCGAGGGCTGCATTTCCCTTGGCCCCCAGCCTAAAGGTCGCTGCTGAGCTCCAGCACGGGGAAGGCTCTGCCTGCAAGCCAGCAGCTGCAGGCGGGTGCTGCAGCCCGGCCTCCTCCTCTCGCCTCGCCAGCGCGTCCCTGCTCCTCCAAGCTCGTGCTCGAGCTCCTCCTCGCTCCTTCCCTTCGCCACCTGAGCCCACGGGGCTGCTCCCCGTGCCCCCCGGGGCGGCAGCGCAGGGTTTCCGCAGCCAGCACCGAACAACCTTGGTTTGCTGGCGCTGCCACCCCAGCTCCTGGCCTGATGCCACCGCGGTGCCAGGCCAGGAGCTGTCCCCGTCCCAGGACGCCCACGCCTGCTGTCCTCAGGCAACCTGAGCCCTCCGGGTGGCTGCGGCACGGAGCAGAAGGGTGCAGGCAGCTCTGCGCAGCCAGCACGGTGCTGCTGGAGAGGAGCTGGTGTCCCCTGATGCTCCCTCCGTCCTCCAGTGCCCCCAGTACGGAGGTGGGCTCACGGCGTGGTCCTGCTGGAAACCTCGCCCACCCCCGGGGCTGGCACATAAAGGGTCGGGGAAAAGAACCCCAACTGCCTCAGTCCTCTGCACCTCCCGTGACCTTTTTGGTTTTGCCCTCTGAAGTTCAGCACTTTTTTTATTTCCTTCAGAGATAAGAAATTAACCCCGAGCTGCAAGCAGCTCGATGCAGAGGCTCCAGCACACCTCTGCAAGAGCTGGGCTCGAGCACGTCCTGACGCTGGAAGGAGCTGAAGGCTCGCAATAAATCAGCCGGGCTTTCGGGGGGGTGATGTTCTGACTGTGTTAAAAGGTGGGATTTTTCTTCTCCCCTCCTCCCCTCTTTCCCCGGGGCTGGGAGGAGAAACCAGATGTTGGAGGGCTTTCAGGAAAGGCAGTCTCTCGAGACGTCACATGCGATCCATATGCATCGGCGCCCGGCCCTCCTCCTCCTCCTCACCTAAGCCAAGAGCAGCGACCACACTCCCTCCCTCCCTCCCTCCCTCCCTCCCTCTCCTCCTGCAGCTCCGGGGGTGGGCGGCAGCTCCGCACATGGCCCCTTATTTCTGCTGGTTTTTAGGGAAGCTCCCCGGCAAAGATCCTGAGAAAGAGGGGCTGCATCGGAGCACCCCGGCCCCAAAGGGCAGGGCAGCTCCCGGTCTGGCTGCAGCCGGAGATCTGGGGTGGGTTGTCTGCTCCCGAATCAGACCCTCAGTGCCAAAAAGCTACAAAAAGCCAAAAAGGAAAGCGGGGGGAGGGAGAAGAGGCCTTGGAGGGTGTCAAGGAGAAGTGTCAAGACCCGAGCATGAGCAGCGTGTCTGGGGCATCGCAGCTTCTCTCCCTCACCTTCCCCTCTCGGCGAAATCCAAGCCTGGCTTTTGAAGCCGTGCCCTAACTCCTTGCCAATTTTGCAACCCTCGCAGAGCTGTGCGAAGTGGGAGCCTGAGAGGACAGTCATCTCTGCAACGGGATGAGATCAGGACTTTTGGAAACACATTTGTTGGAAGTAGCAACTTGGCACTCGGATTGCTGGCAGCAGCTATGACCTGCGAGATAGCATCTCTTCTGCTGGCTTCACCCCGCGTCGCAGGGCGCTGCTCCAAGATCGGGCTGGGGTTTTAGGGTTACCCACCACCATCGGCTACCCGCGTTCTGTCACACGCCTGTTCAGGAAACGGGATCTCTCTAAAACCAGAAGCAATCCCCTTCTCCTTCCCCGGCCCCGCGCACGCAGCGGGTGCGACACCGCGCTCCGGTACCGCCACCAGAAATCACGAGCCCGCTGCCCAAGAGTTTCTCCCATACAGAAATCGCAAACCCAGATAAAAAAACCAAAAGCAGCTTGCCAAAACAAATATCCCTTCCAACCGCTATCCCATTTGTTACACGAACAAGTGCTTCTTCCTCAAGAAGGAAGACTTGAACGCACTGCGAGCTTACAGTCGCTACGACCCAGTGCGCATCAGCCATAAAGAGAGATTCCAAAGAAATTAAAATAAAAAGGATGAAGGCTTTGAAAACTTCTTTTCCAAGCGCTTGCTGAAGCCCTCTCCGCTAGCATCACTCAGTCATACGTCCCCCTGTCTTCACTCAGAGCTCAGCGTGGGAGAGGGAACGCGCAAGGCAACTTTGGGGACTGGGCTAGGGATTGTCTTACAAGGTGCCTCCATGGCATTCGGGGCCGTGCGCTTGGATCGAATCCGCTTCTGCCTGCAGCCACAGCCCACGCCAGCATTTGTTAATGCTTTCAGTGATTGCATTTGGAAAAAATCAAGTGGTTAACCAGAGGGGGAAAAAGTTTCAGGAATCAAAATCCAGAATGTTTTCAATTACGCGCGTCTGTTAGGACCAAAGAACAAATACAATCTCAACCCAAACACAAAACAAGCAGCTTTGGAGAAACATCGATTGCAAATACACAGAAACCTCTGCAAGCGAGAAACAAAACCGCTTTCAGGCCACGGAAACCAGAAAGCGAAGGTGGGAGGAGGGCAGACCACGGGTTATTCCCAAACGGGTCAGCTGGGTGGGCGTGCTGCTTGGCCGGGGTCCCCTCGGGGACAGAAGCCGAGCGCCGGCAGCGAGGCGCGAGCAGACCCGAGCGCCCCGTCGACGCGGGCGCCGGGAGGAGCGGCAGCCTACCTGGAAGAAACCTGGCGGGATGGGGCCCCCGGGCATCCCGTCGTTCGGGGGAATGTTTCCAAGCACGGGACTCGGGGCGGCAGCTGCGCTCTGCGGGGAACAAAACCAGGACAGACACGTTGGTTTCGAGTCGGAGTTCAGGAGGAGATAATAATACAAAAAGCCGTCCCCCCCCCGGCCAGTGCCGCGCTGGGTCGATCGGCACGGTCCCCGCAGCATCGCTCGAGGCCGGAGCAAGGAGCAGAGGATGCTCGGGGCTGTTTTGGTGGCCGGGTTTGGGAGCGGAGCTCACCCACTCTCCCCTTCTCACCACGCTCACCCGATCCTACACCAGCATCGCCAGCGAGCTCCTTGCAGCTCACCCTGAAGATGGCCGTGCAAAAAGCAGGGATGGCCCCGGGACTCATTTGTTTGTCTGAGCAGCCACCCAGGAGCCTCACCTAGCGCGTCACGCCAGCCAGGAGCTATTTTAAGGCTTTTTAAACGCATCTCGGAGCCCACCTCCCCCCACGCACCCTTCTCGCTTCGCTTCTGGCCTCCAAAGACGCTTCCCCTGCTTCCCCACCACCGTCGCCAGGGGTTTTTGTCACAGAAATCCCACCAAACCCTGGCTCACGCCTCCCTGCCGCCAGCCCCAGCGCGGGCACGAGCGGCTTCGCCACGAGAAGGGGAAGGGGACGGTGTTGGGTTGCCCAGCCAGCCCTGCTTAGCAACTGGATTAATATTTACTGCCTCTCTGCCACGAACAGCGATGCACAAAGGAGGATTTCTGGCCAGGGGGACCGGCCCCAGGGCTGGCCGCGGAACAAAGGGCACCCTCCCAGCCCCGCGGGCACGGCGCTGAGGAAGCGCCCAGGAGGATGGGGGTAAAAAACATCACCCCGAGGAAATCCTGAGCTCGGTTTGAACCCAAACTCAGCCACCATGGCCATGCCAAACCCCGAGTCCCACCGGCAGCACGGCCAGCTCCGTGCACACACCGTGACCCAGTGGGATGGAGGTGACCGCGCTGTGCCAGCTGCTGCTCTGCCCACCCCTGGAAGCGTCCTAGAGGACAGCAGGGGCCGAATCTCCCCCAAAAAAAGCCTTCTGTGAAACAACCACCCCACAAGGGGCTGGGAGAGCGGGGCATCCCGAGCAGCCTTCCCCGCAAAAGCAGCGGAGAAGGCCAGATCTGAGCGCTTTTGCAGTTAATAAAAAAAAGGCCTGGCAGGGAAAATCAGCCTACCCATTCCAGGCTCTTTTTATACTTCAGACGGCAGCAAAAATAGAAAGGAGAGGGAGTGAACCCAGTTCTCCCCCCCTCCCGTCCCCCCAAGTGGGTCAGCTATAAAAGTAAAACCCAATCTTAATCCGAGGCCATGAGCATATTGCAGTTTCTCTGCAAAGCAGATGAATGCTCTTAGCGCAGAAATAGAGGAGAGCGAGCCCCCGACTGCAGCGAGCCCATTTGGAATTTCCTTTATTAAACCCTCGATCACGCAAAACGCCGCTCTCCAAAGGCGGCGCGCGGCGCCGTAAAGCTGCCAAGGTGATATTTTATGGTTTCACGAGATTTCCAGCACACCATAATCCCTTGCCGGGGAATCTCCCGCGGCAAGACGGGTCCCCCCGCGCTGCGAGCCCACCCGGGGGCTGCCGCCGGCACGGTGCGGGGCCCGGCTTTGGGATCGGAGCCACGGGATCGGGGCGACAGCGGGGTCGGGGTCGGCACGCAGAGGGAGCAGAGCGGCCAGAAAGCCCCTTTTTGGTGCTTTTTTGCACCCTTTTTGGTGCAAAAAGCGCCTCGGTCCGCTAAACCACCAAATCTGAGCTTTTTTTTCTGCCTTTGTGTCGAACCGAAGTCTGCTGCGCTCCTCCTCCCTCTGCAACAGGGAGTAGGGGGAGGAGGGCGCCGCAGCCAAAGAAAATCTTTAAGCAAATGCACATTTTTCCACAAAACCACAGAACCTTTTCTTTTTTTTTTTTTTTTTTCCGCCATCAACACCCCCAAACCTCACCTCCGCGCCCGCCGCGTCAACGCGGGCTGAACGCGCCGCGCACATGTGGCGCTTGGCAGGGCTCAATAATTAAAAACCCACAAGTGCCCTGAGCATATTGTAGGATGGGAGCCAAATTGGTCAGCCCTTGATGAATGATTTACAAGGCTGCGAAGTGACGTTTTTTACTTCTTTTTTTTTTTTTTTCTTCCCCTCCCCATCGCCGCCGCCAAGGTGAGCGCCGAGGCACCTTTCGGAGCCCTGCGCAGCGCGGGATGCGCCGGGGCACTGCGAGCACCAGGGAACAAACCCTCTGAACCCCAAAAGCGCATGCCCCAAACCCAAGGGCGCTCACCCCAACCCAGGTTCTTCTCCCCCTTGAGGTTCTTCTCCCTGTTTTTTGGAGGTGAGCGGCGTGCTGACGCTGTGGATCGCGGCGCTGCGCCTCCGAAGCCAGGCGCTCGGTTAACACAGCGCCTCGGTGCGCCGGCAGATGCCGTCTAAGCCCTTAAATCGCGCACTAATTGCACTAATTGAGCTAACAGTCTCTGTTTCGTCTCCCTACCCTGAGTCAACCAGCGTCTTCTGGTACTGCCGGAGAGATCCAAGCTGTTGACTGCAGTGTTATTTTGTCAGCCATTAAGCGATTCATCAGAGTCATTAATTGATTTATTACTGCTGCCTGCGAGTATAGCTCTGCAAATAAAGAATGATGTAGGTCAGGAGGCGAGAGGAATTGGACAAAACAACACAGCCAGGAGCTGGAGGCTTAAATTATCCGGAGGAGGCCGCTCACGCAGGCCCACCGACACGGGGTTACGGGGGAAAAAAAGATGGAAAAAAAGGACGAGACGCGTGGCTTGGCCCCGCTGCCAGGAACCCCGCTGGCCGGGGCGCTCAGCACCACCTTGCAGGATGTGCTGCCAAGAGGCAGCGATGCCCCGCGCCGCAGCGGGGACGTGCCAGCCCCGCCGGGACGTGGTGGTGGCGGGGAGGTGATGGTCACCATGCCAGGAGCCTTTCCGTGGGGTTTCCCACCTGTGGGAGGTTTAGGGGAGGCCAGGAGGATGTGCTGTGGCTGGGGAGCGTGAGCACATCTTGTCTGGAGAGGCAGGGAGCGGAGGCAGGACACGGCTCTCCCAGAATTAGGGTGCCATCGGAGGTGCCGGGTGAGATCGGTGCGCGTTTAGCGCAGGAACACGGAGCCTGGGGGCAGAAGGCTTTAAATCTCGGTGAGTTTTTCCAGCTCAAATCTATCCGGGACGTAAAAGGGCTATTAAAACAGCCTTATTTTCTTAACCTAATCCGTCAGAAGCAGCCGGGTTATTCAACCCTACTAATTGCCTGTAGGGGCGGAAGGGCAGAGGCCGGCGCGGCCGCGCCGCGTGCCCTGGCTCCCCCTGCCCCGGGCTGCCCCGCGGCACCTCGGTGTCACCGGGACGCTCAGCGCCCTCCTGCCCCGGGCTGATGGCAACTCGCCTCCGCTCCTCCGTGCCACGGCAGGGACGGAAGGGACACGTCCCAGCGGGGCGAGGATCGAGGCTTTGTGCATTTTCTCCAGCCGAGAGCTGAGCTCTTTGCTGGGCCCCGGGGCTGGGCAGCAGTGGGCGTTGCGCGAGCCCCTCCCGGCGCCGGCAGCGGTGGTTTCCTGCCCCCCCCCCGGGCTGATTCAACCTGCGATCAGCATCTTCCCATGCGTCACCACCGAGGCTGGAGGGGTTCAGGGCCACTCTCTGAGACCTGACGCAGGTTGGCTCCGCTCTGCTCCGTGCCTCAGCTTGCCACAAGCCTGTGTCCTCTCTGTCCCTGCACCGCCACCGCTGCTGCTCCCTGCTCCCCGCGGTGCCGAGGTCCCAGCTCTGCCCGGCAGCGCTCGCCCTGCTGCTCAGCGTGGGCTGGTTCCTCCCGTGCACGCTCGGGGTGGTGCCGTGCATGCAGCTTTCAGGGGCTGGCTCTCACCAACCCCTCTTTGTGTATTTTTTTTGCAAACAACCTCAAAACACCGGTGCAAGACGCCAAGAGGCTTCAGAGAGGACATTTCCTTCCTGGGAAGCGCCACGAGCACCGGCTGCTCTGCAGCAAGGCAGCAGAGGGGCTGAGGCACGAGGTGGGCAGCGCAGGGAGCTGACAGCACGGAGCCGGAGAGGTGCTGCGGCCAGCTGAGAGCTCACACTGCTGGCATGGGAGCTTTCTGCCCCCTTTTCCTCTCCACGAGGGCTAGAAGAGCAGCACGGAGGACTCCAGCTGCACCTTGCACCTTGCAGGGGGAGCAGCACAAGCTCCAGGACGGGCCCTGCAGCAGGATTGGCACCCTCAAGGTGTGCAGCATGCGAGGAGTTGCACGAGAAGCCCAAATTTGGAGCAGCTTACTCGTGTGCCCTTTGGCAGCCCTGGCAGGAGCCCACCTCTCTGCCACGAGCTCGCAGAGATGGTGAGGACGGAGCTGGTCCCTACCTGGCCGCTGTTATTTGTTGTTTGCCAGCAGCCTGAGAAAGAACTGGGCGTGCAGGCCAGGACTTAAGCAGGCTGCATAAACAGGTACTACCGAATTAAATCGGACTCCGGTTAAGCCTTTTCATCTCATTAAAGCTGCCTTCATCTTCTGCGGCGAGGCTTTAAATTTAATAACAGGGCACTCCCACACCTCCCCGTAACCTGATTAGCGCCGGGGGGCGGCCGCACGCCGAGCGTGGCACGGGGCTGGCGCCCGGCACGTCCCCACCTCGCCTCGCTGCCCCAAGGCCAAACTCAAAGCTGGAGGTGGGCATCCTCCCGTGCCCCCAGAGCTGCTTTCAAAGCTCCTGAAACCTCCCTGCATCACGCCAGCACGGCCCCAGGGGAAAAGAAAAAGAAAGAAAAGGGAAGGAAGAGCTCCGGGAGCGAGGTGCCAGCCTCCCCGGGCGCAGGCTCTCCGCATGAAGCGTTTTTCTTGGTCCTGCCTTTACCCAGAGCTCCACAACAGGTTGCTGCCTCCTCGGAGGAACGCCTAAAAACCCCTAAAAGCAAAACCAGGAGCTGCACGATTTACTCTTGAGTTTCCCTTCCTGCATTGCCCGGCACGTGCTGCCCTGGCGAGGGCAGGTTTGGCTGAATTACGCCCCGGGACCTTCC